TTAGTAGCCCTTCTCTAAACTCTCTCTAAAGTATCAATATCCTTATGGAGATATGGTCTCCAGTACTGCATACAATACTCCAAGTGAAGTCTCATCGGTGTTCTGTACAATGGCATGAGCGCTTCCCTCTTTCAACTGCTAATACCTCTCCCTATACAAGCATTCTGCTAGCATTTCCTGCTGCTCTATTACATTGTCTGCCTACCTTTAAGTCATCTGAAATAATTACCCCTAAATCCCTTTCCCCAGATATTGAGGTTAGGACTCTATCACATATTCTGTACTCTGCCCTTGTGTTTTTACGTCCTAGATGCATACTCTTGCACTTATCCACATTAAATGTCAGCTGCCAAAACTCTGACTATTTTTCTAGTTTACCTAAATCATTTGCCATTTGGCTTATCCCTCCTGGAATATTAACCCTGTTACATACCTTAGTATCATCAGCAAAAAGACATACCTTACCATCAAGACCTTCTGCAATATCACTAATAAAAATATTAAAAAGAATGGGTCCAAGTACAGATCCCTGAGGTACCCCACTAGTGACAAGACCATGCTTCGAATATACTCCATTGACTACAACCCTCTGTTGTCTGTCACTCAGCCACTGCCATTCAACAATATTGGAATCTAAACTTAAAGATTGCAGTTTATTAATAAGCCTTCTATGTGCAGCAGTGTCAAAAGCCTTACTGAAATCTAGGTAAGCAATGTCTACTGCAACGGCCTGATCTATTATTTTAGTTACCCAATCAAAAAAATCATTAAGATTAGTTTGACATTATCTCCCTGAAGTAAACCCATGTTGTCTCTGATCTTGAAATCCATGTGTTTTTAGATGTTCAGCAATCTTATCCTTTATCATGGTTTCCATTACTTTCCCCACTACTGAAGTAATGCTTACTGGCCTATAGCTGCCCGACTCCTCCCTACTACCTTTCTCGTGAATGTGCACAATATTCGCTAACTTCTAATCTTCTGGGACTACTCCTGTTAACAATGATTGGTTAAATAAATATGTTATTGGTTTTGCTAGTACACCACTATGCTCTTTTAATAACTTCGGGTGTATTCCATCAGGTCCCATTTACTTATTTGTCATTTGACAGTTGAAATAGAACCTCTTCCTCTGTAAACTCACATGTAACAAATTACTCATTTGTCCTATTTCCTAACTGAGGTCCCTTTCCTTCATTTTCATCTGTAAATACTGAACAAAAAAATATTAATTGAGTCAGTCAACTAGACCTTTATCCTCTTCTACATACCTACATTCTTTTGTTTTTAATCTAACTAAACCTTGTTTTACTTTCCTTTTCTCATTTATGTATCTAAAAAATGCTTTGTCCCCTTTTTTTACTGACTGCTATTTTCTCTTCTGTGTGTGATTTGTAAGATTGTATAACTTGCTTAGCCTCTTTCTGCCTAATCTTATAGATCTGTCTATCTTCCTCACTCTGTTTTTTTTTATAATTACTAAATGCTAACTTTTTGTTTTTTTACTATTTTGGCCACATCTGCAGAGTACCATCGTGGTTTCTTAATTTTTTTGCTTTTACTGACAAATTATAGAGTGGGCTAGTACCCCAAGGGGAACTAGCAAGTGTGTTTTTTTATGAAAATTAAGGAGCATATGATCCCAGGAGGAAAACCCCAGGGTGTCACAGAAAAGTAAGTCCCAGTGGGATATGTTATGTATTTACAATTATATATAAAAAGTATCTTTTATTGAAAAACTTGTAATGAAACCATTCTATAAATAGTGTCGTTTATTGTTTGTAATAGAAGTGTTTATAAAGATAAAGTCATCTAGATAATATTAGTAGACGAACTGAACCTCGCCTGGATAGGTGCCGAGGTCAAACGCTAAAAACGTATCGACTGCTACAAATAGTTAGGCATAGCCTATCCAGAATAACCGTTGCTCTTGTGAGGGAGCCTAGGCAATAAATTGTGCAATAACTGACAACTTGTAATCGTATCTTATAGGTACTTGTAAAAAAAATACAATATGTGGCAATAATGCTTAGGTGATCGGGCTACTACTTATAATCCTCTGTCATTCATAAGTTGCTATATTACACGTTTTTCAATAAAAGTTACTTTTTATATATAATTGTAAATACATAACAGATCCCACTGGGACTTCCTTCTCTGTGACCCCCGGGGGTTTTCCTCCAGGGATCATCTGCTCCTTAATTTTACTGACAAGCCTAATACAATTTTCTGTTGCCTTCAGCAGTGCAACTTTTGAATAATTTAATTTCTCTTGGACTCCATTTAAACTGCTCCAGTCTGATAATGAACACCATCTGAAAAGAGAGAAACTGGAACTGTGGACCTCTAAGATGATCCAAACTCATCAGAGCTCAGGACTTTCCAGAGTCTATTTCAGGGCAACCCACTATTACAGCAGAGACTGTATGGAATGTGGCATCCGGTAGGCTACCCAATAGACACATTTATGCATGCAAGTGCGCTGTGAAGATACAGGCATTGTACACAGTGTATTGTGGAGGAGGAAGCCAACCTCTTCTGGCAGTGTCCATTTATACAGGCTTTGATAAGCGCCCTGGAATGAGAACTCAGAGACAGGCAATATCTGTTGCATCACTCTTTCTTGTTTGAACTATTTCCTGGACCACACACAGTGGATGCCATTGGGAGCATGGCACCTATTGTGCTTTGTGAAGGATATTTTATAGTTTGTCAGAAAAAATGTGGTGTTGAGGAGCTAACAAGTCACCATCCGAGACTGACGCTTTTCTTTTTTCTGGAAAAATGGTTCGGTGAAGTCAAATCTAAGAATAATAATAAAGAAGAGAGGTAGAGGTCTAGGATAGGGGCTTAAAAGAGCTCCCATATCCTGTTTCTTAACCAATGTGGTCACCTAGCGAGATGATGAGAAGTTGTGTCATCAACTGATCATACCATGGTTCATTTAGTTACCATTTATGTGCTCATGATTAGACTATCTGACCGTATTTTCAAATTCTCACTACAATGAACCCACAGTCTGATTTTTGCAAAGCAGTGGTAATTATATTTGTTCACCTGCTGCCAGGGGTATGTTGAGCCTCACTGGAGTCCATCATACATCTATGTGTTCCTCTTTGATGTATGAGTGTGTCATGATGTTTTAAAAAAAAAAAAAATGACAGTGTTGTCATCAGAAAGCTCATGGTCCCTTAAAGAGTCTGAAGGTTTGCACAGTGGGCTACAATGGGATAGGGAACATGGAGGGATACCCTATCTCTAAGACGTGTGCTCGGGAGACTTTTTGATGTCGAATTCTTCTTGGTGTGCATCCCTGCTCATTAACTTTAGATATCAACAGTTACAACATCTTTACAATTCACTGGCCCCAAAGCATAACCTTCAGAGGGATCCAAATGACTTTGATCAGCTGTGTTTGCTGGAGGAACACCGTGATAGGGGCATCTCCACGGTATATTATTTTTATTTTAATTAACAAATGGAGTGAAGTCCATGCAGAACGTGGAGATGCTGAATGTCAGTGCTGCACACTGTACTAGGAGCCAATGTCAGTGCTGTACTTTCATGAATGTGTGAAAGGTCTATGAATGATCCCGCTGGATCCTCCATAGAATGAGCTTTTTATTCACTAAAGCCATTACTGGTGACCGCTGGGGAAAAGACAAGCTTGAAAAAGGGTAGTTCCACCTTTTATCAAACTTTGTCAAGTGGAAGAAAAACACTGAAAGGGTTCCAACACAGTCATTGTGAGTATTTCATAAAGATTTTATGTCTGTGAAAAACACATTTTTGATATGGGCATGACAGAGCTGCTTTAAGAAACGATGTTTGTCACTTGTGTGAAATAAAACTCCCATTACTCCTATTAGATATAAGGGCCTATAAATTCTCAAAATGGTTTACTAAATTGCTAATGGGTAAATTTTATTATGTATCAGAAATGGGATTTTATTTTATTTTTTTGTATTTTTAAATATGTATGGTAGTAAAGGTTTATATATTATATTCTTTTTCTTTTGTGAATTAAATAAACTTGACTGTCTATGTTTTAAATGCACATATAAAACAAGTAATATAACTATAAAAGAAAAATACACAGATACATTGTCACCCATCATGCATATTATTACAATTTCTTAAAGAATTACTATAACCCTTTTGACAGAGGGGGACCTTTCCGGTGCGAAATGCCCTATTGGGCACTGTGGAGAACATCCCTACTCTAAATTTGTTTTAAAACCTGCAAAAAAAAGTTTTACTTACCTTGAATCCAGCGCTCTGCCTGCAAGCAAATGATTTTAACATCTGTTGTCAGCATGTTGTTGTTGTTTTTTCAGCATGTGGGGGATGCAGCTAGCCACCAGCACACATTTACAAATATCTTGGAATTTCAAGCTGAAACACTGCACATGCTGACCCCTACCACCATGAAGTGGTTATGGTGGTTGTATTAACCCTTTAATTATTGCTATTATTATTACATTTTTCCATTATGTATTAGACCAAAAATAATTTACATATTTTAATGCTATGTCTAATGTAGCTAGAACTATTTATCTAAAAAAAAAAAAAAAAAAAGAAGAATGAATGAAAGAAAGAAAAAAAATCAGTAAAACTGTTACAAAGGTCACCTTTAGCAGGAGAGCTCAGAAGACCCTCGTCAATAAAGGGTTAAAATCAATATCTTGACACTGGGAATACAAATTAGAGCTAAATTCTAATACCATAACATGCTATTTTCTAATTACAGTAGAACTACATTTAAAGAAAGGGCACCAATGGATGGTATTATTTAATTATCATATTTTTTTTTTTTTTAATGGACAATGCATTTACAGTTAGCTTTAATTCCAAGCTTTCATATTCCCAATCCAACCATGCCCTAAAAATGATTTAAGTATTAAAGAGAACAGAGGTCTTAGTGAAAAAATAAGCAAAGCATTGAGGCTGGTTGTCATTATTGTCAGAGTGAATAAAGTTTCTTGAAGAAAAAAAAAATAGAATTCAAACGCATGGTTTCAGAATGTTGCAGGTACGTGTCTGAATTCAGGCATTGCTATTTTTACCTTGTTAAAGGTGTGTCATAGGAAGACAATTAGTTTGTAACGCAATAACTGTACCGAAGTATTTGTGAAGGTTAATAATGCAGTGACAGTTGTTAGGTGCAGTCACCCAGGTACTTTTTTAATCTATTAACAAGAGGTGTATTCCCCTAGGAGGAAATGATTTTACAAGAAGATTAGCATTTGTTCTAATGTCACTCTTGATAAAAGTAAGTGGGATGGCATTCACTGTATCTGTATGTTCATCATTCCTGGAGATATTTCTGCAATAATGTATGGATCATGCAAATGTATCCAATTGCATAGAAGCTAAAGGGATTGTAGAGGATGTATAAATTCAGCCATTCACTAATAATTAACATGTAGAAAATTACTTTTGCATTTTTGTTGGGGACAAATGTCAGTGTTTTTAGTGTTTAAAATATATCCTTTTGAAAGTGTATAAACAAAGTTTGTTTTTGAAACAAAATGATATTGTTTTTGTTAGTTTGCTGTCCCAATGCAGTATGCTGCGTCCGCTGGAAACCTGTAGAAAATGTGCAACCAATCAAATCATTGCATTGATGATCAACGAACCTAATACTTCTCTATGAGAAGTATTGCAATGCAGAATGTGAAGTAAATACTTGAAAGTCCTCTAGTGGCTGTCTCTTTGTCAGCCACTAGTATCATCAACCTTAGTATCAAATGTATTTGCATTGACAATGCCTACATTTTCAGAGTGCCAGGAGAGAATCTGTACACTAAAGCCACTGCAGTAAAGTAGCACTTCAGGTACCATAACAACGTAATCAAAAATAAAGCAGACCAACCGGCGAGGGAGAATAGAAATAATATGATCCTTCAAGTTTTAAATAACAATATAAAATCTACACCAATTACATGTATTACATATGATACAAAGTATATTAATTTTTCCGAGACGAAAATGTGTTCTCCAAACTTTATAAATACGTATCATGCTGTTCTAACTCATCTCTACAAACATTGATGTGATTTACTGCTCCGTGGTTCCCCTCTTCTTTTCCCTGACCATTCTGATACCTGACTTCCTTACTTCCTTTCATAATATTAATAAACTAATATTCGTAATACAATAAGCATTCCCCTTTAATTAGGAGATAATTGAGTCAAGCACTATACTAAACTCCATTATCTCCAAACACAGAAAAACACACATTTTTACAAAACCCCCAAAACACACAAAATCCCCACAAATGTTCCATTCCCTGATAGCCCTGATCTCGGTGACCAACATATCCAAAAATCACCCAGATCAGTTCAGGGGTTCAGAAATGTTATGGAAGTCATGTATTTGACCGACCGCAGGCATGCTCCCATGCCCAAAACAGATCCATAGAATTAGGGCTTGCGGTCGGTCTAGTTCAGTAGTTTGAAACGAACAAACTACCGAACAGAGTCAATAGTCTTACCCTGGAGCTTGTTCCCTCTATCTAGACGAATGATCTCACCGAACAGTGCCCTTCTAAGCTGAATAGAAACAAACGCAGGTGATGATGGAAGTCCAGCGGTGTTCGGGAGTTTCTGTATCCGATTTTAGTTCCAGGAGATTCATGCCCAAACACCGCTGCCTGCGTCCATGCGAACAAGATGGCTGCCACCTCGTGGTTGTCTATAGGAATTGCAGCCATCCAGACGAACAATTAGAACACTGCGGGGAGAAACATTCCAAGTTGTTAATAGGTGTTAACAAGCTCCAGGGTGGTCTCTGGTTCATGCGGTTGTTCGGTAATTCGAAGTGCTGCTTCATAAGTTCAAAAAAGGCACAAACAGTGATTTAAACAAAGTTTTATCACAGTGTCCATAGTGACAGGGTAAAATTCTGGCAAGTATGCCCCTCCAAGAACCCGAGATGAGGTCCAGTTTGTCTCAATGGTTATGGTTTATTATTTCGGCACACTGGTGTCTGGGGATTGAATAACACTAATGGTACTTTAATTAAATTATCTCCCAGAGATGCACATTGTTTTAGTTTGTGACCACCTGTTACTACTGTCCCAATATATACAGCAGTTTGGTGACAATAGTGTATTCTTGTACCCTGCAATATGTGTCATGTAGTGATTGGGGAGGATTATAGTCACTGAAGAATGACTTTCTCCAGTGTGGAGAACTATCGGTGGAGGTACTTGAGCACTGGCCTCCGTCACAGTTCCTTTAAGGTAATCAGTGTTAGTCGTTATTGTGGTAATATAAAAAAATTGTGCATAGTCAACATTCTTTGGAGGAAAGCCACAGGTAGACTGCATGCCTTTCAATTTTCCTCTTTGGCACTTCATAAACATCTGTCAAAACACAGTCAGCAATATTACTGTTAATATTAAAACATAACTGATTTTATTGAGAGTAAGCAGAATGATCTTTGAGACATTAATTGGTTATCTCCCTTCTCTCAGTAATAGGGTCAAAAGCTAAAACCAAGTCAGGCAAACAGAAGCTTCTGATAAACCTTTAGCCTGAAGGTCCGAATTGAAGTTTAAAAACAACACTAGCCAGCAAAGAAAGAGAACATTCAGTCAGACCGAAAGACGACAATGGCAGCAATTAAACCTGGACAGGATAGTGGGAATTTATCTGTCGTGGTCCATGGAATCGGAGATCTGCGTCTGGTAACCATTTAACTATAAACCCAAGTTTTAGGCATGCATGACAATGTATTTACTGATATATACCGTCACCTTTGGCACGATTCTGTAATTCTACATTCTCTTACTTGTTGTTAATTTAGCTATGTCTTTTGACGCAATGCTAAATTGAAAGCAGGATTCAATAGACTTGTTAAGCACTTTTATGGCTAAATCAATTATAGATAAAATATTAGATGCTTTCATGTTTTTCCCAGATATTTGAATGTTATGTAACATGTATTTGCTTAGTCAATCCAGGAAAGTTAATTTATTTTTTGTAATAATGGTCTGTGGTAATTTGTCATCTATTGCCAATAAAGAGACATGACTCAAATAATAAACATTCCTTTGTAATCATTGACTAGACACACGGTGACCATAATGCATGCATACCTACATATATATTTGTATTGTTTTTCACCTGTGTAAACAGTGGTGTGCCTAGTTCTTATGGAACTGTATCTAACTTCCTTGTTATTCCTGAGAATTATATAGAATTTTATATTTTTAACCTGCAATATAGATAGAACAAACCGGGTTCTAATCAAAGATCATTTTGTGATTGTTTAGTGTTTGATTAAAGGAATCACTAATTGCATATCAATTCTACACTGTTTACAGTATTTTTATTTCATTTTTTTTTTTTTTTTTTAATGTTAAGGAAAATCGTCCAGTACCCGTACCAGGTCCAAATGGTAAGTCTTCAATAATCTATATAGATGTATCCTCTAAACCCTAAATTCACCCATTAGGCATTGTATAGTGGGCTAATTGTTGTGTTCTAAAAACTCAAATTATAATTATATAAATATTCGCTAAAATTACTTCTATACACTGCATCCAAGACCTAAGATATAAGATTAATTGAAAAAATACTGATCTTTCTTTTTTTTTAGGGCTGCCCCGCTTTATTGAAACCTTATAACAACTAATACATGTGATGTCTGAGCAGAATATCCCCACCAACTTGAGTTCACTTAGATATACTCCTAAGTGTATTTTACTAAAATTTCAATCATCAGTAAATCGACCATGCAGTCTTCAAAAATTTCCAAACTGGAAAAACTCTTCTTCTGGACTATATTTTACCGTGGTTGTTTTAGTTCAACGTTTTACAGCGAGTTAAAGGACCACTATAGTGCCAGGAAAACATACTCCCCCTCCTGCCCGGCTCTGGAAAGGGGAAAAGGGGTTAAACTTACCTTTTTCCAGCGCTGGGCGGAGAGCTCTCCTCCTCCGATCCTCCTTCTCTCCTTCCATGCGGCTGAATGCGCCCACGCGTCAAGAGCTGCGTGCGCATTCAGCTGGTCACATAGGAAAGCATTCATAATGCTTTCCTATGGACGCTTGCGTGCTCTCACTGTGAAAATCACAGTGAGAAGCACGCAAGCGCCTCTAGTGGCTGTCAATGAGACAGCCACTAGAGGATTAGGGGGAAGGCTTAACCCATTCATAAACATAGCAGTTTCTCTGAAAAAATGGGTTAACCCTAGAAGGACCAGGCACCCAGACCACTTCATTAAGCTGAAGTGGTCTGGGTGCCTAGAGTGGTCCTTTAATGGATAAATGCACATATTTAACCCGTTCTGCATTATACTCTAAAATATCTATAATTCTTAAGACCCGCCATACAATACAAATGCAATTCGTTTTTACGTCACTTGACTAATACTTTTTTTTATTTTTTTATTTTTATAATTTTTTAGATAAGTGGCAAACAGCTCAGTCTAGAGACTGTAGTTTTTAAGATAAGTTTTATGATAATTAAGTCAAGTGTAAAGTGATACTCATGTCAACAATTAGTGGTGCATACCAAGAGCTGATCATTTATATAAAGAATACAAATGATACCCCCTGTGCAATAACTTACATTAGACAGCCTTACCATGTTGAAGAGGAGAAAAAAAAAAAAAAGGATGCATCTACTGTAGGTTTGTTAGACCACGGAGTGTAGTATTTTGGCCAGGAAAAAACGTGCCAACCAACAAATGATGCCCAGATAGGGCCAAAATTATATTGTTAAAGTTCTCAAAATAGTTTGACTACTTTGCATCAGATCAGACGACCATAGCTAGTACAGCAATATGTCATGGCTAGACTGCCCCTTTAATAAAAGCCTGTGGCTGTCGCTTGCAAAATGCTGCTGCTGCAATACAGTTTTACTTTTGGTGGCAAATTTCAGTTAGTTTTAATCCTGGCCTTTTGACCAAAACGCCATGTTAGTTTTAGTCCTATTTTTTAGTCACCAGTATTGTAGTCGGCACAACTAAAATCTAACGGGTTTAGTTAAAGCCTCTGTTAAAGCCTCTGTGTATCTTTGTATGTTCCCCAGCCCCTATGGGCGTCTCTCCCCACCTGTCTGTCTCTTTTTTTCCCCTTTTTCCCCCCTTCCTCTTGTCTCTTCCCCCCAGCACCTTGTCTTTTTCCCCCCAGCCCCTCTTTGTTGCTTTGTATCCTACCAGCTCCTCCATGCACCTCCTTTCCCCCACGTCTCATTCCCCTAGCTATCCAGGTGTCTCCCCCAGCTCCTCCATGTGTCTCAAGCATCTCCATGTGCTCATTTCCCTTCCCAGTCCCCCCATGTGTCTCATTTTTCCAACCCCCCTTGCCCCCCCTCATGTGGCTCATTCCCCCAGCCCCCTCATGTGGCTTATTTCCTCTTTTCCCTTACCCATGTGTTTTACCTGCCAGTGTTAATTTTTGCATGACATTTATTGTTAGTTATAGGCTTTTGACTAAAAAACTATTTAAATTTTAGTCGTATTTTAGTAATTTGAATTGTTTTAGTCGGCGATATTTGAAAAATATTTTTGTTTGTTGACAAAATTAACACTAATGCAGAAATAAGTGACCATGTCACCTTGGTGACCTTTGCAATATAAGCAAAGACTCTGAAAGAGACAGTGCTGCATTAATGCAGCTGCACAGCTGAGAGAAGCTGACTGCGCCTGCTTGCAAATCTCTCCCCAACAAGAAATAGGCTTAACCAATCCGCTTTCCATTCTCGTTTGTGGGTTTTGAGCTTACTCTACAGAATTCTGTTTTAAGTTAATTTCCACTAAATATATTCAGGGCAATTTTTTAATAATTAATTATATACTAATTAATTATTATTTATTTTTATTTTTTTCTGTGATGGTTTTTAAAAAAAGTGTGAAACCCCATGGAGTTATTTTGTAATGCTATTAATCATTACTATTCATGATAAGCAATATCACTTATTTCTGTTCAATGGAACTTCTAGTTGATCTAAACATGCTATTTTTAAACTCAACCACACCTTCTCATAGATATCAATTAATCTATATGGTTGCTACCAACTTTAGTAGCGCAATCTATTAATCATTCTTAGTACTGAAAGCTAACCCTTTCATCCACATCTTTTATGGATTAATAGTTGAGGTCAGAGAAAAATCTAGGACAGCTGTTTTAATGACAGAATATGAGAAACTCCATAGTTTGTCCTATCGGTAAATCCCCGCTCAAGTCTCAAAATAGTTTTTGCTCACGTGTGCCATTACAATGAGAACATATTTCAAGGCATAGCAGACTGATCACATCCATAAGGGAAATTCAGAACCAAAATGCTGGCAAGCTCTCACGGCATGAGAGATATAGCAACCATGCACAATCATTTTGCCCTTCTTTGGGCCTCGTCAGTGAGGTCTAGCTGATACAATGAGCATGGGGTCCACACCTGGATTACCCTTTTAACTTGGGATGAGCCAAGTTAGTGCAGCAAAGACAAAGAATTTGAGAACTCTGACAATGGACAAAAGCTTAGAGAAACTCTGTAGCTTGACCTTCTGTAAATCCCAGCTCAGGTTTAAAAATAAATGTATATTAAAAATGTTGCTATTGACAATACAAACCAGTTCAGTCCTTGCAATAAATTGTATAGAGGGTGGAAAACACTGATTTTTAGCAAATTAACCTGAAAAGTGTATTTTTGTAAGGTTCAAAAGGTTTTTTCGAGTTTTAATACATTTTTTTTCTGTGATTCTCTCACTATAGTTATTTTTTATTTTATAGCAAACTTATAACCGGATCTATTCAGTACCAGAATAGAAGTAAATATAGCCATGTGGATTTCTACACTTTAGTTTTTTTTTTTTTACCCAGACACATAATTTGTTAATAATAGAGTCCTCTACTCAGTTGGTAGATATTACCCCATTCAATTCACAGTCACTAAATAGTAACCCTTTCACTCCAATAACTAAATAGTAAAGCAGATACCTTTAGAAATGTATGAATGTAATTTGTGCCCAGAGAATCATGGGAGTTGTAATTCAGCAACATCTGGGGGGCTGAAATTTTGATATGCTTGCATTAAAGGAGTGTTCCGAGCTACTATAGTTACATAGGCTGAAAAAAAAATGTCCCTCAAGTTCAGCCTTCCTCACATCTGCTTTTTCCTGTTGATCCAAAAGAAAGTAGAAAAAGAAAAAAAAATGGGTTTGAAGCACTTCCAATTATGCAACAAACTGGGAACAAAATTCTTCTTGACCCCAAAATGACAATCAGATTTCTCCATTTATCAAGAAGCTATTAACCTACATTTGAAAAAATATATCCTTGGGTATTCAGTTTTTACAAGTATGCATGTAGTTACTGTTTATGGCAACTGTCTATAGTCAGCTGTACCCTGGCACCGTACCAGTGTAATAAGTCAAACTGTTTTAGACCATTTTCTTGAACCCTTACTCTATCCCCTAACCCGAACTTGAAACTGGCATGTAATATAAAAGATGTATAATGGTGAAATCATTATTAGAATATGTGAGCTGCCTGCTTTTGTTTCTTCTCTCAAATGTATTTCTTATGGCAAGAGGTAGGTAGTGTGCCAACCTCTCTGTGTCACATTGTCTCATTGCAGAGGTCTTGCTGAAGATGCATTCTGTCGGAATATGTGGTTCAGATGTCCATTACTGGCAACATGGTCGCATTGGAGATTTTGTTGTAAAAAACCCAATGGTTTTAGGACACGAAGCTTCTGGAACAGTGGTCAAAGTTGGTTCCTCAGTTACTCACCTGAAACCAGGTAAACATAAATCGACAGATACACTTTTCTTCATGCAAACAAAAACTTGGGCCATAGTTTGCACATTGTTAAACTGTGCATTGATTTAACATGGATATACTTGGCACATGTTTTAGGATTATTCATTAAACACTGAATTTTTATCAAATTTAATATTGAAACGTAAAATTTTAAATGAAAATGTCTGATTTTGAAATATTCTGCAGTAGAATTTTTTTGCTGATGTAGACGCAGATGCAAAGCTGTCAGAGAATACCTGCCCTTTGCCATTCTGAATTCAGGATGTAGAACAGGACAGGAATAGATAAAATAAATGTTAACGTTTTTGTAAATTAAATTTAAAAAGAGACGGAAACACAGGGCTGTGGAGTCGGCACATAAAACCATTGATTCGGACTCCACAAATTATGTTCTCATGGACTCTGACTCCTTATATTATGCATTGCCTCACAACGGGCTGGAGCCAGGGCTGAACAAGGGAGGTCTGCACATCCGCCATGTGCAGATCTGAGTACTCCCCTTCTGGAGTCTGACGCTCTGTACGTATCCCATAAGTCTCTGATTTACTGAAAATAACACAGTACGTGTCCAGCACTGCAATAAAAATAAGCTCTATTGCTTCGCTGAAGTGAAAAGGAGATCTTGTCACAAGTTGCTGAGTTTAGGGATTTGCTTAAAACTTGGCACATTTTGTATCTGGTTTTTTTCTGAAGTTACCTTGTTCTCTTCTATGTGCATTATGTTCCTGATACATTTAAAAAAAACAAAAAAAACAAACAACAAATCTGGATTGTGCCTTTACATTGCCCAAAGGTATATTTGTTTCTGAGATGTTTAACAGTGGCAATGGAGCAATTGTTTGCATTTACCGCTTAAAGGCCCTTGAACCAAAGACTAAATATTTGCTTCCTACTGATTAAACTTGTTTGTGCAGCATTGTAGATTTAAAAAAATCAGGAATGCACTGATTAGGAGAAAATACGTATCCTGCTCCAATATTACATATACTAATAATAATAATGAGCACATGTTTGGCTGGAATGGCTGTTTTTTTTTTTTTTTCCTATTAGTTTTAGAAGTGAAAAACAAATAAATAAGATGTATTGTATTGTAAGTGAATTAGCAAAAATATACACCAAGAGGAAAAAAAATAAAATTTGCGGTAGCAAACATATCTTCTCTTTATTGAATATCCATGTTCATATCCAGATAGAAGATATATTAGCAGCAAAGTAAATAAAAGTGCTAACTTGTCATGAGACTTCCTGTCTTTGCAGACCCTTTTTTAATAGCTCCCATAGTAGCTGTGTGGGTAAAGCAGATGTTTGGATATTAACATGGATTTTTAATAAAGAGAACAATTATTTGCAACAATTCTGTTTTTATTCTTTATCTTGGTGAAGTGCTGTTATTTTGGTATTTTTGTTGGTTTTCTCTGTTTGGTAGCTATTCTAATATGTCCCCCCAAGGGACTACACTGGTACCTCTTTAATTGTTGCCTATGTGATAATTACATTTTCACATTCACATTTTTCACATTCTTTAACAGGGAAGCAGCTGAGTCATTCATTTTTGTTGCAGAGTACTATTGTAAGTGAATCTGTAATCCATAAATCATATGGATGACATATATTAGGTACCTTTAAATGTAATGTGTGCTTATTCACCAGTGCTAAAAGATATTCTTACATGCATATTGCTCCATACAGACCTCCTCTACACACGCTTGTATGTACTTACATATCCAAAATATGTTTGGTGTCCTACAATTCCTATAATGCAGGTGAATGCTGTGAGTTATATGATGCGGCCGAGTCATGTAGGCACAGTCTTACATTGCTAATCTGATTCTGGTTACATTAGTTCTTTGTGTTTGCAACTTGAATTCTTCTCGGAAAAGTGATTTTTGGGGAAGTTCAGTTTTCATCCTCTAGTGCAAAATTAAAGGGACACTGGAAGTATCAAAATCTTACAGGGTTATTTACTAAACTGAGAATTGTCAGTAATGTAAAGTGATCTCTAAATTTATGGCCAAAGTCGCCAAACACGAAAAATTCTCCAAGTCAACTATGCTTCCAGTTCAGCTTCTTTAGCTTTGAATTTGAAATTCATTTTGAATTCTCAATAATGCTTAATTTGATAAATAACACTATCAGTCATGAATTTGGCCCTTTTAGCCTTGCATTTAAAATATGTGATCAATATGCTGTTTGTCCATAATGCTTCTATGAGAAATATTTAATTGGACAAAAAATATCAATCTTGATAACATAAATAAAACTAAGGCTACAGATATATAATTGTCTCCAGCCCAGTCTACTGTGCCTTACAAAAAGAAAAAAAAATGTTTGGAACTATTTTGAAATCATAGGGGAGCCCTTGATTCTTCCTTCTTTTATCGATATTCTCTTTGTTGTGATGGGAGGCCAAATCAACAGCAGACCATTAACTCACACACGGAGTGTGACAAGGTTTTCTTCAGTTGACTGTTAATATATGTTCAATTAGTCTCTCATGACTTAAAGGGACACTCCACTGTTTAGTAGATATAAAACCAATGAAAACATGCATGCACTTAATTATATATTTTTTTTCTCATTGGTGTATATCTATCTAAAAACGGATTACAAAAGTTGCAGATCTCTTGTCTACTGCTTTTCCATGCCCTCCCTTCTAACTCTGCCAAGACTGTCCAATCACAGACTTTCCAATGCAGCTAATTGAGAAGTCTTTGCAACAGGACCATCTGAGTCTAACAAGGTTAATTTATAAACATGTAGGTGATGTGTAGAGTCCCACAAGGGGAAACCAACATCAGGAGAGCTCTACTGTATAAGAAATGAGGAAGGGAGGCCCTACCTTTAATAAATCTAAGGTTATAAAGGGATATGCAAACAAAAAGTATAACTTGAAAAAAAGGGAGATCTGGAGTACTAGCTAGCATCTAAGTTCCAGTTCCTCTAGTGTCCAACTGACTGGAAGGTATTGTAAACGAGGTTAGGGAGAGAGAAGAGGCACAGGGTCCCCAGAGAACAAGGGACCTAGTAATCAGGTCTAAACACAGATCATTCCTCATTTCTTATACAGTGGAGCTCTCCTGATGTTGGTTTCCCCTTGTGGGACTCTACATATCACCTACTCCTATTACCTACTAATAGCTCCCTATTAGGTGGTTATAGTGGTGCAGCTCATGAGCCCTTGACTTGTATCCGGACTCTGTTTACTTTACTGACCTGCACTCTGTTTACTTTATTTCTCCATTCTGTAATTTATAAACATGCCTATTTATATTTAATATGTGTACTTTTTGTAAAATGGAAAAAAAGAAGGCAAACTCCCCATAAATAAAGCATTTCAGCAAGCTAAAGTGGTTTACGGGTGTGGAGTGTGACCCGTTAAATGGTGAAAGAGGTCTGGACACATAAGGTTACATCCAGTGTAGAAATGCAATGAATGGCAACATTTCTACTTTGCAGAGTCTTTACTAAGCCCGGGAACCAAAAAGTTGCGTTTTTATTCCAGTAAAGTCTTCACTGGATGTAACGGTGTGCCTGGACGTCTTAACATCACATCACTATTTACACTGGAAATAAGGTTTTGCCACTTTTGTTTGTGTGGCACAAAGTGTGGATTCAGAAGTGTGTGTGTGCCCTAAACTTTGGTTTCATAATGTATTTCTTAAATTGTCGGTGATAGTGCAGCAAATGAACAGTTTGTCATTTTAGTGCAGTACATATTGGGGAAAAAGTAATTCCTTGGATTGTCTGCACACATGTTGTACGCATGTATGTGGATTGTGAATGACAGAACAAAGTTGAAAAGTTGGCTCTCCAGTGGAGACATTCAGTATGGCAATTCTCATTGCTCAACCTATTTACTTGTTAAACGTGTTTGGAAACTCCCAAGTGATAACAGGCTAAGTCAATGAGTAATGGGTTTATAGAATCAACATTGGAAAAATAGAAATGCAAAACAAATCACAGCATCACAAAGAATAAAATGTATTAAAAAACATTGCTCTTTATCATGTACTGTGAGAGAATTTAAGTTTGAGATGCCATTCCCTTGACATCCTTGACACACACGCATTCCCTTGCATCATCACTTCCTTTCATTACAAATTAAGCAAATGCAACAAAAGGAAACAAACATACTAATAATTATCAAAATAATATCAATCAGAATGTTAAAATCCTTACAAATATTGAATCAAAGTGTATGTGCCAGCAACTGAGATGAAAATTAGTTTTTCTGCAGTTTTTAATATGTATGTCAAAACAAAAAGAAAAGCTACTTAAATATATGTTGCTTATTCCTTGCAGGTGACAGAGTGGCTATAGAGCCCGGGGTTCCACGCGAGACAGATGAATTCTGCAAGACAGGTCGCTACAATTTGTCTCCCACCATTTTTTTCTGTGCAACACCTCCCGATGATGGCAACCTATGTAGATATTACACGCACCATGCAAACTTCTGCTACAAGTAATTACTTTGTGAAAGCTATTTACAATAACTTTGTATTCTGGGCACCATGATGCTGTCATGTATCCTCATATCGCACTTTAAAAAAACGCATATGTTTTTGTGGCAGAACTACTACCCATTCTTAAGTTTTTTTCCCCTTGTTCGCAAATCATGTTTGGGCTTGATTAGAAGATTATGCTTGTCCCATTCTGAATGTAATAGAAATGAGGCTTAGTTATTAATCTGTGGGTAATAGCTAGTGTCTCTTTTGGATATGATACTGGAGCTCGGGAGGTTTTCTTGAGGGCTAATGACTATTCATATCAAAGGACACCTTATCTAGGAGGAAATTAGGACATATGGCAAGTGAGAGAGAGCGTTCATACTGAAGCTAGACTTCCAGGCCACTTGTGTGTGACTTCACACCTTGTAGAGTGGCTCAGTTGGGGTCCCAGCTTCAAAGAGGAATTTGGGTTGTAAGCTCCCAGGCAATCAGATTAGCCCTTTTTGAAAATGTATATTTGGAAGCGTTTAGAATATTGTATAGTTTTCTGTAGAGGGTCCGGGAGGAAAAACCCTGTATTATTGTATGGGAGACCCCATGTAGGGGTTTGTGCATAAAAGCCATGTGTTCCAATAAAGGTTAGTTGACTCCCAGGTATTTACTTGTGCTGATGGTTCCAGAGTGGCTGAAGGAAGATAATAGCTGAGGTAACCAGTCGGGTTACCCGTGGTCCGCTACATTTGGTTGGCAGTGGTGGGATAGTACTTCCCAGCTGAACGGAACCAGTGTTCGGGAATCGAACAAACATGGGGCCCAGCTACACTGAGGCAGAGTATGACAAGATGCTGAAGGAGCTGCTGTGAAATACATATAGCACACAAGGAAAATAGTGGCTGAGTGCACAGCAGAACAGGCAAGCAGGTGGGCACAGCCCTCACCCCAGCAGCAGTGTGCAGTCCAGGGAGAGAAGCGTGTTGTTCTTCCTCCCTAGACGCAGTGCGAGTTATTGGAAGTGGAGACAACCGGTTTCTCTCCCCATCAGCAGAGTATGTTACAGGGAGTGGAGACAACCGGTTTCTCTCCCCAGCGGCAGAGTATGTTACAGGGAGAAAAGTGTATTGTCCTTCCTCCCCAGCGGCAGTGGTAGTTATTGGGAGTGGAGACAACCGGTCTCACTAACCAGCGGCAGAGTATGTTACAAGGAGTGGAGACAACCGTGCTCACTCCCCAGCGGCAGTGTGGGGTCCAGGGAGAAGAGACAGTCGGTTTACTGTAGAGTATGTTACAGGGAGAGAAGCGCATCGTCCTTCCTCCTCAGCAGCAGAGTGTTTTATTGGGAGTGGAGACAACCGGTCTCACTTCCCGGAAGCTGTTTGAGCTACTGCGAGAGGAGGTAGTTGACCCCTCTCCCCAGCGGCACATAACCATTGAAACAGAGGATGTCGTGGTTAAGACCGTGGTCACCACCCTGCAAGTATAAGAATTGGCTCCTCCGACTCTTCCTGAGGCTGACCCCAGCGACCTGTTATGGTCTGGTCAGCGAATAGCAGGTGAGACTACGGCCACCACTACCAGTTCCCTTAAGGATGCACCTGTATCAGAGCAGAGTGCAGCCAGCCCCTGCTCTCCCATTCCCCTGGTTCCTGACCCTAGCTGCCTTGCAGGGTTCGGAAGGCAGTTTGGTGTGGAGGCTCTGGGTAGAGGACAGGTAGCCTCTACCCACCCCTGGTACCTAAGTTGGGCCCCAGCAGCCTTGCAGAGTCCCAGAAGCTAATAGTAGCAGCGGCTCAGGTCTCGGAGCAGAGTGCCGCCAGCCTCTGCCCACCCTTGTTTAGGGACCCTTGCAGCCTCATGGTGCCCAGACACACGATGACCGTGTGGGGCGCGGGCCTCTGGGCAGAGGGCAAACTGCCTCTGCCTATCTAAGCGATGGTCCCTGGGAACGGGTGCCGAGCTGAGTGAGATTCAGGGGGAAGATGGTGTATTACTTGCCTCCTCCCCAGTATCCCGAACAGCTCCCGGGGGAGAGCACAGTCGGCTCTCCTCCCCAGAAGCCAGCAACGACCCCAGCGATTAACAGGAAGCGGAGCCGCGACGGACTCTAAAACTACTCCCATCCTCAGCCAGCTAGGAAAACCGCAGCGACCCCGGTGATGGAATGGCCGGGAGGGCACGCTTGTTTGGGTGGGGGTTAGCGGAGGTAACCAGGCGGATTACCTGTGGTCCGCTACAGTTTTCTGTTAATAATTTTCAAGTACATTTTAGTTTGGATTTTTTTTGTTTGTTATAAATGAATAAAAGATTTCTAGTTGATAAATGACCTAAAACTTAGATCAGCTCCACACTAAATAACACTATACGGCTACCTTTATTGTAGTTTGGTTAGACGAAATTAACAAACATCTGTTGGAAATAGAGCTTTAAAGGAACACTATAAGCTCCATAGCCACAACTGGAGTGGCCCGGGTTCCTTGCAGTGTAAGTAGTCAAACTGTTTTAGAACTTCTTATCTGGTGTCTGTCAGGTATTGCTGCCTGTGTCTGACACTTGAAGCTCTTGGCCTTGGATAACCCTGGTAGTTCATGGCTTAGATCATCAACTGAGAGCAACCAGTCTTGACAGAAGGACACAGCAAGGGTTTTTTTTTCATGTTGTCATGGGTTGCAAGGTCTCTTATTGTATCTTGGTCACTGCTTCTTCAATCCTGCTATGGTCCTGTATTTCTGCTTCAGCATAAAATGATTATAGCTGCAGGAATAGTGAATATAGCCCTCTTGTGAAATTCCTCATTATAGTGGACAAGACCAGTTGTATTGGGTAAAACAACTGAACTGTTGTTTGTAGAGAAAATGTATTTATACTAGGGATCGAGCCGATGCCGATAATCTGTGAACTTTCAGGCCAATAGCCGATAACTTGCCGATATTCTGTACATTTACCATTTTGAAAAAATAAACTAATCCTAAAGATAAATGCACAAAATATACATGCCACGTGTAGTGGATGAAGTGTGTTTAGACAGGGGAGCTGTGTGTGTTTGTGTAGTGTGTATAGTGAATGCAGTGCGTGTTTGTGTAGTGTGTGTGTATATATAGTGAATGCAGAGTGTGTTTGTGTAGTGTGTATAGTGAATGCAGAGTGTGTGTTTGTGTAGTGTGTGTATAGTGAATGCAGGGTGTGTATATAATGCAGTGTGTGTGTGTTTGTGTAATGTGTATATAAGGCCGTGTGTATGTAATGTGTGTTTGTGTAGTGTGTGTGTGTGTGTGTATATGTAGTGTGTGTGTGTTTGTGTAGTGTGTGTGTGTGTAAAATGGGGGAGAGGGGCATTTTGTTATGTTAATTTTTTTTATTTTATTTTTTAATATTTAAATGGTGTTTTTTTGTTTTTGTTAGTCCCACTGGTGTTAGTATTCCCTGGTGGTCCGGTGGCTTGTTAAGTACTGGGGGCGGGCAGCAAGCGCTGACTTACCTTGCCAGCAGCTCCTCCAGCTCCCCTGTGTAAATCTCGCGGCCCTTACTGCTGTGCGGAGCGTTGCCATGGTAACCCATGGCAACGCTCTGTGGTTGCGGGTCTCGGGAGATTTAGACATGGAGCTGCAGGAGCTGCTGGCAATAAGTCAGCGCTTCTGCCCCAGGACCGCCGGGCTTGTGATGAGCCTGGCGGTTCTAGGAGGTATTATCGGCAATATCGGTATCTATATTGCCTGATACCGATATTGCTGAAAATACAGAATATCGGCTGATTATATCGGTAAAACCGATAATCGGTCGATCCCTGATTTTATACCACTACACGCACAGGGGGTCTTTAGCCAGAACAATGCAACCACTCCCTTGTGTCTTGGTGTCTGGTACATAATTAGATTAAGACTTAATTAAATTACCTGCTGGACATCAAGCCCCATTACAAAATATTACACAATATATTAATTAAAACAATCGCTTTCATCCAGCTGAACATTTTACATACTAACTCGTTATGACAACAGTAACACAATGTACCTACCACATGCTATACATCACTTTAAAGCTGGTGACAGGTCCTGTAGTTTGTGTGTAGTAGGCTAACCTTAAAGCCTCCCCAGTAGGCTATGGCACGGCTGCTTATGTGACAAATGTAATAAGCAGCTGTGAGTTACCATATATTTGCCATATTGTGGTTTATATGTTGCTGCTGTCTTTTTTAAATTTCTGACCCTAACTACAAATGGGCAGGGAATTGAGCCTGTATTTGTGGAACAGGTTTAACACCCTTAGAAGACACTGTCTTTTTCAGTTAATGCAATGGCCTCACCTTATCAGGTAATGCAATAGCCTTAATTCCATTGTTCCCTCCAACCCCACCCTCTATTTCAAAACATTCTACACAAAAAATTTGACAAAGGTTTGTCCTCTTCAGGTCTACCCAATCTTCTATTTTTGGCAAACACAGCAGCTGGCTTTCAGGTTCAAATTTCCTGAATCACTTTCTATGCATTTGAATTTATTCCAAGATATTTGTTGGCAAGATTCTAACATTACTTGAAGAACTTGTTTTGTGAGACACTCTAGGTTGCTTGTGTCTCTGTCCCTCACTGTGGATCAGAATTCTGTATGAAAGAATCAATTCTAGTGCTATAATTACCATAACAGAACTGTGGCAACTGTGTTTGGAGCAAGGCTCAAAACTATTTCTTTGAATTTTCCTGTATCCCCATTTGTGCAGTCAAGTCTTCACAGTTCGATGTTTAGTAAATAAACCAAAAGTGAGTGGTGCACTGACTGATCACATATATCCATTGTTTCTAACACTTGTTCAAGCTTTTGTACTTCGATTCAGTGGAAAGTTAGGTTACTCATATATTGCAAACATGACGGTAACGTTTAAGTATGACTATGATTCTGCAATTATAGACACATCCATTTTGTGGTAGACATAATACTATGTATAACCCTCTAAAAGATGAATTAATCACATAAACGATTAATCAGAGTGGAGTGAGCAAAACTTCACATTTGATATAAAACTTCCTATTACAAGGTTACAATATTGGTAGGAAGATTGAGTAATAGTAGTGTAGTAATATAAATCCTATATTAAAGAGAAGCACTGATTTAAAAATAAGTCAGATGCATTTGAGTGGTGTATACCTCCATATATAATCTGTACATTGTACATGTTCAAGTCCATTTTTCAGCAATTCATAGTTGCGCTATTGCATCTTTGAGACTTTATTTTGAAATCTAATGCAGTTAATTGTCCTAAAATTTAGACTGCGCCCTTCTTTGTAAGGTGAAGTACGCAGTGAAAAGAAGAGCCTTGTCCGAATATTAGGAAAATTAATTGTGATGTAAAGCATTTTCATTACGTTACAATGTACTATTTTTGACTATGATCAACAGTCCTACTGTAGAGATGCATTTTGAGGAACTAAACTGTGGAGTAATTTTGTTTTTATTACATATACTTAGTCAAGTGTGTCACTTCTGTTTTTTCAGGCTTCCAGATAATGTAACATTCGAAGAGGGTGCGCTCATTGAACCTCTTTCCGTGGGAATCCATGCCTGTAGGAGAGCTGGAGTGACTCTTGGTAGCAAAGTCTTCATCTGTGGTGCAGGTATATGACCTGATAAAATTTATAGTTGTGTAGACCAAAACATGCATTTATATATTTTTAATTATTATCATCTCTTTTGTGTGTTTCAGGGCCTATCGGACTGGTTTCTCTTCTGGTAGCAAAAATGATGGGTGCTTCACAAGTAGTGATAAGTGGTAAGAACTGAATAAAAACTCACTTCTTCACAAAAACATATCAATTAAACTGTTAACCCCTTAAGGACCAAACCTCTGGAATAAAAGGGAATCATGACATGTCATACATGTCGTGTCCTTAAGGGGTTAATAGCTCCCAACTGATTCCTCTCCTGCAACGATCATTTATGAAACAAAACACAACACACTAGTCTTTAATGAATAGTATTCGACCAATCTACTTCTCTAATACTATCCTTACCTTTTGTGTCACTTTATCCCACTCCCTCTAGCATGTAAGCTCATAAACAGGGCACTCAAACCCTCTGTTCCTGTGCATCAAACTTGTCTGGTTACAATTACATGTTTGTTAGCCCACCTATTGTAAAGCGCTACATAATTTGTTGGTGCTATATAAATAATAATAACTAAATAAAAGTAGATTATGTATTAACTGCCATACAGTCTGGGAAAGCACAAGTGTACTAAAGCTTTTAGACTTGAACTCTGATAAAGCACTCTATGTGGTAGGAGGTAAAAATAAGCCCATGTATTTGAGTCACACAGCCTTATCTGTGCTATTTTTCCCCACTCACAGTGCTGTAGACAGGGGCAGTTAAACTCTAAATGCCATTCCACATTTCCTAACCCTAGTAGATCCTATCAAAGCATTTTTTGGGGTAAGTAACAAACAGGTGTTAAAAAAATTCCCTGGGTAATGTCAATACTTCATGATGCTCTCGGCACACTTTTAGTCATTTGCTGAGAGATGCTATACAGGCATATACTCCATCGATTATTTCTTCCAAAGTGTTAGGCATGCTCTGTAAAATATCAAAAAGAAGAAATAGAAACACTAGTGAGGAAAAAAACCTTATGACACAAGAAGTAAATACAAACAGGAGACCTAGAAAACAGAAAATGCACAACATAGTGTGAACTGTTTAAAAGCATAAAATAAAAAGGGTGGGATAGGAGTTCCACTTACATGACTCAGAACTGTCCCAGGCTCTGTATTCTATGCTGTAAGGTGCCATTAGGGGCTATACGATCCAGTTCCCCTCTGAGTCATGTAAGTGGAACTCCTATCCCACCATTGAATGCTTTTAAACAGTTCACACTATGTTGTGCATTTTCTGTTTTCCAGGTCCCCTGTGAAAAATTATGTTTGTATTTATTTCTTGTGTAATAAGTTTTTTTTTTTTTTTTTTTCCTTACTAGTGTGTGTGTGTGTGTGTGTGTGTGTGTGTGTGTGTGTGGATATATATCTATAAATATATCTTCTTTTTGATGTTTTATTGAGTGTTTGGGGAAAGCATGTCATATACTTGTTTTTGACACCTATTCACTTTACACACTTATCTTTTTTTTTTTCATGCTCTGTAAAATATTAAGTAATACCTGTTTGGAATAAAACAAACATTGGTACAACCCATAGATAACATTTATTTAGCTACTGTATTGCATCAGAACTCTTCCTGTGACATTCACGCAATAATGTCTCTTGTTACCTCAGGTCCATTGCTCTATTAAACCCATGTCCACTTGGTATCCTTTACTAATAACTGCGAGGTACATTTGTTCCAGAATATTTTTGCAATAATTCATGCCCTACTTAATATCATACAAGAACATAAAAACATTCAACTAATTATAGAAATAAACATACATAATTATACAAATCGAATAAAGTATAATCTCACTCATTGTTAAATATTCTGCATTTTGAAATGTTAATTCAGATGTTCTCCAATGTTCTTTTTGTGCTCGAAGTAGTGAAGACACTTTAGCTGCTTTTCAGATCAATGGCAGGACTACAAGCATTCCATTTCACTCCTGGAAAAGACAGATTATATTTGAAAACAATGCACATTTTAATGCAGAGCATAAGGGGTTTTTGAAGGATTAATGTATTTTCTTTAAGGCCTAATAGAGGTATAAAAATCTTGGACATGATAAAATGTAATCTGTAAGACACAACTTCGTGAAGATTTAAATTGTCCCTTCCAAAGTGAACATTCAGCTCTTCATGAAAGTTTGTGACATTTTGCATGTGTTGAGTCTTATAGATGTACAAATGCAGTGGGACCTTTTGTAATACTGAAAACGTCTTCACTATTCAGCTTAAAGGGAATCTATTTGCGACTATAGACTTTCTTCTTGCAATGTGCACACTGCCCTCCCTTCTTTGAATTGTAAAATAATCTAGACTAATAATACTCATCTAGTTTCCAGAGCCAATACTCCTCTTTTTTTTTTTCTTCATGTACTCTGTCCCTGATTAATGATCAATTGTCTATTATAGTGGCAATAACAAATAGCTAACTCTAATTTTGCTCTTTGTTGAGCTATATTTTTTATACAGTAATATTTTCATATTTTTTTTTGTAGTTTCATTATAAATAAGACTATAAAGGAACTTGTAATGTAAATCACTGGTATCCAGTGCTGTAGTGCATTCAGAACATATAGAAGGTAGTTACACTAATGTGTGCCTGGTGCATCTTTGGAATATATGGAGGTATATATATTTTATACTTCTCTTCACTGCCCACCTTGCTACAGTAGACACTTCAGTAGTGTTTACTGTGATAAAGGAACCTTTAAGTTGTTGACCATTTCTTCTAAACCTTGAATCACTTGAAACACATTACACATTTGTTTTTTATTTGTCAGGTATTGTCTCCTCTGCCTATTCCTCTGTAGCTCTTCTTCCAGGCAGATATGCACCTCTGCCTGCAATGTGATTGCTCTTGTCTTTATAAAGACACTTACAGCTCTCAGACCTAGATCTCTTTAATTTGGCCCAGAGCTAGAGGAATCATGCAACCATGCAACAGGTACTAAAACTCTGTGGCTGGAATCCCTAAAACTCAATACAGGAGACAAAGTTCCTAAAGGAACTAACATGCAAAGATTTATTTTACTTGGGACTAGCCAATATGGCTATGTCGGGCCTAAGGACTTTAGGCGCGCTGCACAAAAACTGTTCACAGCGCCCTTCTGTGGCCACACTCCCTCCCGGGACACACCCTCACATTAATACTTCATTTAAAACCTCATTACTCCCCACTGCCTCCCCCCCAATTTTTTATAAAAAAGCTGTATCAAAATACTACAATATAAATATAACTTTGTAGAGGTGTCCCTCCCATTTGCAGTTAAAATTAGAAAATAATAAAGATTTAGTCACCTTTTTCCAGCACCTCCCACAATGTCATTGAGGGGACATTGCCTACCGCGCCAATTTCCAATCTAATGCTTTTCATACTGGAGAAGCAAGTGTTGCGTAAGCAGTAAAGTGTTCCCATAGGAAAGCATTGAATCAATGCTTTTCTATGGGGTTCTTGCGTCACGTGACCGAGTTTTACTCAGTCAGTTCAGTGGAAGCATAAAGAAAGAAGTAGAAAGGTGGGTGGGTGAACAATAGCTAAAAACCAAGTGCAGGCAAGCCTCTGTAAACAGGACAAATAATAAAAGACAAAATACTAGAAAGAACAGGGCTGTATTGGTATATAATAATGAGGGAATAAGAAAGAAATATAGAATATAAAATGAAAAAGCAGCAAAAATCACAGCACAACATATGTGCCCAAATATCTAAAAATCCACAATAGGCAAGGAACCTATTGAGCACTATCTGGGACCCTGCACTTTGGTATCAGCGGTTTTTATCCTGTTTGTGTGCTGATTTTGTACACTGCTTATGCAGTATTTACTTTGGGCTCGTTATACTGTATGTGTATAAGTGATACACTTTCTTGTATAAGCATATTTGCACTTTAGCACTTGCGCTTTATTCCACTGCCCAGTTCAGCATCATATATTGTTAAGCTGCTATACCTAAGGGTTCCTTGCCTATTGTGGCTTTTTAGATATTTGGGCACATATGTTGTGCTGTGATTGTATTTTGTATCAATAAACTTTTGCTGCTTTTTCATTTTATATTCTATATTTCTTTCTTATTCCCTCATTATTATATACCAATACAGCCCTGTTCTTTCTAGTATTTTGTAGTTCAGTGGAAGCTCCTCTGGTGACTCTCATACTGACAGTCGCTAGAGGTTATCTTAACCCTGCAATTTAAACATTGCAGTTTCTCAAAACACAGGGCCACTGCACTCAGACCACTTCATTGAGATGAAGTGGTCTCTGTGACAATAGTCTTCCTTTTAAGAATTTTTTTTAAAAAATTTGTCCTATAATAGGTAAGAAAACCCCCCATATATAGCCAATAGTCTATTTAAGAATAGGATGCACACTAACACACTCATTCTCACTGACACACACAATGACACAAAGATAGATTCACTGTCTGATGTATGTATTTACACCCACAATGATGCATATAATCAGTGACACAAACATTGACGTGCACTCACTCACCCAAACCCACAGGCACTCATTGACACACATACACTGAGCAAGCACTCACTAACACATACACTCACTGGCACAATCATTCACTAACACACATTGACACAAGAAATCACTGACACACACACACACACTCGCTTAGAAACACACTGACTCACACACTTATTGACACAAGCACTAACTGAAACACACAATGTAACAAGTACTCACTAACACTCATCGACACAATAACTCACTGATACAGGCATTCACTGACACAAGCACTAAATGAAACACACACACACTGGCACAAACCATGGCATTAACACTGTCACACAGACACTGAGACTGGCACCTAATGACACACACTGACATACAACAGTTTACAAATGCATATTTCCACTATATGGTTTACAGAGACAGGTCCTACAGGATTGTAATTGTTGGAGCCTGACAGCCCTGACCGAGTAGGAGAAATAGCAGAGAATAGATATATCCGGTCATAGAAAACTGACCTGCTGCAGCCAATAGCTCCACCCTCAGCCATGCTCCCAGCTTTGAGACAGGATTCTGCAGAGTGTCACACATCAGCAGGGGAAGGGCAGGGCTGTGCTGACACTCCTCTGAGGGAAAACTAGAGGCAGCACAAAGGCCATCAAAGAGGCTACTGCTGTAAAATGCAGGTGGAGCCGTGGAGGGCTGAAGTAACATGCTTTCTAAATGAGTAAACACAGGGGGCTGTCACATTTGAAAATGAGTGTATGCTCCCCCAGCCTAGCCTAACCTCCTGAGTGCTACAGAGGGTGCAAGGGAAGGATTAAAAAAATGTTCACCTAGTGTCCAAGCATGTGCGAGTTGTGTTGCCTGCCCGGTGCCCCTGTTGCCATGGCACCCTGTGCGGCTGCACCCAAAGGCCAGCCCTGCCAATGTGATCATTACATAAAGCTTACGGTGTCACACACTAAAATACATAAAACCATATAATAATATAGGGACACACATATTTACAAAGGTGCAGGGAATATAATAACTAACACATGAAATATATTCAGAAACCATAATATATAAATCTGAATATGCAAATTAACAAGCCAGCTGTTCAGGTAGTGCATATAGCGGTTGCTACCATCAGCTGGTGCTGTACAAGCTCCAGAGCCAAATCCACCTAGTTGGTAGGAAGCATCAGCAGGACAGGAGCCCAACATCCAGGACTAGACCCTTAAACCTCTCACCCACCCTACCCCCCATTAATGCCTATGCTTTAAATGTCTTGATAACATTGACATTGGATTTCATTGGCCACCTTGAACCCTCTGCTCTTTGCACCCTGAACACAATACTTTTGTTACACTGGAATGAGGAAATTGTTGCTGTATACTGTATCTAATATTTTTCCTGCACCTTCTTTGTACACCTGTAAAAATGCTTTGTGAAATAGTTTTGCATATATTAAGCTTACAAAATAGCCAATTTCCTGTAGTGGGAATAGGACAGAATATCATATGAAACATCAGCCAACAATGGATTAAAATGGAATAGTGTTCACTGGGTCAAAGATAAAAGCAGCCATGGTAGTCTTCTGATAAAAGATGTAAAATTTATGATATGGGATATGTATTCTCTCTTCGCAGTTGAATATTTCCTTAAAGAGATCTTTTTTAATATACTAAATAAAGTTACATCTTAAAATCATGTGACAATAGTGAAGATATAATACTTTGTTTTAACTTGCTTATTTTTGACTATTATGATTAAAACTTTATTTATAATTTTATATATATGAGGGTAAACCTAAAGGTAAAAAATGGTCAGTTAGATAAGCAGCAGGTTCACATTCACTAAACCTGTTCCCATCACAATGGACCTAGAGATCTGTCAGTAACTCATGTATTTGTGTCATACATCATGGTTCAGTTTCTTTTCAAAATACCGTGACAGCAAATGCTACAGACAGAGAGAGCACAATATTTTGGAAAAAAAAGCAGACAGCTAAAAAAAAATGTAAGAACTAACTGGAATAACTGACTGTCTGTCTGACCCACAGTTCATAAAGGTAGGCAAGTGATTTTGTAAACATTTTCTATATATATATAGAAAATGTTTACAAAATCACTTGCCTACCTTTATGAACTGTGGGTCAGACAGACATTAAAAAATCAAAACGAGCTGGTATAGTAAGACTATATTAACATATTAGTTTTTGTAAAGTCCACTATCCTCTATCTTTGAACTAATAGTTAATGCAAAGAAGTGATCACTGTGAGATAGCATAGCTTTAATGATGTAAGGATGGCCTAGAACATCATAACATTATGTTGGGAGCCAGGTGAAATCCCTGCTCACATTGGAGAGATCATGGTATCTATTGATACCTGGGGCTTCCCTCTTTTAAATGGGGTTATATTTATTGGTCCCAGACTGACCAACAAACAGAATGCAGCTCATAGTGAGTGCTGCATACAGCCATTTAAATCCCTGAGCAATCACTCTCAGCTGTGAGACCCCCAGGATCTAAAAAGACCCTATCAGGATTTCCCTGCATGCCTCTTGCTAATTTGTGATAGGTGCTGGGCTTTGCCAGCTGCCATGCATTATTGATTGGCAGGTAAAAAAACATGCTGAAGCTGCAACGTGTGAGGGCTATCTGCTCATGCTGCAGTCAACCATTCGATTGTGCCTCCTGAACATGATCTATTGTTTTAGCTGGGAATTCAGCAGGGGCAATCATTCTGAGTTAGGTGTAGGGTTAGTGTTAGGGTAAGGTAAGGGTTGCTGCTATTTTAGGATTAAGGATGGGATTAGTATAAGGTTATGGTAGGTGTATGGTTAGATTAAGCAAAGTGATTGGGGTGGGTTTGCTATGGTTAACGTTAATAAACCAACAATCAGAAATGTTGAGTCATTTTTCTTTAGTTAAACTTAATGTATAAAAATTACAAAATGTGTATTATTTTTATTTATAACATTTTCTTAATACTTGTCAGGTATACTTATAGGATTTTGTAAAAATTGCTTTCAGTCCTTTTAAAAACTATATATAATGTGTATGGGCGCACTTAAAAAGAAACCTTTTAGATTACTGTGAAACAAACACATAGTACACATTCTAGGTTTTGCTTTTGATTCAGAAGGTGGACAATGCCCGCTTGTGTTGGGAGATTTCCAAAAAGGCTGGTTTTATGATACTTCAGCTTTTTAATAGCACCACACAGAGTACAATGGCCCACACAAAGGAGTTAATGATGGATTTCTCATTATGTGTGTTGTAGGTGTAATAAATCAATTTGCATGGAGCTATTTATAAATGTGTTATTACACTAATACTTTACATTATTAAAAGAGTATTAACCTCACCTTGATTTAAGCAGGTGCAGATATTGTTTTGTTTGTTAGCTTGCAGAACACATATCCACCAGGCTGCCCTATAATGTTATATTTTTGTTGCACAAATATCTTCTTATCTGTTGCTGAAAGTTAACTGGGTTGTCTGCAGTCCTAGAGAGTACTAATCTGGGATATATATATATATATATATATATATATATATATATATATATATATATATATATATATATATATATATATATATATATATATATATATACACACACAGTCAGGTCCATAAATATTGGGACATCGACACAATTCTAATCTTTTTGGCTCTCTGCACCAACACAATGGGTTTGAAATGAAACAAACAAGATGTGCTTTAACTGCAGACTTTCAGCTTTAATTTGAGGGTATTTACATCCACATCAGGTGAACGGTGTAGGAATTACAACAGTTTGTATACGTGCCTCCCACTTTTTAAGGGACCAAAAGTAATGGGACAGATTAACAGTCATAAATCAAACTTTCACTTTTTAATACATGGTTGCAAATCCTTTGCAGTCAATTACAGCCTGAAGTCTGGAACGCATAGACATCACCAGACGCTGGGTTTCATCCCTGGTGATGCTCTGCCAGGCCTCTACTGCAACTGTCTTCAGTTCCTGCTTGTTCTTGGGGCATTTTCCCTTCAGTTTTGTCTTCATCAAGTGAAATGCATGCTCAATCAGATTCAGGTCAGGTGATTGACTTGGCCATTGCATAACATTCCACTTCTTTCCCTTAAAAAACTCTTTGGTTGCTTTTGCAGTATGCTTCAGGTCATTGTCCATCTGCACTGTGAAGCGCCGTCCAATGAGTTCTGAAGCATTTGGCTGAATATGAGCAGATAATATTGCCCGAAACACTTCAGAATTCATCCTGCTGCTTTTGTCAGAAGTCACATAATCAATAAATACAAGAGAACCAGTTCCACTGGCAGCCATACATGCCCACGCCATGACACTACCACCACGCTTCACTGATGTGGTGGTATGCTTTGGATCATGAGCAGTTCCTTTCCTTCTCCATACTCTTCTCTTCCCATCACTCTGGTACAAGTTGATCTTGGTCTCATCTGTCCATAGGATGTTGTTCCAGAACTGTGAAGGCATTTTTAGATGTTGTTTGGCAAACTCTAATCTGGCCTTCCTGTTTTTGAGGCTCACCAATGGTTTACATCTTGTGGTGAACCCTCTGCATTTACTTTGGTGAAGTCTTCTCTTGATTGTTGACTTTGACACACATACACCTACCTCCTGGAGACTGTTCTTGATCTGGCCAACTGTTGTGAAGGGTGTTTTCTTCACCAGGGAAAGAATTCTTCGGTCATCCACCACCGTTCTTTTCCGTGGTCTTCCGGGTCTTTTGGTGTTGCTGAGCTCACCGGTGCGTTCTTTCTTTTTAAGGATGTTCCAAACAGTTGATTTGGCCACACCTAATGTTTTTGCTATCTCTCTGATGGGTTTGTTTGTTTTTTTTCAGCCTAATGATGGCTTGCTTCACTGATAGTGACAGCTCTTTGGATCTCATATTAAGAGTTGACCGCAACAGATTCCAAATGCAAATAGCACACTTGAAATGAACTCTGGACCTTTTATCTGCTCCTTGTAAATGGGATAATGAGGGAATAACACACACCTTACCATGGAACAGCTGAGCAGCCAATTGTCCCATTACTTTTGGTCCATTGAAAAGTGGGAGGCACATATACAAACTGTTGTAATTCCTACATTCACCTGATTTGGATGTAAATACCCTCAAATTAAAGCTGAAAGTCTGCAGTTAAAGCACATCTTGTTCATTTCATTTCAAATCCATTGTGGGGGTGTATAGAACCAAAAAGATTAGCATTGTGTTGATGTCCCAATATTTATGGACCTGACTGTGTGTGTGTGTGTGTGTGTGTGTATATATATATATATATATAATTTTTATTCATTTTTTTCCTCACTCTGGGTACCTAGTGTAATATAAAGGACAGTTATGACACGTTTGAATCTGTCTTTGAAAGTGTACCTCTTAATTTTCCTCATTCTTCTTTATTTGAGATTTCCATGCTATACCTGTTGCCGCTAATGTTGCTTGGAAACTGTGCTTGAACTTCTTGGGAGGCTGTCTCTTACCTTAATGGGTTAAACCATTTACAAATGATTTAATCCCAAATTTGCACCCGATGCCACCTGTTTACTTGGCCTCCTTGCTTCTGTCGATGTTCCCAGGCTTCAATGAGGAAATCTCAGACAGGGCGCTGAGACTAACAGCTGATGCCCTCAGCCTATCATTAGCTCCCAAATCACAAAACTGTGCGAGAATGATTTGTAGCTATTCTGATATAGTTTTGTTAATAGGGAGTTAGTGATATTTTGAATGTGTCATCTGATGCTATCAGCCTCTGAGTGGTGCTACCCTAAACTTACTCATTGATGTCATAGGCCATTGCCAGACGCCAGGAGGATGTGCAAGTGGACACTACTTTTTCATAACTTTGGGGTTTATTTATTTATTACCGGTATTTATAAAGCGCCAACAAATTCTGCAGCGCTGTACAATTATTGGAGAACGTACAATATGCACAGACGAATACAAAAAAGGTAGAGGACCCTGCCCGTACACTGAGATGTAACCATTGAAACTCTTTTATACAAAGTGCTTAGCTAGATAGCCCCTAAGTTTAGAATCTAAAGGATACAGTGGGGATTTGAGACAAGAAGTAGCAGGGGAAATTTGGAAGTGATGGCTAAAAGAAGTTCACAGAGAGTTGCAGCTATCGGTAAAATGTAAAGGGAATGAAGAGGCAACAGAGTAAGAATTTTGAACAGCTGGAGAAGCATGTAGGGGGAACCTGGGTGGATAGTGCTGAGAAAAAATGCAGAGCTTCTGTAATGTTGGTTCTGGGAGTGTGAGGTGAGTGAGGCCTGAAGAGCAGAGATAGAGATGGAACAGTTATATGAAGGTATTTACAGCCAGGAGGAGCAAAGGAAAGGGGGTGAGGGGATAGAGTAAACATGTGTTGTACACATTTGAAAAGTTTATCAAATTCTAACTCCCAAAATATTAATAACTGTACATGAAATATTGTTCAGAAACATTAAATGACAATGAAAAAAATTGCATGCACAGAAAGTTACAGTGGCAAACTACACGTATAACTGGTAACACATGATAATATGGTAGCAATGTAAGAATAAATGAGGTGGGTTAAAACATGACCTCCTGGCACCATATCAACTTAGTGGAGATGAAGTTGTTATGGTGCCTTGAGTGTCCCTTTATTACCACATGAGGAATATACATAGAAAGTTAAATGTAGGTTTTTTTCTTCAGAGGAGCTATTGAGCTACACTGCCAAGCTGTACAAGTTTTACGTTTTGGGGTGTCCTTTTTAATTACAACAGGTATTTACTCCATATGAGAAATCAAGTGGACAACCTCTTTTATTATAGAGATATTTGATCAACCGGTAATTGTACAGTGAAGGAAAAAAGTATTTGATCCCCTGCTGATTTTGAACGTTTGCCCACTGACGAAGAAATGATCAGTCTATAATTTTAGTGGTAGTTGTATTTTAACAGTGAGAGACAGAATAACAAATAAAAAAATCCTGAAAAACACATGTCAAAAACGTTATTAATTGATTTGCATGTCAACGAGTGAACTAAGTATTTGACTCCTTCAACTTAGTACTTGGTGGCAAAACCCTTGTTGGCAATCACAGAGGTCAGACGTTTCAGGCGAGATTTTGTTATTTTGTGTTTATTCCATTTGTGAATAACCGCACCAACTCTTGTCACCTTCTCACTAAACTGCTTGGCGATGGCTTGTAGCCCATTCCAGCCTTGTGTAGGTCTACAATCTTGTCCCTGACATCCACTTTGCTTTGGCCATGGTGGAGAGTTTGGAATCTAATTGATTGCTTCTGTGGACAGGTTGCTTCTGTGGACACTCCCTTTAAAAGAGTGCTCCTAATCTCAGCTCGTTACCTGTATAAAAGACACCTGGGAGCCAGAAATCTTGCTGATTTATAGGGGATCAAATACTTATTTCACTTATTGACATGCAAATTAATTTATGTTTAATTTAATTAATGCGTTTTTCTGGATTTTGTTTTTTGTTATTCGGTCTCTCACTGTTAAAATATAGACTGATCATTTCTTTGTCAGTGGGCAAACTATCAAAATCAGCTGGGGATCAAATACTTTTTTCCCTTACTGTAATTCATTATGGTAGTAATGAATTAATAATGCAAAAATAAAATTAATATAACAGTGTAAACCAGGGCTTCCCAAACTTTTATGGGCCAAAACCCACTTTTCAAAACGGTAACACCATGGCAATCAGATTTAGAGGCATACAATTGGCACACAGTAACAATCCGCTTTAGATGCATACAATTGGCAATCGGTTTTAGAGGCATTAAATTGGCACACCATGGAAATCTGCTTCAGATGCACACAATTGGCACACCATGGCAATTGGTTTTAGAGGCATAAAATTGGCACACCATGGAAACCCGCTTTATATGCATACAATTGGCATACCATGGCAATCAGTTTTAGATGTATAAACTTGGCACATCATGTCAACTTTAGGTGCATAAAATTGGCACACCATCAGTTTTAGAGGCTTACAACTGGCACACCATGGCAACCAGCTTTAGAGGCATAAATTCAGAACATCATGGCAATCCGTTTTAGAGGCATAAAATTGGAACATCATGGCAGCTTTAAATACATAAACTTGATACACCATGGCAATAAGCTTTAGATGCATAAACTTGGCATATCATGGCAATCAGCTTCAGAGACATACAATTGGCACACCATGGCAAACAGATGCATAAAATTGGCACACCATGGCAATCTGCTTTAGATGCATATAATTGGCATAACATGGCAGTTTTAGAGGCATAATTCTGGGATATCATGGCAGTTTTAGAGGCAGAAACTTTGCACATCATGGCAATCAGACATTCAACTGCTTACTCACAGACTCAGAATCAGAAGTGCTGTGTCCTGCTCTTTCATCCAGGCACCTCACATTGATTATCCCAGTGGTGGAACTAATGTAGAGAGGGCTCTGGTGCAAATGTGTTTTCTGTGCCCCCCTTTAGTGCATGTGTGGCCAAAAGGTAGATCTCCATCTGTCGGAGAACTTCAACAATGCTATACCAGATGGGGATCTACCATTTTCGCATCATTGCAGGGTTATATTTGTGAGCAATGTTTGAGCATTTGAATGTAAGCATGTTTTTGTATTAAGTATATGTGTGCATGAATGGGTGTATTTGTATGTACTGTTGCCATTGGAATGTAGTGGTGTACTTGTTTGTAATGTTTGTGTCTGAATGCATGGGTGTTTGTATGTGGTGTCGGACTTTAAATGTAGGTGTGCTTTTTGTGTGTATTATTATTATTGCCATTTATATAGCGCCAACAGATTCCATATATATATATACACACACACACATATGCACTCATATACACACACACACGCCCACACACAAGCGATATTTTTTTATATCTCCAGCCACACTCCTGTTAGCTTACCTTGTGTGTCCAGGAGGGTGTCTTGGAGTCCTGGTCCTGCTGCTATTGGTGGGAGTGATGGGTCTGGAACAGCTCTTCGTGCTCCTCTCTCCTCATGCTGCGACTGCCTCCTCTCCCTCCCTCTCTTTCTCCCTGCATGATGCTGAGAAGAAGTGACAGACTGTCACCTCATCCCAGTCGCCGACATTACAGGGGTCCGGTCGCGGTCTTAAAGGACCGTGGCACCCGACCGGTCCCCTGTTCAGCAATAATGTTTCCCGGTGCTATAATCATATAACCTAGGAAACATTCGGCACCACAGCAAGTGACAGTTTGGGAACTGCTGGTGTAAACTATACTCCTCTCCAAGTGACCCTCATTAACTGTAAACCTGTTCTTTCAGTAAGGACCAGAAAATGACTGTACGCTTTCCAACCAGACTTGGACACATAGTGAATATTTATATGAATAATGCTGGTATGAACCCCTACTCTATGTAGTTAATGGCCAGGAGACTACAACTCCCACAAAACAGCAGGTGGTGTGAGGGCATCACAATAGTATTCTCCCTGCTCCCCATTTCCTCCCCCATAAATATAAATCAGAAAGCAAGACCTACCTGAGATGGAGCAAACCTTAATATGGCTGCTCCTTTTGTGGTGTATCATGTCTCTGGAGCTCCGTTTGTGGTAAGTGCTGATGTCTGCTGAATCTCCCACGCATATAGGGACCTCTTCCTCTTTGCCACAGCATTCATAAGTGGATCAGCAGTAGGCAGGCCAGTTATGGAGCTGTGAGCTCGCTTATAGCTCCTCATAGGGTTCAATGCGTCACATTGGAGCTGCCTGCTTTGAACATTGACATTGGACATCCTCATGCAAAGTGTGAGGCCATCCAATGTCTCCTAGCAGAGGTTTACTCCATCAAAATCCATGAAGCACCATGTATTGGCTGTCTGAGAGACAACCACTAGGGGTGGGCTTAACCCAGAAATAAAACATTGTAGTGTTTTTCTTCATAGGGCTAAAATGACAGGGGCAAGGTAGCCAGACCATGTAATTGAGATGAAGTGGTCTGGGTGCCTATAGTGCCCCTTTAAGGTAAAAAAAAGTCATACATTATAATAGTAAATGTATAGAAAAGGCAAAGTCATGGCATACAATTTAAATTGTATTCACTAATCATCAAATAGTAATGAATACCAAAGTGCATTATTAATGCCAAAATATTACATCTTGAAATTTGAACCAATTTTTCTGTAGTCACAACTTGGCTGAATTCAGCCTGAAGTTTGCAAATATGCTTTGGTTTATAGCTATTTGCTGTTCAGTGAATAAACCCTATTGTCTAGGTCTGTAATTCAACGGGATTTCCCCATCTAATGTATGTATTTTATTTCAGTTTATCTCTATTTTCATCTCTATCTCTGTGTCAGTCAATATTTGATATTGTCTCTTGAGGCTCTCTTTGTCTCTGTGTCTTGTTTAAAGATATATTTTATCATTTAGCCTGTTTTTTTTTCTCAACTCTCACCCTATCTGTCTTTTTCTCTTAGACTTTATATATTTTCTCTTAGATCTTATATCTATTTCCATCAATCTCTATCTTCCTCTTTCTTACACCCATGTATCTCTTTATTTACTATTTGTCAATGTCTCTCCCATCCTGTTATCCATATTTATGTCTCTCAGTTGTTATTTCTCCACACCTCTTATCCCAACTCCTATACCTGTCTCTCAAACCCCTTAAATCTGCCTTCTAGTCCACTATACTTCTGTTCCTCTATCCCCTTTTCTTTGTCAACCTATTCCTGTTTTGTATGGCCCCAACCAACAGGTACAACTTGTTTTTACTAACCTAGCAGTCAAATTCAGGAATGACAATTGTGAGAATAAAATTCCTACTACCTCAAGACCCACAAGTTAAATATATTTGACATACAGGTTTTGTTTGACATCCCTGCAATAATCCATATGCAAACAAGGGACGTCAAATAGGCAATCTGATATGTTACCAAATGAATGAATGAGTGAGACTGTATGGAGTTGTATAAATAGTAAATAGTAGATAACCTTGTTTAGCCAATCAACTTCAAAGATGGAAAATTAAGTATGAGAGGTAAAAACAATGGCAAGTGGTCAGGTGGTGGTGCCAGCTCCACCCTGGGCTTTTACCCTAATAGCCTAATAAACTGAAAAATAGAAATGACCTCCAAAATATAAGGAGATCTGAGGCTGGCAAAAGACGTAAATAGACAACGCTGATAGAGATGTATCTAAAGACTCATTGTAGTGATGGTATATCAAACAATAGGGGAACATCAGCAACCTTCAGTTGTATTGACTAGTGCTCTTATGGAAAAATAAAATTATGGACATATGTCTTTATTTATCCTTGCTGCAAAAACCACAGGACACTAACTTTGCTCCCCTTCCATGGCCAAAAATGGTAATGAATTTACCTAATTAATATTGCCAGGGGCAGCGATAAAGATTCCCTCCAAATGTATGGAAATAGACAGAGAGTGGAAAATCTAAAGGTAGGCTGTTTGAGTATATATGGGGCACCGGGTAATGCAAGGTAGTGGATGTGTTATAAACCGCCTACCACCCCTTCTCATCAATTATTCCCAAAATGCTGGGCTATTAGGTGGATAATAGTAATCCAAAAGGAGGCTCTCCAAACCACTTATCTCTTCTAACCCTAAATCCCCTCCAACACCTTCATGGGTGTTCTAAACTGAATCCACTCTGGACTATGTACACTGCCTAATCTTCCGTGACAATAGCTAACTGTGAGCCAACACTATATAGAACTAAAGATAAATCTAAATACCCATTTAAATCCAGTGAAAAGTCCCTATAGACTGTGAAATTCACAGTCTATAGGGACTTTTCACTGGATTTAAGTGGGTATTTAGATTTATCTTTAGTTCTATATAGTGTTGGCTCACAGTTATAGGAGTTGTACATTTGAAAGTATAATTAGTAATCAGGAGCAGGAGACCAAGATCAAGTTTTCCTATGATTAGTATAATTAGACATCAGTAGCAGATGACAAAGTTTCCCTATCGTAAGAGGTTTTGAGGTTTCATTGTGTAAATAGTTGCAGTCATATGGAATTGTAAACTATGGTGTAGAACCCTTTAAAAACAAACCATCCAGGGGAGGCGTGGCTAACTGCAGAGGTGAGCGCAGTGAGAGCTCCCGGTCCTGGTTGACCCAAAAGCCTGATTATTAGCTGCAATTACTGCCTAATCACCAACACAAATATCGGCAAAACAGCAAAAGAGATTATATGCTATGCTGCAAGAGTTCAGAGTCACTCTGCAATCTGATCTTAAGAGAGTGACATGCAAAATAAAGCGGGAGATATCAGAGCTGGGTGAGCAGACAAACTGCCTGGAGGCTCGCACACAAGAATTATGCTCTGCACATGACTTGCTGGCAGACACAGTACAGCACTTAGCTGAAGAGCATCTACAACTTAAACGCAAGTTGGCAGACATGGAAGACCGCTCGAGGGGGAACAATGTCCGCTTCCGCGGGATCGCAGCAAGTGTGGCGGCAGACTCGCTCTCAGACTACATATTGGCACAATGCAGAACCTTGTTACCGAACATCTCAGAGAATGAGTGGCTTCTGGACTGGGCCCACCGATTGCCTAGGCCTTCCTAGACTGACTCAAGATGCGCCACGAGACGCGGTTGTGCACTTTCACTACTTTAAATAAAAAAATGCAAATAACAATGTTCAATATCGCTGGGGATATCCAACGAAGGTCCTCATATGGAGAAATGGAATAACGCATACTGTTAATAAAGGCAGTTGGCATGCATCTCATCAAAGATTGGGGACTATTCCCTTTACAAGCTTCACAGGAGGCAGCCGCCGCATCCCCGAAATGCCTGCAGGAAGAGTGGCAGATGGCGGGACCGCCCAACAAAGCCTAAACTGTGACTCCAGGGCTCTCTCTCACCAGAGGCCTAACTATGTAGCTTGAGAGCATGTAATGTATATTCTTTGCAAGTGTGAGCAGTATGGGGCTATTTGGACAGCATGAACACAGGCCTGTAAAAACACACTGGTTTTCCTGTTAGTATTAAATAGCATACAGACTTGTTCCTGTGCAAAATTGGTGACTGGGCACAATGTTGTATTATATGAGGGGCAGGAGTGCGGTAGGTGCCCTGCTGTTGCCCACGGAATGATGCAGTAGAGAGTGGCTGAATCATGGTGGCACATGGACCACGGTCGGGTACCGGGACACAGCTGTATCCTCTGGGCGGTCCATGGGCCCGCTCTTCCTGGGAACAAGGGAGAGTCCTAAAAAACGATATTAGCCCCAATGGTGGATTGATAGAGCTTTAGAGGCTCTATGATGACTATACAACAGGATGAAGGCGATATAATATCATATAACTGTGAGTAAATATGTGTTTAAGTCAGGGTGATATTGCACTACACACACATGTAAGGTCATTCACACCTCGCTCCGATCACTGAGCGTACCCCCAAGGATGAGCGAAGTAGCTGGGCTACTTTACCAGCTGGAGCGCCAACAACGGAGATGGCGCTATGTATGTACATTGGTTTTTCTATAAGGTTATTAATGTTTTTCTTTACCCCTGGGTTCTTACCACGCTACTCATATTAACAACAGGACCACTTAATAATGCCAAAACTCATCACATCTCTAATCTGGGACAATGGCTGACTCAAGAAATAACCAAAACAAGGGCGGCAATTTTTTGCTTGCAGGATACGCACTTCTGTGTCCACAACCCACCTAAGTTTAATGTCAGACAGTGTGTCCAAGCCTATCATGCCATGTCCCACACTAAATCGAACGACTTCTCTATATACTTCCACAGTGACTGTGTATTTTCTTCCTCTAAACAATATATTAGCCGTTATGGCCAGCTGTTGATACTAGCGTGATCCATGAATGGCCTACAGATGACTGTAGTCTCCCTGTATGCCCCTAATGATACGCAGAAGTCCTTTTTGCGTATGGCCTTTCGCAAAATAGAACAGTACAAGGTAGAACACACGATCATATGTGGGGACTTTAATTGCACCTTAGACCTGCTATTGGATATTCAGAGAGCTCATAGCAAACTGCCGACAACTTCTTAAGTGACATGACTACTATGACGTCAGGAGGAATCTTTATCCTCAGACGAGGGACTATACATTCTATTTACTGATACATATGACCTATACCAGAATAGATCTATGTCTCTTTGATAAAAGAACACTGTCAAATGCAACTAACATGCATATCGGGCCCATTACACGGTCAGACCATGCCCACTTCTGATAACCATGAAAATCCCCCATTCAGCCAGGAGTAGGGTGCTAAAATGAAGGCCTCCTGGACGTCCCAGAGCACCTCTTCAAACTTAAAACTCAAGTAACCACATACTTCGAAAATAATGCACACTGCCAAACCTCTATATCCACTCAATGGATAGCCCATGTGGCGAAACTGACCTCACCACTGGGCATTGGAGAAGACTGCCACCCTCCTGCCATGTGACTATGGCCCCTGGGATGTATTGCCCTTTAAGGACATGATTTTGGCATAATGGATTTGTGTTGTGCTGCTGCTGGCCCTTTAAGAACCCTCTGGGGACATACTGTGGAGTTACTGGGTGGCAACCATTTCATGTATCAGAGGTACATGGTGAGAACAATGGATGAAGCACATGGTGAGAACAATGGATGGCGGACATTTTAACTCACAGACACTGTTTGGACTTTTCTACACGGTGCCATCTCACCGGTATTTGCTGCACAAAGACAAAGTTTTAAACTATACAACAGGGGACACATTATAGAGTAATTATTTTTTATATAGACTGTATATGTTCTGCGGAATCTGCATTAAACTGGATCTTCCAAACTTCTGAACGGATCTGGGTGAAATTTGGATATGTGGTTCACTCAGATCCCCCGGTTCAGAGGATATACTTTTATGGGGTTATTGCATGTTTTGGAGTCCCTGTGATATGTTTTATAATACTGTATTTCTCTGCCTGTGATAATTATATTAACCATTGTGTTCAGTAATCATATCACAGGCAGAGGGGAGGGTTTTATGTGGGAGTGCCTGTGTGTATTGTACGGATTGATTGATTGGTTGTATTTCAAAACCCTGTAGGCAGTACTATGTCTGTGGATTGTGGATAAAATAGGCTGTATGTGCCAACACAGGCAGTTTTGCTTGACCTCAAAACGAAGTGTCGTCTTGTTATTGGGGGAATTGGATTGTATGCTGAATGCCAGGAGTGTAAGCTGATTGTATGCTTTTCCTGTTCAGCTGCTTACAGCATTCAAACGCTTGAGAGCATTCGTATGCTTCTCCAGTTTGGTGGTTGTAGTGTCTGATTCAGTGCTTGGAGTCCTCAGGAAGCGCTAGGAGCATCCTTCAACGGAGGTACCCAGTCGGGGTGCCAGGGTCAACTTTATACAGATCGGCTCTCGGGCACTGTACAGAACAAAGTAGACTAGCCCAGGAGATCTCTATGTTAGAGGCCACATGTAAAACTAATCCTTCCAAGCAAACTCACAAACGACTGATGGCACTTAGGACTGCAGACCACTGAAAAATAGCTGCAATATCAAAAACAATCCCATTACACATTGGGAAACAAGGTGGGCAAACTCTTGGCGAGGAGTCTAAAACAAAAGCACCTACAGTCCAAAATACCCTACATAACATCTAAGCTGGGGGACAAACTGTATAACCCCCAGGACATAGTTAACGAACTGGCAGGGTACTATGCCTCTCTATATCAGTTGAGAAATGATCCAGAGACACATAAGCCAACTAGTGAGGAGATAGCTCTCTTCCTGGATCGAGTGCATCTCCCTCGCTTGACCCAGAACCAGTGTTCCCTCCTAGAAAACCCCTTCACCAAAGAGGAAATAGCAGCGGCAATAAAATATCTCCCCAAACAAAAGTTGTCTGGACCAGATGAGCTTTCCAACTACTATTACTTAAAACTAGCACCGCAACTGACCCCTCACCTCACAAACCTTTTCAACAACATAAAACAGTCGGGTACTCGCTCATGGCCCACACAAGCCTTGAAGGACACTTGAATTGATTCAAACAGCACACACCATATGTAGACTGCGCCAGACTCAGACAAGATATCGCACATGCCATGACACAGATAAGCAATGTTATATGTTTTACGTCTACCTAACTAGCTTAAAATATGGAATGCAGTACATGTGGCCTATTGCCTTACCATACCACTGCTCCACAATTAAGAACAGCCTGTCTGGCCACCCATTAGCACACGGAACCAGTGGGGGTCCAAGAACAGCTAAACCCCATCCCCTGAAGGAGAAAGAACCCTGACCAGCATAACCCGGTAAACCATAAATCATCCTATACCCTCTGCCACTCCCTGGCACTAAACTACCCCCAACAACCATCACCCATGCTTCCTGGCCCCTCTCATTACAGGACAACCATCACCTTAAGTTTTGGTGGCAAAGCCACCCATGCCCCCCCAACTAAGCTGCTTACTGCGGGAGGCACCTACCAACTCGGCACAACCACCTTCGATAGAGGGCTTCTACTCCACTAATTCCACGCAAATCAGACAGTAGCGATACCTAGCCCAGTGAGACCGGAGACTCAAAACACGAATAGAATCCAAAAGGATTTCCTCAATCCGCACCAGAGATGGAACCCTTAGCAACACTCCTGACCACATTGGGAAAACCTTCCAAGACTACTACATGGCACTATATAACCATGCCCAACAGTCACACACTAACTCAGACACCCACCGAACCCTAATAGGTTGCGCTGCAACCATTTCCCCAGATGCCAAAATTGCGATTAGAAGGGACGCCATGGTGGAGGAAGTCGCAGCAGCAGATGGCTACACAACCCGACACTACAAGGAATTCAGCCCTCTCCTCCTGAAATACCTCTGCATCAATGCATCACTCATCAACATCAACAAATCCCAACAGACATCATATCGCTGGATGCCGAAAAGGTGGCCATACCTATATCGAACTGTAGAACACTTAGGACTCCAAGCCGAATTCATCACTTTCTGCTGCCTAACATCACCCCACCAAGGTTTTCCATAATGAAGGGCTCATGACAGGGCTTGCCCCCTATCGCCCCTCCTCTTTGTCGTCTCACTGCTGCAGGCGGTGCGCTCCACCCGAGAGATAGAGGGCATCGTAGAGGGCATCGTGATCCGAGGGGAGACATTCAAGGTCTTGCACGCTGACAAACCCAAAACAGTCGATTGGCTCCCTATTTACCCTCATTCAAGCCTACTCGGAGATCTCTGGGTATAAAATCAATCTGGCAAAATCCAAATTGCTACAAGTACAAATCGACACCTCCTGCTTAGACTGGATCAAACAAAAGTTCCCTCTATGGATTTGCCAGGCGACCATTTCTTACTGTGGGATCCAACTACCAGCGCATATTAACATGCTATATGAGAGAAACTATGCCCCACTGCTGCTAAAAGCCCACAGCGAGACTTCTGGGGATCTCTTGGCTGGGTCAGACCGCCTCCATCAAAATGAACCTCTTCCAAACCCTTCCTATACCACTACATAAGCCTGACCTAAAGGCCTTACAATCCACAATAGATGCATTCATCTGGAACGGACGCAAACCCAGGGTCCGTAAAAGCACACTGTACGTCCCCCAAAAATCCGGTGTGCTGGGCCTACCAAATTTTTCACACTATCATTCAGCGGCACACCTAGCCTAAATCCAGCAATGGCACACTCAACCGCACAGAAAAAGATGGGTGAACTTAGAACACCTGATTTTCAGCTGCGACCATACCTGTACATGTGGGTCCCCAAACCACACAGGCCCCTGCCCCCTCCCACATCACCCGCGATCACAGACACTCTAGACTTGTGGGATAGACTACATGACAAATATGAACTCTCCTCCTTCCTATCCCCCATGACCCCGATCTGGAGGAATAAACTATTTCCACCAGGCTTTACCCCGAAACACTTTGCCCACTTTGAACAAAGGGACATGTAACGGACCGTTTTGCCCACAAGAGGTTAGAAACCGTTTACGCGATATTCCCCTTTTTCAGCTGCACAGACAGCTACTGCAAGCACCAATCTCCCGAACTGCGAACCCACGAATTCACCAACTCCCGAACTGCAACCAAGGGAATACTCGAAACTCCCGAACTGCATACCAAGTAGCACTCCAAACTCCCGAACTGGAGACACACGAATAGCTGCTAGCAGACGAACAGGAAAAGCCCCCAAGCGGCTTACACTCCTGGCAATCAGTCTCTCACATACAGTAACTCCTCCCCCAATAATGAGATGACACTTCACTTTGAGGGTTAACTCATTTACTGGGGCTAACTGCCTGGCTTTTATGCAGGTCTCCCACCTGGTGGACACTCCCCTAGGGGACCAAATGGGAGATTGGGACACAAAAGGTAAAAGGACCAATCACAGACTTACACATTTCAACCATCCCACAATGCATCACAATCCCTCCTCTCTGTCCTGGAGATAATTGGGAAGTAATCCAATTATCTCCAAAGACAGAGGCAAAACTCCATTAACCACATGGCAGAAAACAAACAGTAAAAGACATAAAGTTACCTACAGTTACATTCAGTACATAAAACATATACGTTCTACATATCCCCAGATAGCTCAGATCTGAGCGCACATTATTACCGAATGGCGCTCAGATCACATACATACAGTTCAATCGCCATGGAGCCAAAGTCCTTCACATAGTCTTTTCGTTACATGAACAGGCTCCATGGCTTAGCTATCTGGGTGATGCTGTTCATCCGGTTAAACTACCCAATGAACAGTCATTCGGTTCCGCTCTCGAATGGGAAGGGAAGGAGGCTGGCGGCCCAGCAGTGTTCACGCAATTAAGTGTCCGTTTTCAGTTCCATAGTTTAGGTGCTGAACACAGCTGGCCGTTCGGGAGGTAAAATGGCCGCTGCCACGTGTTCGGCAACCAAACAAAGGCCTCCCAGTGTTCATCAATTAAGCTGCGGTTAACCGCAGCTTCTGGGCGGTCAATTGACGGCACACTCCAGTTCCCAGGTGGTCCATCGTTCGGTAGATTGAATCTACCGAACACCCTGGCAGAAAGGCATGAATAAACCTTTCAGCAGGGAAAATAACAGGTCTGAACTGCAGGGCCATAGTCTAAAGGGAGCAGCCGAGCAACCAGGCTTCTCCAGTGTACAGTGGCGAGTTTGGTTTCGCCACAGGACATATCAAGACTAGGCCATCTATACCACGATGATGCAATCACCCAATTTGCAAATATCAAAGACTCTGCCTCCCTCACGACCTTTGATCACTTCAGGTACATCCAGCTACGCAGCTTCCCTTCTACCCCAGTCATAAAACAGACTTGAACTGCCCCGCTCGCCCGCTTCGAGCAAGACTGCATAGCCCACCCCTCCAGAAAGGGACAAATTTCGGAACTGTACATGACCAAAGCAACTCACTCAACCCAACTCACATTCCCATACATTGTGGCATGGGAGACAGACCTGGGACCCCCAGAAGAGACATCAGCCTGGGCGGATACATGGGAGGCCACTGCCTCCATCTCAATCTGCGTCACACATGCGCAACAAGCATATAAGTTGCTGTTCCGAGGGTACATAAAAACACACTGCCTCGCCATCATACACCACAACGCCTCTAACAGCTGCTGGAAACAATGCAGGGAGACTGGAACATTCTTACACTGCTGGTGGACCTGCCCAAAACTTAAACCTCTCTGCCAGGGAGTCGCAACGTTAATAACTTAACACTGCCCCGCGGACCCCTGGACCCTCTTACTCTCAAAACCATAGAGGCCTACACCAGAGCAGAAAATAAACTGACTGCACGCATCGCACTAGCAACATGCAGAGCGATTGCAGAGGTATGGTCTACACTTCGTGTTCCAATACAGGAAACCATAACAAGGAAAATCCTGGACAGCTTACAGATGGACAAACTCACCATGCAACTACACGACACACCCAAACAACTCCATAAAATCTGAGATCCCAGGCTGGATGGGGACACAACCCTACTGTGGTAACAACCCATCACGATAGACCGGTCAACCCACACAGTTATGGGGAAGACACGTGCACACACAACCACTAGCACAGTGATGGGGAAGACACGGACACATAAACCCTCGCGGCACGCAGACCCACACAACAACCTCACGAGGGGGGTGGGGACTCGGGTGGGCAAAGGACGAGACCCCCGACCTCTCACCTGATGCCTATGACTTTGTCTCTCATAGAACTCCAACTCCCTCAGTGCTCATAGGATGATACACGCGGCACAGCCCCGGACGCATACCCCTATTTAAGATACACAGAACCCCAGACGAACGGGTACAGCATACATTTTAACGGCAAGATGCAAAGCCGACCGAGCAGTTGGCACAATAGAGCATGAGCTCCCTCTTGACCCTGACATCCGTGGGCCCGCGGATAGAAAGGGCAGGCCACCAACGAGCCAACTCATAGCACCATGACTAACACCAATAGCGGGGGTGCTGAGAGGGCCCCCCAAGAGTGGCTGACGCACCCCGACCACCACCGTATAAAGACCACAGCTGCACATGACACTCAATGACCGTCTGAGGGACTAAAAGCCGACCAACCGGTGTTACCCTCGGTAATGCCCCCATCAGAGAGCACCAACCTCGATTATGATACCAACCAAGGGGCATGTTAGCCCGGGTACTCTATATGCACGCACACTACCAAGCAATGTGAAGGAGGTTGTGTACGAGTGTCATGAATGTGATGAACTGACCCCCTTTCTTTCCCTCTGGATGACTTCCCCAAGACAAAAGCCCTGCAATAACTCTTTTTCTTTTTTATCTCACCTGTTCTAATGAGAATAATGAAAAAAAAATAATAGTAATAATTTTTAAAAAAGCACAGTGAATTGAATGTTTGCACCACAAATCCCGAGGACGGTGTCAGATTTTAGGAGTGAAGCCAGACCATGTTTCATTTTTCGTTTTTGTAATCCACAAGTATTTCAGTAGAGTTCTCTATGAATAACTGGTCCTAGCTCTGACATTCTAAGACTATTTTTGGCTGCAGTAAATTCTCCCATCAACTCCTGTTGACTTGCAATGTTATTCACTAAAGTCTGAATCGCCCCATACCGAATGGGGCAAAACCTTTCAGTGCTGTACACGGCCATTCAAAATGCAAAATACAAACATTTAACAATGTCCAGATTTTGCATAGTTGGCTCTGATCGAGCCTGAATTTGGTTTGGATTTCAGCCAGATCGAATGCTGCCAGATGTTCTCAGGGGGACCCCTAGCCACCAGGTGCGGGTCACAATTGTCCATAACTTTGGGGTTGGACAATGGCATGTCCTCCCTCCATATCCCCCATTTAAATGTTTTTTTTTTAAATTTAATATCAGCCACCAACTGTCCACGAGTGGGGGCATAGTGTTGGACATTGATCCATCCACACCACTTTATTTAAAGCCCCCACAAGATGAGGATCAGCCTGTTATTTTATTGTCCCCATGGTGGATTTTTCTATCAAATGTGCTACCTAGTTGCTAGGTCTTAATTACAGTAAGCAGCTGCTGGTTGGTTAGTAGATCTATCCCCACCGCGACAAGCAAAATGGGCATAGAGGAGGTTTTAAACCTCCTTTATAGTTATGTGGCTTATGTTTTTTTTTTTTTTAATATGGCAGCTGGATTGCAAGCACTGGTCAGCTGCCACATGCTTTACCCTTGTACTTTAGAGTTTTTTAACTGGGTTCTAGTGCTGCTAGCGGGCAGAGAGTACTTCAAATTACTGTTCGCTTGCAAATAACAATAATTAATTTGCTTGCAAAGAATAATAATTAATTAGCAGATATACTGGATGCATTTGGTCTTTATTTTTATTTATTTATTCACTGGACTATGTTAAATTATTTTTCTGACAGCAAAATAGATCTTGGATGTTTGTGTCTTGGCAGCAGTTTAATGTATTGTTAACACAGTAAACGCCTCTCAGTGGGAGCTCCCAGATGGACACTGTGGTTATGGCAAGCTAAACAGTAATTTACCAACCCCTGTTCGCCTGAGCCCTCTTACCATTGCTCCCTTAGCCTCACAGTTATCTCAAAGAGCAACTCCTTTAACTCCAGTCCAAATTTAAAGGCACACATTATGCACCATGACTAATGCAAATCATTGTAATGGAGGTGGTGTGATGAGTCTTTGGGAACCATATACACATTGGCTAGCCTTGGGGGAAAAAAAAAATAGAAGAAATTATAGAATGTATATCACTGTCCTGAGTCTAACATGTGGATTTGGGAAAAAGGACACTATTTGTAGCTTACACTACTTTGTGAACTCCTGTCCTAAAACATTATGTACTTTATCTCTGCAGATTTATCTTCCACTCGACTGGAGAAGGCTAGAGAAGTTGGGGCAGATTTTGCTCTACATGTCGCCAATGAGACACCACAAGAGATAGCACAGAAGGTGGAAGCCTTGCTAGGTTGCATGCCAGAGATTACAATTGAGTGCACAGGAGCAGAAACATGTATTCAAACTGGAATTTATGTAAGTATTTCTAATTAATGAATTTAGATACACAGAACCCCAGACGAACGGGTACAGCATACATTTTATGTATGTTGATATCTGCAATTGAGGTTTCTGAACCACCCAGGCAGTCTTATGATCCACTACACTTTGTCTCCTTGTTTGCTTAAACTGCTAAGGACCAAACTTCTGGAATAAAAGGGAATAATGACATGTCACACATGTCATGTGTCTTTAAGGGGTGGAACACTAAAGGCATCCAGGCAAACACAACTCGTATGCACTTATAGCCTTTAATCTAAATAATAGAATTGTTTTCCAGATTTGTTGCAAATTGATGTATTCAACATTCAGTGTCTTAAGCTTGCCTCCTCTGCACTGCCTCTTCCCTTCTAAAATAGTTCCTTCTTGCACTACATTACATTATTCAAAATACATTATTTCTTTGCACATAGGAGGAATCACTATGCTGTACCAAGCTACATTATTTGTTTCCCTAGTACTAACATGCAGTCTCCAATAATACATCACAATGAAATTTTTAATGTATGGGTTTATGGATTAAATTAAACCTCATAGACCAGAATGTGAAGCGTCTGATTGGTTGAGTCTCTTTCTTGTTGCAATCAGCTATTCTCTACATTCCAATTGAAGAGGATCTTTCAAAGTGAAGATTTCTTTTCTTCAGTTATTATTTATGTACATCATACCGTTGTTTCTCTGTAAGACAAATACAAAGTGTTTTGGTATAATCCTAATCACTTTACTTTGTGTGAAATTGTATATCCACTGAGAATTGTGTAAGAGAAACTTCCAATTCTTTATTACAGACTGTACAAGATTAAATTACTATTTACTTAATTAGCTGCACTAAAAGTATGTGTCATTATACCCACTGAAATTCTGTATATAAAAAATGTGCCAGAAAATTGAAAAAGTTATGCAATTCTTTTTGCTCATAAGCTAGGTGACCTGTTTGTCCTAAAAACAAGCCATACTAACTGTGATTTGCATCATAATTGAAATGTTACTTTTATACCATAACACATGTACAAAAAGCATCCAATTAAATAACAATATAAGGAAGACAATCATTTTACAAGCTACATAAAACAATGGTATATAGTGTCATATCTGTTTAGAAAATAAAAATAGCATTGACCTTCTTAGCTATAACACTTTTAAAAATTATATTTATAACAGGATACATTTGTTATCTAACAAAAAAGAGGCTACTTTCTGACTGCTTAAAGGACCACTATAGTGCCAGGAAAACATAACCTCAGGGTCCCCCTCCCGCCAGGCTCTAGGAGGTGGAAGGGGTTAAACTTACCTCTTTCTCCAGCGTGGGGCGGGGGACTCTCCTCCTCCTCGGCTGAATGCGCAGGCGCGGCATGAGTCGCCCGCCAATCACAGTGAGAAGCGCGGAAGCACCTCTAGCGGTTGTCAATGAGACAGCCGCTAGAGGCTGGATTAACCCTATTATAAACATAACAGTTTCTCTGGAACTGCTATGTTTATAGAAAAAAGGGTTAAACTAAGCAGAACCTTGCACCCAGAACACTTCATTAAGCTGAAGTGGTCTGAGTGCCTATAGTGGTCCTTTAACATTTTGGATTTTGCCCTCAGTGTTTTAAATGGCTTCTTTTTTATTATTGTCACAATATGTATTGTTCACACATAAAGCACTTTAAGGCCTATAGGCTACCTGTGTTGCACATTGCTCCCATCAGTTTTCTTTTGTCCCTGATACCCATTCTGTCACATAAATTTGTCGTTTTTACTTAAAGAACGTCTCCATGGTACATCCAATTTGTTATTCCAAGTACATCTTGAATGCTAACCCTCGTGCTTGTATTGTCAGGTCTGGATTAGTACATCACCAGCCTTCCCTCTTCCTTCTATCTTTAGTTCTGGGTCAAATGCTAGATTACAAAAGGGTAGAGCACAAATATAAAATGGTAGTTTTATCACATACTAATGTTGTACAGCTGCACACCATAAAAACTTTTTTTTCATTCTACCAATTTTCACTGCTTCTTTGCTTGGCCAGTGCACAAATTGACTCTTTATTCCAGAATAAAATCCTACAATACAAACTTTTTTTTTACTTGTTTAGGTTTTGTTTTCCTTTTTTCTTTGTAGGTAAATACAGACTCTGAATTTAAATAGTGTCTCTTTATTCCTTAGGCGACACGCTCTGGCGGTACTTTAATCCTTGTTGGCCTCGGTCCTGCAATGGTAAATGTGCCTATTGTAAATGCAGCTGTTCGAGAAGTAGATATCAGAGGCATTTTCAGATACTGTAATACGTAAGTACCTCTCTGTACTACGTAATAAAGATTACCAGTACAATAGGTTTCAACCTACTTTGTGCCCGTATTACTGCAAAAATGAACTTTTTAATATTTTGAATCTATTCTTATTTACTAGTTATTTGCTCAAATATTTATATACATAAAATAAACGAATACTTCTGATTGAAATGGTGTGTGTGTGTGTGTGTATGTATATATATATATATATATATATATATAAAAAGTATCTCGTGACCATTTAAACAAAAAAAATATATTTTTTCTGAGAATGTATAAAAAATTGTTAAAGAATTGGGACATTTGTAGCTCACGCTATTGCACTCCTATTTTTCTGACATGGAACCTGAACATGCATAAATGGGGTGCTGCTGGGGGCCAAATTTTTCTGACATGGAACCTGAACATGCCTAAATGGGGTGCTGCTGGGGGCCAAATTATACAATACACAAGATCCAGCGCACTCACCTATCCATTAAACAGCAACTGCAATGTTGAAAGATTTTTATTTTATTTTTTAAAAACACTTAATCTAGGCAAAAATAATGGGGGTTTAGTTACATTATTTGATCATATATTATATGATGGCAGGCTTATGCAATGTATGATCATATAATGTAACTAAACCCCCATTATTTTTGACTAGATTAGGTGTTTCAAAAAAACTAATAAAATCTTTCAACATTGAAGTTGCTGTTTAGTGGATAGGTGAGTGCGCTGGATCTTGTGTATTGTATAATTTGGCCCCCAGCAGCACCCCCATTTATGCATGTTCAGGTGAGTGCAGCCACACCCCCTTGTTTCATATATGTATATATGTGTGTGTGTGTGTGTGTGTGTGTATATATATATGTGTGTGTGTGTATATATATATATATATATATATATATATATATATATATATACACTGCTGTGTGTGTGTGTGTGTGTAACGGTGCTGTTAGTGTGTGCGTGTATGTGTAAGGGTGCTGTTAGTGTGTGTGTATGTGTGAGGGTGCTGTTAGTGTGTGCGTGTATGTGTAAGGGTGCTGTTAGTGTGTGCTATGTAAGGGTGCTGTGTGTGTGGGTGCTATTTGTGTGTATTGTGTGGGGATTGGGGGACCCTTCCTTCATACCTTTTGTAGGGAGGGGGAATCGTGCTGCTGCCATCCCTGGTGGTCCAGTGGTGAGTAAACTCTAGCCTGCGAGCTAGAGTTCACTCTCGCAAGACCTTTGTGTAGCAGCGCCGACCTCACAAGAGGAACCAGGCGGAGCTGCTGGCTAGCTCCCTGGGTCCTCTCCTGCCTGTGGGCCGGTGAGGGAGATCTTTGATCTCCCTCACCGGCCCATAGAGGCACATAGTGCGGCCTGTGGGGATTAGGGTGTGCCCAGGCACACCCGGCACACCCTGTGCGCATGCCTTTGTTCAGTCACTAGAGGTGCTTCCTGTTGCAGCCCTAAAGTCTGCTTGAAGACACAAAATCCTCCCCATAGAGATGCATTGGTATAAGCACTGTAGACAACCTTCAGCTCTCCAGATGTGGTGGACTACATCTTCCATAATGCTCTTACTGCCATAACGCTGACAAATTTTGCCCCTTTATAAATCGCTGGTAAGACCACACCTTGAATATGCTGTGCAATTTTGGGCACCTTTTTTAAAGAAGGATATCATGGCACTAGAAAAAGACAGAGACGAGCTACAAAATTGATAAAAGGAATGGAGCATTTTAGTTATGAAGAAAGGTTAAAAAATTTAAATCTCTTTAGTTTGGAAAACGTTGCCTCAGAAGGGTATGATAACATTAGACAAATATATTCAGGGCCAGTACAAACCATTATCTGGAAATCTATTCATAAACAGGGCTATACATAGGACACAAGGTCACACATTTAGGCTGGAAGAAAGGAGATTTAATCTAAGGCAAAGAAAAGTGTTTTTTACAGTAAGAACAGAAAGGATATGGAATTCTCTGCTGAAGAGGTGGTTTTATCAGAGTCCATACACATGTTTAAACTGAAATTGGATAAATATTTGCAAAAACATAACATACAGGGAAATAATTTCTAATTAGTGGGGTAATAGCTGCTTGATCCAAGGAGACATCTGACTGCTATTTTGGGGTTAAGAAGGAATTTTTTCCTAGTTTGTTGCAAAATTGGAAGCACTACAGACTAGGTTTTTTTGCCTTCTTTTGGATCAACAGCAAAAATATATGTGAGTTCACAACGTCTGGAGTGCCGAAGGTTGCCTACATATGGTATAATGCATCCATGTAAGGAGATGTAGCTTGGTACAGCATGGTGATTCTGCCTATGTGCATTATCCCCACAATGGTTTTCTATTGAGCAACATTTTAGGGAAGAGATCATCTTTACAGACTATCTCAGCTGTGGCAGAGCGGTGAGGTCCGAGAGGTGTGGGACAAAAAGTAAGTAAATCTTTTTTGTTTTTTTATTAATGGTTTACATGTGGTCCCAATAGGCTAAATAGGAAAGGAAGTGCATGTGTTTCTTTAATGGCAATAATAACTTATCTGTTATTTGATCTGTGGAAGAATATAATTATGTTTTGACAAACAGATAGTAATGTTATCTTCTCTGATAGTTTGTACTATGGGTTAAATAATGAGATTGGGGTCTTGTGACCACTTATGGTGAATGCTGTATTTTGATCTTTACTTGTCTTGTATTTGGTTTGTGAAGGAGTCAACCTTTTCTATTCCGCCCTTATCTTTGCAGGTGGCCAATGGCTATTTCCATGCTGTCATCCAAGAGAGTGAATGTCGCTCCATTGGTTACTCACCGTTTTCCTTTGGAGAAAGCTCTTGAGGCCTTTGAAACAACAAAGCAAGGCCTGGGAGTGAAAGTGATGCTAAAGTGTGATGAGAATGATCAAAATCCTTGAATACTGAAGTTAATTCTTAAGTTAATGTTTAATGTTTTCATTCCTTGTTCTTGTTGATTAGAATTTAAATGCAAATATATATAGCTTATCTTTTAAAGCATATATCAATCAGACCTTTACCGTTTAAATATGCAACCATCAATGACATGAGATTATACATTATGAGGCATCCTTCCCTCCCAAATTCAATTAGCAGAATTAATTTAATCTTTCAGAACTAATTCTAGAGAACTCTGTATAAATGAAACAGTCATCCTCTTGGGAAATGTTTTCTCAACCTAGTTTACACCTTGGGCTTGAGTTAAAGTGGCTCTTTCACCTTCTGAAGTGACAGCCAGCCACAGTTTTCAGCTCCTGGCTCTTAATCTGCCAGAAGCCCATGTCAGTGATGTGCTGTCACACATGTATGAGTGTACAGCACTCAGGTCTGGGGAGGGTTCTGCAAGACCCTGGAAACCTGCACAGATATTATGAAATGATGTGTGAGATAATGCCATCACTGGTGATATCTGTGGAAAGTGACATAACTTGACAGCAGTCAATCCACCTTTTGTCAACTTGAGAATTACCATAAGACAAAGCAGTCCCTATTTTGTCTTATGGTATCCTTTGACTGCATTTGAATTTTAATGACATTTCAACATAGTCTTTCTGATTTTAGTTTTTTTTGGTGGTGACAGAGCCACTTTAAAGTGTTCCACTTGAGAAAATGGTTTATGATGTCTTTTGCAAAAACTCTCTTCAGCTATAAAATTGCTCCCCTGGATCATTGACTTCCACTCAAGAATTGTACTTGCCCCTTTACAATTCAATATTTGCCCCACTTGTATGTTTAGCATAAATAATCCAATCTTCAGTTATGGTTATTTAGTGATTGGTTATATCTTTGTTGGCAGCAGTCCACTGAGCAAGTCCATTGAACAGATACATCCCATAAACTGCTGCTGGACCAAGACTTATGAGATAGGAAAAAAAAAAAAAAACCTCATAGACCAGAATTGGAGACATTTAATTGGTTCATTCCTGGTTGTGGAGGCCATTGCAGGGAAGTGCTGCTGTTTTATGAACTTGTGAAAATGTAAGTCAGTCCTTGCATATAATCTCCTTATAATTGAAACTTGGATGGAACCAATTATGTAACATGGATTAACAGCGTTGGGAAAAGTTCAAGTCAAGATGAAATGTGTCCCCTGCCACCCACCTTACCCACTTCTGGTCTTCTTTTAGCAGGCTGGATCTAATGTTGTATGCAGTAGTCTGTTGATTTATATGGTTCACAGTAATGATCTACTGGTTACATATTAAAAAAGGTTTGCTGCTACTTCCCCCATAATGGTTATCACCGTGGTTTGAGACTTTCATCTGCAATTGCTAATAATGGCCTCCCTCAGTGCATAGTGTTTAAGCACATTCTAGGTCAGGGGTGCCCAAAAGGTAGATCACCAGATGTTTTAAAACTACAGCTTCCATGATGCTTTGCCATTTTGAAGGCATTTCAAATGAATGCAAAGCATAATGGTAATCGTAGTTCTGCAACATCTGGTGGTCTATCTTTTGGGCACCCCTATTCTAGGTGTTGTAGGATGCCAGTGTTAACATTTGTAGTTCATACCTCAATTCTGGTGGCATACAGGTACAATTGTTTTTATTTGCCCAATTAGGGTTTACCTATATGTTTACTAGTACTAATCTATCACAGTCTATACATAAAATGACTATATCTATGAAGAATTATTGCTTTACTGGTACAGTTTAATGCCACTTGAATGGATCCTTAATAAATGTGTCTGTTATTATTCAAAAATTTACTATAACATATGTAATTAAAAAATGTAAATCCCAAGTATTATTGTGCATAACTTTATTTTCACGTGTGAGAAGTGTTTTAAGTCATCAAGCAAAATGTTAAAGGAGCTCAGTAAGCACCATAATAACTGTTATACTTTTGTATATAATTCTTTAGTCCGGTATGATCACACACATAGAACAAAATACAATGAAAATACCTTCAAAAGTACATCAAATATGTGAACAGAATAATATACATTTGAAAGAGAAAAATATATATATATGCTTTGATAAAAGTAAATACATTTAAATGGCATGTAAAAGTACTATCAGCCACTGTATACGCCCTACAGTATTTTCTGGAATGCAACCAAGATGATGAAATTTTTCTTAACACAGTTTGCATCTTGCAAGGATTAAAGGGATACTATAGCACCAGGAATATAAAGCTGTATTCCTGGCACTATCGCTCCCCCTGCCAACGCACTCCCTTGCCCCCGTTAAATAAAGGGTTAAATCCTTTTTATTTACTTACTTACTTGATTCCAGCACCGATGTCACTCAGATCCGCCTCATCCAAAGTCCCGCGAAGAGTGGACGTTAATGCGCATGCACGGCAAATGCCACATGCGCATTAGACCTCCCCATAGGAAAGCATTGAATCAATGCTTTCCTATGGGGAAAAATCTGATGCAGGGCAGGTCAATTCGTAAATGTATCTGAAGATACAGTATTGGTTCTCAGGACAATAATGTGGCAGTTTACAGCTTTTTTTTATGTTCAAATAGTGATTTTATGAAGTATTAAGAAATCATTTATATATTATTGTGTTGTAACTGACTGTAACAATTTTATATAGCGTATCCTGCCTACCTGACTGCAAAGTGAGTAATTTAATAAGAAACAGTAAGCCTGTCAATTGGTGTCAAAATTGGTGAGCTTGTTCTACAGTAAGTGAATTAGTTCTATTTACTGTAAGAGCCCAATGGGTTGTTTTGAGTTCCAAAGTATAATGAAAAAATTACTGTGCTCATCAGTCAATCAAGAAGCTGTAGATAGGGAAACTATTTATACAAATTACCTTGTTTGAACAATTCAGATTGAACTGTTCCCATATACTCTATACCAGGTCATCAGAGCTAATAAAATCACCTATGAAATACAGAGTTATTATTTATACTGCTGGCCTTGGTCTACAATTGTACTAATTTATTACCATATTATTCAACATATTCTAATCTCATGGACCTACTTGATCTGGTGCTTCTTCATACTATGCTGTGATTGGTATATTAACCTTATCACCAAACCTTCCATTGGTAACATTGGGTGGTTGATTGTTTAACAGCTTTAATAACGCCTAGTAAAATGACTGGTTCCTGTAATGCTTTGCTGATTATCCATATTTTTTAGTGGTTGTACTATCTAAATCAATGTGCTCACTAACATGTATAAACATTTTATGCTACATTATGTTTTGTTGACTTGCAGGTCCACATTAACCATTCTCTGATCGCAATTACACATTTTAAATGAAGTATCAGATGCCAAGCAAAAATGAGTTTGGATTATGAATATTGTGTGAATGAAAAAAGGATAGCTTTGCTGATCATGTATTTCACTAATCAAATGTTTATTTTTTTCATAAATTCCAAAAGAATGTTCTTACATGAACTGTTAATAGCCAGGTTATTTTTTTTATTTTTATTTTTTATAAAATGGAGTATATGTAGAATTTGTATTTATTTTTAGATTTTGAGAAATATTTTTTTATTTTATTTTTTTAAGAGGGAAAAGTTGTTCTTTCTTTTATTGACTTAGTAATTGCTGTTCATTTGGAAAAAGACTAAACATGACATTCTCACCAACCTAAACTGCAAGCAGGATATAAAATTGTATGTCCTGGCCAGTGATTTCAGATATACATCTTCAGCGAAGTCCGTTTGCCTCTCTGGAAACTGATTGTGTGAAATTCAAGCATATTACCAATGTGTTTTTATTTTTTAAACAGAGACTGTTTTTGGTTTCTTTTTTTTATTATGGTAACTATGATTTTACAATCCCTTGGCCAATTTCAGAAAAAGAAGCTGCCTTTCAACCCAGTCCATAAAATGTAAACCCTACTATACAACAGTGTCTCTGATAAAATAACATAAAACTTGACTGTTGCTACTATAAAATATTACCCTTTCAACACTCTCTTTCTATTTAAGACAGATTTATTGATTTATTTATAAAAAAATATTTTACCAGGAAAGATACATTGAGATTTCTCTCGTTTTCAAGTATGTCCTGGGGATTAGATTGACATATTAATTTAGACGTTTTATAGTGGATCACCTAGATCAGACGGGATTCATCCCGGGAAGGGAAGCAAGAGACCGCACTCTTAGGGTGCTTTCTATTCAACATTTGGCACAGAGACAGAGAAAGACGTCTATGCTTCTCCTATCTATGGATGCAGAGAAAGCTTTTGACTGGGTAGACTGGTCATTCATGACAGCAGTGTTGTGGGGTATGGGCTTTGGACCTAATTTGTTGCAATGTACTTGGGCGTTGTATAGCTATCCTATGGCACAAGTACATGTGAATGGTGCACTCACTGAGCCCTTCAGCAACTATAATGGCCCTTTATCACCCCTGTTATTTGCCTTGACTTTGGAATCATTGCTCTGTTCTATTAGGAGTGATATAGATATCGCTGGCTTTGATTGGAAAGGGACGACTCACAAGATCGGGGCATACACCGATGACTTGCTATTCTTTGTGAAAAAGCCTTGACTTTCATTACCCTGTATCTTATCAGAAATTTCGAAGGATGGAGCATTATCTGGTTTTATTAAACTTATCAAAATGTGAAGTTCTTAATATCTCCATGCTTGATGCTGATTGTGCCGCACTGAAAACACTGTTCCCTTTCAACTGGTACTTCTCACAAATATGGATATCACTACACCAAGCGGAACTCTATCAACACAATAGTTTTTAATCTTTGAACTAAATACCTTATTTGCCATTATAACCGTCATAAAATATATATATATATATATATATATATATATATAATATATATTGTATGTAAGAACTAGAGTGGGGTGTGTGGGTACACCAAGAAATGTCATTGTCTCCAAAATGTGTTTACACCAAGCACATTACCCAAAAATATAAATCAGCTGTGACAGCTAGCTCTTGCCTTTTTACCAAGATTACAAGAAAACAACAAAACATTGTCTGGATTCAGTACAATGAACACATACCTAACTCTCCTTTTGCACTATAGAAACATTTGATTGGCCTAATCTAGGATACAGCTACATGAAGAATTGCTTTGTGTGAATACAAATGTTAGAGCGTATGGTCACTATGTAGATATATTGCCTAGTACTGGATTTTTCTGAGGAATGTTGAAGTTACTTGTGTGTATTTATACATAGTGTCAGTTTCTTTTTAGTATTCAGTCAATACTTTTCAGTTCTTTGTTTATTGTAGCGTAGTGTCTACGTGATTGTGCATCTGGTTTGTTTGTTCCAATACAACTCACTTTGACATTTAACATTCTATATTGTGTACACGCACACACAATGTGTAAGTAACGACATTGATTAGGGATGTAGTTTATATTAAGATACATAAATTGTGTTCCTATTAGTAAAATCAAAAAGCAACATATGTTTTATATTTTTTTTATTATTTCTTCATAACATCACAACAGAGAAAGTCAGACACAAACTTATTATTGAGACACAAACTTATTATTGCATAATATAATGGATGTAAACATAAGTACTGAAATAAAAATGCTGTCATCACTACTTAATTTCACAACTTTTTTGGGGGGGTATTTGAAGCTGTAAGAGCATCAAATTATGCATGATGCATGAAAAGCTGATTCATTCATTTTATAATTAAGATTAGGTATCTTTAAATCTCTATTTATTTATAAAATGTGCAGAGGCTGTAACAATGAACATATGTAAAAAGCAAACATGTAATGGCCTTTCATTCTCAGGAATCCCCTCCCCCCCCAAAAAAAATAAAATAAAACAGAAGATTCGTCTTTAGGTGTTGATCAAAGCATTGATCGTGAAATTCTTAAAAGTTTTCATAATGATGCACAAAATAGGACTCATCCTTTTTGTTAAGTTTTCTACAAGCAGTCTCCACATTTTTTGTCATTCCAGGAGGGCCACAGCTGAACACACCAATTTTCTTTACCTTAAAAAATAAAAAAAAATAAAGTATAACGTTTGATTGTTGTAGGATTATGTAACCAACTAAAAATACTAGTCCAACCAAATTAACGATAATATATTGGTTACTAGGTGTTGCCTTATTCCTCTAAAAACCCACCATGTTTTCCATATATTCTAATGACACAAACTCAAAATGTGATCATGCATTGTGGCAAGTACTTGAAGCTCATACTTTGTGGATGGCATGGCACTCTAAGGGTCTTTTTAGGAAGATATATATATTTATTACATTTGTATGTAATTCTTTAAAAATGTTAAGGGGATACTGTAAGCCATTGCATCTCATTAAATTGATTATATTGCTTGAAATAGCCTGACACTGCCCCTCCATTCAGTGTTAAAACCATTTGCAAGCCGTTTATAACACTAAATAAGGGTACCTGGCCACCCATAGCCCTGCCCCCACTGGAACTGTGGCTAACACTGAGATCATACTCTTCCTTAGTTATACCAATTCATACCAGCAATTGGCATGGTGATCGGTTGAAAGTGGTCAGCTGACACTCTCAGCAAATCACAAACACCCATTGCTGCAAATGCTAATTATCCACCAATAGTCCAAGCAGCACAAAGGGGATGGGTTGCTGAGGACTTCCGTTTAACATTAAAACATTAAAGATGGTTTGATGCTGAATGGAAGGACATCGCTATAACCACTGACTAGCAAGATAAAGCATAACCCTTAAACCTCTTAGGGACCAACCTTCTGGAATAAAAGGGAATCATTGTCATGTGTCCTTAAGGGGTTAAGTTAAAATATTGTGTCTACTGCAGTGACCTATGCTAAATCATCAGGTGGCTGAAAATCTGTCATCCAGTACTTTCATTAATTGCCCCATCAATGGAATAGGTGAACATAACTTGTCCATAAACATAATTTTATGGAGTGCATTATTCACAACTAGCAGCATTTTTAATCATGGAAAAGCACACATCACACTGATATATCAAATGCTGATAGCAGCAGTGATGTGGTTTTTAAATAATTATTTTAACTGACAGCTGCAGATACCTTATACAGCTTACTCCACTTATATTAAAACTGATGAGAACCACTTGCATCATAGCCTATGCTAGGAGCATAGATTATCTTGGAGTGTCCCTTTAACAAAGTAGTGTTAAAAATGCTGTGTACAACACAGTGAAAGATGGCTGCTAATGGATAGTCAAACACCATTCAAAGCTGCAATTAAATATCTAAATATAAAGCAACTGTTACTGCACAATAAGCACATAAGATAGTATACAGCAGTGGCAAAGGCGTAACTAGAAACCACCGGGCCCCGGTGCAAAAATTGCCCTGGGCCCTCTCTTGTGTCTTATTTTCCCTCTCCCACCTCCCGCATGTTTCTAATTTCCCCCTGATCCCCTCCATATGTTTAATTTCCCCCCACAAATCCCTTCATGTGTCTCTTACCTCCCAAGTATCTCATTCCCACCCTGCCACATGTCTGATTCCCTCCAACCCAACCCTCTCCATGTGTCTAATTCCCCCCTCAAAGGTCCAAATCCCCCCAATGTATTCATTTCCCTTTTTTTATTCCAATGGAGATACTGACAAAGCCTGGACTGTTGGTGGACAATTAGGACTGGTTTGGGAACCACTGGTGTGCAGTATTCTTAAAATTATGATGCAAGCATCAGACTTTAAATAGCTTCGCATTGCACAATAAATGGTGTACAGTTGTACTCAATACCTATTTAAAATATGTTCAGATCACTAGCAAAGTTGTTAGTCACTAACCATAGGATGGACATCCTGTAAGGAATTTAAGAAACCAAGAAATGGGGGTCTCCCAAAATGTGTCACTGAACGAAGACCAGTTAGCAGACTCTGGTTTTGTACCTTCTGGAAGTGTCTTTCGCATATATACTAAAATATGAAAACATAGAGGAAAAATATCATAGATTTAAATCTTGGCATCAGAACTGCTAAAATGTTTTTAACATATAATTGTATCATTTACACATGTCAAGAACTTTAAAGTGTATACATATATGTGTTATATTTATATATGTGTGTAAAAAAACAGATACAATTCTTATCTTGTAATACCTTTTTTTATTGGACTAACAGAATTTTTTAATGACAAGCTTTCGGGAGAATCTCCCTTTCTCAAGTCTGAAGCATTTCTGAGCAAGACGACACATAGAATTCAAAGTTGAGTTGTGATACAGTGGTTAAAGCGACATGAGTGCAGATAAGACACAGGTTTGTTAGAAAATAGACACAATTTTTACAGAGGGTCATACATATCTTTCTGAAGAGCCGAGTGAGGGGGGAGAGAGGGAGAAGAAAAACAAACAAGCAGACAGTGCAGAGGATGGTACACTTTATACATACACATACACATAAATATGTATATGTGAACGCATTAACACATGTACATATACATAAACACATATACATACATGCACATGAACTCACACACAAATATAAATGCACAGTAATATATATATAGTAATAATATATAAGCATACATACATACGAGTATGGGAAAGCATAGGTCTACACATACTATATACTTTGTATATAGATAGAATAAACATTAAGGAACGCATTTTAAAATGTTGATACATATGACAGAACTGTAAGATAATGCTGGGAGAGTGTTCATGTAAAGTGTTGGCAGTGGGACAGGAAACCCAAATCAATATTTAGTCCTCTATTATTGCTGTTAAACCATTTAATCATTCTGGCTTCAAAAGTGTTTCTTTCCTGGGTATTTTTAAAACCCCCTTTCAGTACTTTGATTTTTAGGTCCTTCAGTGAGTGGCCAGGCTGGGTAAAGTGGTGTCCCACAGGAGTGCAGTAGGATTCTTCTTTGTGGTGTTTAATAGAGTGTCTGTGCATATTCATTTTGCCATATATATATATAAAATTCAACAGATGGTCCACACTCCAGGCTCCGTTTAAAAAGTAACTTTTATTCTTACATCCAAGTAAAAATGATGTGCCAAAGGTCAACGTTTCAGTCCCAGTTAGGGACTTTCATCATCCCGAACTGGGACTGAAACGTTGACCTTTGGCACATAATTTTTACTTTGATGTAAGAATAAAAGTTGCTTTTTAAATGGAGCCTGGAGTGCGGACCATCTGTTGAATTTTCTGGATATCTATGACCTGGATCCAGCACCCAGCATGTAAGCCAACACACCCTTGAAGCATGTAGTACAAGGAACATTGAGACATATTTATATATTTATATATATATATATATATATATAAATGTGTGTGTGTGTTATAGATCTCTTAATAACCTAATATTTTTATATTTTTATCATTTATTTCTTTATATATATATATATTTTTTTTTTTATATATATTTTTTTTTTTTTTAGAAAGAGCATTATTTTCTTACCAGCATGGTTGTGCGGAAGTCAAACTTTTCAGCAAGCTGTGTTATGTATATGTGGACCGACAAAAGGTTGTTTTTGTCATTTTCTTCCACTTCTCTAATGATATCTGTCAGCCATTCAAACTGTTTTTGCGTGCGTGTAACCCAGATGAAATATACCTGAAATGTAACAACATTTTTGTTTATTAAACATTTATTATCGTACACTAATAAAAACCCTTGTGTATATTAGGCATGCAATGTCTGATTCTTATTTTTGTAATCAATAAGTCAATGTTTCAGCCAATTAGTGGTTGACAAATCATTGGCTTAAATATTGCCACTCTGATTATAATAGAATACCTATAGATCTTTTTCTATTTTGCAAGTTTTAATCTTAAAATATTTCAAAATATTCTCTAATCCAGGACACCAAACTTTCATATTCACAATATAGTATAATAAAGGTTAATAATGATCTCTCAAGGAGTATTACCTTTTTGCAGTAGATCCTTGAATTGATTGATGATTTAAATACCAGATCTTTCAGAATTGAAGCAAAGGGAGTAACGCCAATGCCTCCTCCAACTAAGACAGAGACTTCAAACTTATTCCACTCTTGGTGCCCTTCTCCAAATGGTCCATCAAGATAAAGCTGAAACAGATTTAAAAAAAAAAAAAAAGTTTATGCATTCTTCTGATACACGGCTGAGACATATACTTTGCATTGAGAGATATAGTGACTTTTGTGGAAGTGGGAAGTTAACATTAATTGGCATAGACTTTTTCTGAAACTTCAGCTAAACCTCTAAAAAAAAAAATTCTTGATGACACACATATTGGTCTCCTCTTCTGCAACTGTCACTAGTCTAATACTATCCTTACCTTTTTGTGTCATTTTACCCCACTCCCTCTAGCATGTAAGCTCATTGAGCAGGGCCCTCAACCCCTCTGTTCCTGTGTGTCCAACTTGTCTGGTTACAACTACATGTCTGTTCGTCCACCCATTGTAAAGCGCTGCGGAATTTGATGGCGCTATATAAAAATCATAATAATAATCAGGAAATTGAACTGAATTTGCATATAAAGCATTGAGAGATTAGACTATTGATGGATTCAAGTACTTCTCATTAACCTCGTAAGTCAGTGCAGTCTTTTGTGCTATAGATAAATGAAACTAAGCATCAATACCTTTGGATATATCTGCAGTGGATCAGCTGGAGATGTGTAAATCTCCCTTAAGCGGGTTGTCCATGGGCCAACAGCTCTTATATGCAAACTCAATGTCTTCTCATGTGGAGCTGAGGTCAGTGTGAAAGGATGGTATTCATCAGTGCCAAGATTCAAACAAGCAATCCTGACCCATTGTCCAGACATATAATGAAAATCAGATGGACGTTGGAACCTAATGTGCGTTACTCCTAATATTGAAGGAGGAAAAAGAGGCTGGTTAATGGCAACATTTCTTTCCAAAAGAAAAGCAAAATAGATTTGTCAAAAAATGTTTATGTGAAATTGACAGGCAGTGCATAGAGTTCAAGCTCCATTTCTATGGTTGTATTTGTTTTCTATTTTTGATAAGCCTCCTCGGCAAAACTTTGGTTTAAATTTCTCAATATGTTTGTTTTATCTGTTTAGCATATCATTAAACACGCCTAGAGAAGCATTTTAATGGAATCATTCATCTATGAAAATAGAATAGAAAATTTAAAATCTACTGCGCAGCACAACAAACCTACATCCTAGAAGAGGCATTGCAGGTCCAGCAACGGCAAAAAAAACACCAAAACAAAACCATGAACTTTGATGGATTGCTGGATCTCATCCATCATGAAGAAAGGAACCCTGGATTCATATGTAAAGCTAAATAACCTGTGTATATATATATGGCATGCCAGAGGATTTTAAGTCTTGTTTTGGTGTAATGCTGTGAAAAGGTTGCGTACCCTTGTTCTAGACCAATAAACTGCACAAAAATAGTAACCAGATCTATATAATATTATACTAAGGTATCATATAAGGTTGTAAAACTTGTTATAATCTGTTTCACACAGTAACTAAGTTTTATATATGTTTATTTAAATCCTTATATCGTTAGCACAAAGAAAGTGATCGAGTGAAACGCATTATTCATTCATCAAAACAAATTCTAGAGAAATGCTTAACATTGTTTGTCACCAAAAAAAAACCCACAACATATTACATAGTAGTAATCATTTTTCCACTGTCAATAAAGTGTTCAAAAATAGAAAGCAGATGTATATGATATTATACTAAAATATCATATAAGGTTGTAAAACACGTTATACTAGGTTTCACACAATGCCAACTCTTTTATATATGTTTATTTGAAATAAATAAATCACTAGCACATAAAAAGTCATCGCGTGAAACTCATTATTCATTCATCAAAACAAACCCTAGGGAAAAGTTTAAAATTCTTGTAGTCGCAAAAAAAAACAAAAAAAAAAAACATACTACATAGTAATAATCATTGTTCCAGTGTCTTTGTAGGTTTAAAGGGGAGTTCTGACTTACCAAATTTTATAAATATTATATTTACCCATTCCCTATATTTAACAAATATTTATCTGTGAAGTATGAAAAAAATAACCACCTTTTTATCCTGCAACTGGGTGCCTCCATCTTTGCTTCCGGTCAGTCATTGTTTTGCGCTCTGCCCTTTGTACTTGGCAGTAGCCATAGAAATGAAGTATACTCTATACTCATGGCTTTGCCTTATCTGAACTGGATTATGATATTATTTGCTGTCATATTAATATATATATATATTTATTTATTTATTTTATTGCATTTTGCATTTCATTAAAAAATGTTAACACAAGCTATCAAGGTTTAATGGTGAAATTTTAAGAGACATTGTCTAAACCAAACATGACAGCCAAACCCGCAATGACCAGATTACCTGAAGGAAGTCGATCTACTTGCAGAACCTCAATCTCTATCTTCTTCCTGCTTAAACTGATCAGTTTGTCTCCAATATAGATAATAGCCGGGGCAATGAAGTATATGTGAAATCGTGGTTGTTGGATTAAAGCGAAACTGCCATGTATTATTGTCTGTAAAATATCATAAGCATTGTAAGAAATTAAACTCATACACAATATCTAATTTTATTTATATACTTAATGAGCTCTATCACAAGTGCTCTGGGCAATTGCCTACCTCTTGAGTTTGGTTACATAGAGCTAAACTACCAGGAAGTAGCACACCCTGCTGTCTGATTGACAGCTGGGGGAGGTGTTACAAAGTTCATTTATAAAAGTGCCCATTTCTATTGAATCAGCATCTTATAAAACAGGGGAAAAGAAAGTTTGGAGCGTTCCTTTAACCACCTCTTACAAAAGACCATTACCTCCTTGATTGTTACATAATTAATAAATAAATGCATTACACCAAATAATGAATAATAGAGTGCCACAAACACACTCTATTATTTACACTCTCATTGCTCTATGTGATGTAATGGATTACAAGGGATTCTGGGAACACTTTTATGTTTAATTATTTGCCTGCTGGCTTCAGAGCTTGTAGATTGCTGTACTCCTTGCCTGCAAAACAATGTATTGTAACCACATCTCCTGTAAGAGATCTCTGTAAATCTGCTTTATTTTACGTGTTTAATAAATATGTGAATCATATGCTTTACATAAAAGTAACTCTATGAAATTACAATTTTATTCCAGACACCAGATTTTTACAAAACTGGATAAGAACAAATATCAGTGGATTTATCCCAGATTTGCATTTTGTAAATCTCCTATTTGCCAACTCATTGACAATCTGTGTATATTTAGGATTACATTTCTGTAATCCTGTTTACTGTGTAAATAAGAGAACTGTACTTAAAATTTAATCCTGTAATTTGATGTTATACCTTTTAGAAATGCATTGAATATACCATATAACTTATTTAATACCATTACTATTTACTATGTTTTCATATCAGTAGTACTGTGCCATTGGTATGACATATAGGCAGAGGCTGCACTGATTATTATATTCTTTAATTACTGAATGAACATTTATGTTCTATACATATTGTAAAGTAGCACATGTCCCCCTTTTGTTTTGTTCTTTAGATACAGCAATAATTCTGTGTGGACTCTATAGGAGAACAAAGAAGAAGCGTCCTGAGTATCTTAATGCCCTTTGTAGTTTCTAATGTAAAAATGATATCTAAACATTCTGATAATGAATTATATTAACTAACTGAATGCCTTTCTAGATTCTGCATTATGCTTACCAAAATGTAGAAGAGGACATAGAGGTGATGTGTTATCCAGAACCAACGGAAACTAACGCGTCGGAAATGACTTGAAGCAAAAACATACATCAAAGCCAGGACTACTAGCAGAAGTACTCCAGTCATACCTGAAAGGTAATGAACAAACAAAGTGATATTCATTTAATCACCGCTGTCTAACATGATCTGTATTTTTGAGTGGATATAACAATGATAAAGGATTTACATGAACTATCTCATAAGCCAAAATTCTAAATTTCTTTTTTTTTGGTCGGTCTAAAATGCTCTCGAACACTAGAAGCAGGAATTTGTATTTAAAAAAAAAATATTTATTCATATCCACAGCACTTGTAGAGCTTGAGTCAAAGAATGATATAAACCACATTGGACCAAATTATATCAGTTTACAGAAAATGCTAGTTTAGTTTCATTATGCAGACGTGGCACATGTAAGGTATGCATGAAATATAAATCATTAAGGGTTGCAAGATATAGCATATTTAATTGGATTTCCTGGATTTGTCAGTTTCACCTCCTATAGTTTGGTATCTAAAAAATGTGTTGCGTGATATGGAATGTAAAAATTGCAAGTGTGAACTCAAGTAATCATACAGGAAGTGATTCAAAATAACTTATTTGTTAAATGTAGAATGTGGATATGAAAATGAATGTGGATTTGAAAACATGGCAAATCTGGGGGCACTGGTACCTTGTTTTTTAACATAGTATATTTATTATTTGCATTCATTTTTTTTAGATATATGCATTCAATTGAATTCACAAACAACCCTTGACCAATCCTTATTAAAGAATGTCATCAGAATGCAGGACAATGAGTGCGCAAATGGTATACACAAGATGTAATTATGGTTTAGTAATGCTTACCTGGTATAGTCTCAAAAAACCACCAGTAAAACTTTTCTGGATACTCTGATCTAATAAGATAAAATTAGAAATGGAGAAATGTTAGCCTCCTCCAAAGTGTACACAATTCTAAATTTACATTTCAGTATTTAAAAACGCTCCTTATGCACGTATTAATTATAAGGGGCATTTAATAGAAAGTAATTCTACTTTTAAAATTGTATACATTTATTTTTATACATACCCGTCATCAGTAAAGACTGTTGGGAAAACGCAACCAAGAATACTGATAGGAGTGATTGAGAAGATGTAAACATTGACCACATGTCCAACTGCATGGAAAACTATGCAGAGAGAAACAAATCTGAATTAGCTCAATCAAATTCTTCTATTCTTTTCTAATATATCTTATTTAGAACCAATAGTATTCAGACCTTTTGTTAGTATAAAAGGGCTTTTCGGCTCACCCATGTAGTATCTTAAGCTCTATCAATCCACAAGCACTTAATATTGAGAACGTTATGGGAGAGATTCATCAAAGTGTCTTGTTCTTAAAAGTGGTACAATAATTTAAAAGCAGAGAAGTCACAATTGGAATGTGCCTGTGGGTTCCATTGGTTTCCATGGTAATTCCATGGTTATAGTCCCACTTTTAGTACTTTAGACCACTTTTTAGAACACATCAATAAATTTACTCATACATGTTTGAGTAGGATCTTTACTGAGAATAAAATCTATATATTTGCCATCCACATTTGTGAATCTGAAAACAAAATATTGTTGTTTTACAATTTATGCCAGTTATATCATTCCCCTCATTCTATTACTTTTTGTTAATGTTAATAATAATAATAATAATAATAATATCATCAAATTATATAACTAGGGAGGATATATTTTTTCTAGTTGTCAATGATATCCTGGAGTATGAATGATATTATTACCCAGAACAATACTTCCTTCTTCATCTTTTCTTTACACTTAAATATACTTGAACATTTTTATTAAGTTGCTTTTCAAAGTATTGTAGCACGTATGGTGCTATTGTCCCTTAGGACTTACTTTAATTCCATTGCATGTTTTTCATTTCTAGTGGTCAAGCTCCACCCCTAACATTGAATCCCCATTGAGCCTTCCAAGTTTGACTTTAGCATGTGCAACCTTTTCATGTAGTTAAAGACTGTGTATGCACAACAATATAACAGAGACTAACTTTAATGGCATAAGCATACTGTATGTGCTCCCACTATACAAAGTAATTGGATGGCTGAACAGAAAACTAGAGTAGATTCCAGTTTTACTAGTTCATTTTTCAATCAATGATGTCATAAAAGAAGCCCTAACGGCTTTAAGAACCTACCTGAAAGAACAACAGCACTCATTGCTATCCAACGATGGAAGTCAACTGCTGCATCAAAAGGAATGTATCTATTTAAAAAAGTCTCTCGAAGGAATGTTATCAGATTCCGGCACATCGTCAAGAGCATGTAAGAGAACATAAATGAAACACTGGCAGCTGATCCTCGAGACACAATAAGCCCCACATATGTGGTTTGAGATATACCAGTTGGTGGTGAAGCATAGCCATAATCTGAAAATCATAAAAAGGATATTGGGAAATATGTGAATAAAATATAAATATACGAATGAGACTCAGAAAAACATAGAAAGACCATATTATAGATTACATCTAGTTTTAGAATATTGAAGTGGATCAAAATACATTTTATTTGTAATTATTTATATATGAATGGTCATGCATATATATATATATATATATATATATATATTACAAAATGGACACATTTAGCTCCATGGCCTCAATAAACTCAATATTTACTAATTGGGCTATGTGGAATTTAAAGAATAGGGTAGGCTAAGCAATCTATATTTACTTTAGTTTCTTCACCAAACATATAATTCACATATAATTTTGACCTCTTGACTTTTGTCTGTTATTTTATTGTCTCCAAAAAATAGGATTTTCCTAACAAAATCTTAATTGATTAAAACAGTACTTATTATAATTTTTCTTACTACAAGTTAATACGTTCATACAAGTTCATATTGTTATCATTGATTTGGGGTTAAGCCAGCCTCTAGTGGCTGTCTTCCGGATAGCCACTAGAGGCGCATCTGTTAAGCTGGAGGCATATTGACACTTTGAATGCACGTGCGGCACCGCTTTGTTTTCCTGACACTATAGTGATCCTTTCCGTACATTTTGAAACTCATTTACATAAATCGCTAATACTTTACAAACTAAAAATCGATAATTAATTAACCCCAATTCTAAAACAATATTAAGTATGAGATATACTCACAATAACCACGTTCAGCAAATACCCCAGCTGATATTCCGCAGCATATAGTTAAACACACAATATGACGTCTGTAATTTTCGACCAAGCGCTTAAGTTGCTGAATCTTTTGGCGGATTTTGCTGGATTCATATCTCTCTCTTTTTGCTTCAGTGTATATTCTTGGCTGATCCATATTACCATTTGTCCTTGTTACAAAAGATTAAAATATACATATTTGTGCAAATGAAAATTAAGCAAATTCCATGTGATATGTATTTCAACAAGACCACATACTTAATATAGAGAATGAGGAAATAACGTACCTATTTCCGAATCTGTTTCGAATTCTCTGTCCTTCAAGCTCCACGTTACTTATTTGTTGACCAGTTCTACATGAGAAAACCATCTTTAACTACTGCATATGTCAAATGTGCTTTGTTAGAATTGTTTGTTTACTTTACCTACTGTACAGCAACAATATGTTGGTTCTATATAAATAATTGTAATGTATACAGTTAAACTTTTCTTTAAGATTAATCTATCATGTTAAGAAATAGTCAAACGTATTTTTCCTTAAACTAACACTGTTTTATAAAACAATGTACAGCCTGATAAATTATGGCTAGCATCAATTGAACAATATTTTGTTAATATTTATTTGTACATTATTCCTTTTTATAGAAGTCTATTTGCCTAGCCAAATAATGCATTCTAAACATAGTGAAGAATATTTCAAACGGATCTATTGGTGTTATATGTTTGTTGTTGAGCATTATTAAAAAAAATGACAAATCAAAATCTATTTTTTTAAAGTAATTATTTTTGTAAATGTGTTAACTACATTGCATTTTTTATAATTTGCTTTTCTTAATTTGAATCTCCAAATGGTAACGGGCATTCCAACTATATGGCTTGATTGACGACTGAGGTTAGTTAGTCAAGTTACAAAAGAGGAGCATTTAAATATTGTACATTAACCTCTCCAATACCAAAAGTGTATAAATGTTTTTATCTTTCATGTATTTTTAAATATAGAATCTAGCCCATAAAGCCTCACCCTCATATATACATATGTAAATACTCACTGCTTCCAAACAGTACAAGAAATTATAATGGGTCATAATATTCCTACAGTCAGGGAGGGGAGGAGGGAATGGGCTCTCTCACAATATTTAATGTATATGAGCATAATGCTTAAATGCAGACATTCTTTTTACATTCTGTTGCTATTTTTAGTAAGCTCTACTGTTAGTAATGACTTCAGGATCTTTGCAAGTAGCTATAAACAGGATATTTGACCATTTGTATTTATATATTTTTGCTAGTTAGAAAACTTGTGCAATGTACATGAAAATATGTTGCCACTTGGTGAAATTAATTTCTTGATTATACTGAAATACTGGCCTAGAGAAATGGTTTCATTTTATGAATATAGAATATCGAAAGTACATTTGATGAGCTCATGAGCTCTCATAAAACTTTTCAATGTGTTATCACTATAAATGTAGATGTTTTAAACTGAAAAGTGCCTCTCTTTCTCTCATATATATAGTTTATTGCACTTGTATTTCCTCATACCAACCTAATCTCTTTTTCTCAACAGCTTCCTACTCAGATTCAGAGGCTTCTTAAAGGGACACTATCGTTACCCAAACAACTTTAGCTTAATGAAGCAGTTGTTCTCACTGCTCAATTCTCTTTCATTTATGAGTTAAATCACATTGTTTATGCAGTCCTAGTCACTCCTCCTTGCAAAGGATGGGTGGTATGGGGCTGCATGGACAGAAATAAAAGTCATTAACTCTTTAATGGCAGAGAATTAAGCAGTGAAAGTTCAGGAGGGGCATGATCCATACACCAAAACCGCTTCATCAAGATAGCTTGCAAAGGCTGCAGTTCATAAGAGCCTCAGCTTTTGCACTCTCTAGATACCCACAACGAATACATGTATGAAAAATGCATGCATGTATTCATTCTATATCTACTAAACAGAATTGTTGTTCTACAAATTTCAGTGTGGGGTGGTCCATTAAAGCACAGATCCATTCTTGTTATACATGCAGCATTGCAATATGTAGTGAAGTCTTTGCCACAGGAAGGTTTAGTAAATCTAACCCAGAAACTTATCGTAGATAGACAAAAAAAATCTATTTTAATAAACAAAGACTGATTTTTATCATTACTTAAAATACATATTGGCTGTTTCTGAGTGCTGTTCCTGTTATCCTATGTACATTTAAAATCAAAGTTAAAAAAAAAAAAAATAAAGTTTTTGGTTACCCATTGCTTTCCTGGTTATTTCTACTTATAAATGAAATATTTCTATCAATATTTTTCTTGTTGTCTGCTGAACCTGTAAATCAGACACAAATATCATTGAATGCAAGGAAAAAAGCAAAAGCAACATTTTGCTGTATTTTCAAGGTCATAAAGAGTCTAAGTTTTAATTAATATATCAAAAATTACATTTCAAAGGTAGTTAAAGGGTTACTCCAATCACCATAACCACTACAGCCCACTGTAATGGCTATGTTGCCAGGAGTACCCTGGGTAGGTTCCACCGAAAATGCGCAAACAATTTACCAATGTATTGCCCCCTTACCTGGGGCCATATGAAGCTCTCGGGTCATGTTGAGCTCAGAGGCCTTTACCCTTCATTCGCTGAGAGTGTCAGCTGACTGTGCAATAAAATTTGCATAGAATTGACATTAGCCGGCCCAGAACTCTTACACCAGAGTAACATCTGCTCCAGCAGAGTGGTTAAACTCTGTATATGCAGCATTTCAAAGCGAAAAGGTGCAAATACAGACCACAGGTACCATGACCACTTCACATCATTAGTGGTAGTGGTGCTTGGATTAACCATTTAGGTTTTTGAACATCAACAAAACAAATTCAAATGCACTGACACACAGACAACACAACTGCATTTATTAACTATCAGAGTTCATGATTTTCTGCAATTAGGTCTATGCATACAATGACACAAATAAGAGTCACAGAATAATGATTACATAATATAAAGTCCCTGTTAATATTTCTAGGAATCACAAATAATGCATCTGAAAGCCTCTGCATTGTTTGAATGTTTGACTATTATGTATCATGTTTTTTTTGCAGACCTTAATAATTAGAGAATTGCTTATTAATACTAAGTTTACAGAGTTATAATATGATAAAGTTATAATAGCCCATTAATGAATGAGGAAATGCAGTAGGAAATTCTAGACAGTCTTGTTGCATGAATATTATCTATTGTAATTATCATGCATGACAACTAATTGCTGTGGCTGGTTGTTTTTTTTTAGATTTCCCGTAGGCTAACAGTTCAAGAATGAACTTGAATTACGTTGGCAGGTATAGGACAGTAAATAGTATCTAATTGTGGCAATAAATTCCTGGTTAAATTCAATCAATTAAAAATTTCAACCTGCCTTATGTTTATTTCCTACTTAGTAGACCTTGAATAAGGTTCAGCTAACTCGTATCATTGCAGAAGAAACTGATATGAGTAGCCACACTGCTACCCATGAGTATTTTATAATTCTAGGCAGGGGTTCTCTGCATGAGATATATAACAGCTTATTTAATTATAATTAATATATGCATACTTTTAAAGAAGCAGCTTGATTTGAATGGGAACCAATTGGAGAATGGGGGGGTACTTCTTAAGAAATATGCAATTTTAATATAATAAAAAAACACTGATAGTTCACTGTTGCAGCATTGAGAAATGGCCATTTTGATTATTAATATTATTTATAAAGCACCAACAAGTTCCGTAGCGCTGTATAATGGGTGGACTAACAGACAACTATTTGTAACCAGACGAGTTGGACACATGCTAGAGGGAGTGCGGTATAGTGACACAGAAGATAAGGGTATGGTAGAAAAATAGGTTGCTAAGATAGTGTTCATTGAGGGCTTAGTGTTTTGTTTTGATGACAGTTTTAGGAGATGAATTAGGGTGCGGGGAGGGGAAGCTGTTCACAGTGTTTTCTAAAGAAGTACGTTTTCAAATATTTTTTGAAGGAGTGGCGATCAAAATGTTTAGTTCTTTTATATATTTCGAATTTTTTTTTACATTTTATATAATATATTTAGTCTACACCATTTTAAATAATATAGCTGAGTGGAATATGTAATACCATATATGAGAATGCAGGTGGCACAAATTTCATTTTATTTGATGATAAATTCTAACCTTTGGGAAGAATAGTTGTAGAATTCAGTATATTTGCATGATCCCTAAATACGGCGTAAAAATCCTTCCAGGTAATCTCTTGCTCTGATGAAATCCCAGCCTCAGTGAACATGCTCTCTATTACATTTTCAGTTTGATCTTTTGATAGGAAATTGGATACTTCACTGAAGGATCTGTAAAAGAGAATAGTGGTAAACTATTGTATATGCATGCGCTAGCTAATGACGTAATCTTGAGTACTTTTAATTTGTGAAAAAAACATGGTTCTCTTGCTTGGCCTAAATATGAGTGTGCCTGTATAGATTCAGAACATTTTTTTTTACTTGAAAATTGAACTGTATAATTTAGAACAAATACTCATCTACCTGACTGTCTGTCAATAGGTATATAGACAGATATGTATCCATATGTCTGTATTTGCATTTTAAAAAGCCCTGCGTTTCATGAGCTGAATAGGAGAACAAGTCAAAACGTTGTTTAGTTTTTTTGTAATTTCCCATAAATAATAATGATGCATCATTATCATTAATTTCAAAACCATAATACTGTTTTAATATTAGTTGCTATCATTACATTTTGAAAAAAATTTTTTTACCATTTTACTTATGTATGTTTAAAAGTATTAGGTGTTTAAAAAAATATAATGGTAGCAGAAATTCATTTAAGAGTTTATTGATTTTTATTGTATTCATTTTTGAAAATAAAAATGTGTAGAATTTAAAAACATTGATTATATATATATATATATATATATATATATATATATATATATATATATTACACTTCTTTAACCATTCTCTTGAATAATTAAGTGTTCTTCCTTAGTTACATTAGGATGTGTGCCATGCCTTTATGTCCACATGTAAAACATACCTAAGCATTTTGGAAAATTCTGCCTTAGTCAGTATGCCATTTCCATTTTTATCATGCATGGAGAACATAAATTGCAATTTCTCTTCAGCAGTACCTTCAAAAACAAAAACAAAACTGTGTACTTACAATTTTTCATCCTGCAGTAATACTTAAAAGTAGTTAAAAGGAGTTAAAAGTAGAACATATAAACAGGACACAATAGATGAGAAAAATACACATAGTTCTGAAAAAGCATCATGCAGAAAACACAGAACACAAGTGATGCGATTTGAATATTTAGGTTCCTTCTGCTTATGCAGTTGTCCATATTGATACATTATGTCTTCCAGAAATTATTTCGGGAGAAGGTAAGGTTAACCACATTAGATCAATTACAACCCATACACATTAGGGAAGCCTTTTCTGGATACTAAGATATACCAGAAACCCATTCCCACTGGAAAAAGAAATTGTAGCTTCTTCCTGTTTCAATGTGAGTCACGGGATCTACCAACCTAATTTTGTCTTGACTTCTATCCACAAAGCAGAAGCTGGGGAGGAGCTACACAGGAACACCTTTTATTTTTTTAATGTTAACTTTGTTGTTGTATCGGATGAGATTTTTGTTTACACAGAGGGAAAAGCTTAATTTTGTTTAAAAAAAGGCCTCTGTCATTCTGGATTCTATTTTTGACATACCTTTTAATAACTTAGCCAATATATTGCAGAATTCTTTAAAAGACAAAAATCCATTCTTGTTTTTGTCAGCCGCTGAAAACATGGAATCTACAAAGCTGGCATGGTGATCAAGCCCCAGTAATTCTGACAATTCTTCTCTGGATATCTCGAACTTTAGTAAATTGATATCCTTTGTATGTAGTTCACCTGCATCCGCCTTCTGAATGTCAAGTACCTGCATAATCATATATTGTCAAATTTAGAACATTAGAACGTCTGCTATCTACTAATATAGGCCTTAATAAAATTGCTTTGGAGAAGCTTTTCAAATTATCACAATCTGCCAGAAAAACATATTTTTAAATTAATGATCTACATAAGTCATCATTAGAGTCTATGGGCATGTATGCAGATTCATAAATTGAAACGTTATTATAACAGATCGTAGTCATTTGAAAATCTTATCAAACAAAATTAAACTGAGGCCTTATTTTTTTATTTAAAGCAAGAAAAGTGGAAAAAACTAAAAATTAAATTGGTTAAAAATTTGCCGGTCTTGTAATTTTTCTAAATAATTACATTAATTACATAATTACAGTTCTGTTACTTTGCCGGCAATGCTTTTTATTAAATGTTGTATTCTAGTTCTTTTTGTTTTTATGTTTTTTTTTTTTTTACATTCACTTTGGTTTTTTAGTTATACGTAAGTTAAAATACTTTTATTATGAGGGAACACAATTTTTGATAATGGGTGTAGCTTTACCCACTTATTTACCCACAATCATACTATCGTGCCATTGGTCAAAATGAATCCCACAGACAACTGCAGACAGAGAACAAAATGGAGTACCCGGCTTGAGATCCAGCAAAAGGAAGAAAAGATAATATACATAAATAAAGGCAAGTGGAAATGAGGGGAGCAGTATTATTAACTTTGCTAATTTTGCTCATTTCAGCAATGTAGCATTGTTACTATGTATTGTACAGCCTGGTTAACTAGTGCATTCTTGCTGGGTTCTCAGACAAGCAAAGTAATCAAGAGCAAGTAGTAATCAGTGACAGAGGGAATGCAACTATTAATTTTACGACATGGTACACTCACTGGGCACAGTGGGTTCTCTTACAAACAATGCAATCATCAGCAAGACTGCATAGTAGAGCAATGAGAATGGACATCTGGCTATGGTTTGTAAACCACAATACACTTGCTGAGCACAATGGTATAGGAGGAAATGGCTAGCCTGGCCAAGCACCAGCTCTTACAGTGATTCTCACACTATTCACACTGTCAGAATAACTGACTGAAAACACCTGGGTTATACTGTAGGCAACCTTTGGCACTGCAGATGTTTTGGACTACACCTCCCATGATGCTTTGCCAGCATTATGGGTGTAAGAACGTTATGGGGGATGTAGTCCACAACATCTGGAGTGCCGAAGGTTGCTTAGCCCTGCTGTAGACAGTCACATAAATTCAGTATATATTCAACTGTCAAAATCTGAAATAATCGTCAAATGTAGAGTGAATATGCACATTAAATAGTAGTTATAGGTGGTTTGATAGCCATAATTTATCTTTTAATAGTAGCAGTAAAGATTATAATAGTCACCTATCTGGGACGATACGAGTAGTGAAATGTTGACATTTGATTCTTAGAAATGATGTATAGGAATTTACCACACTGAAACATGCTAATCTGGTTTCTGAGGTGATGCCTTACATCACCATCACACAGACAAGGTAGAGATGCAATGCTTTAATTATTTCCTTGCAAAGTGAATATACCTGTTACAGTGAATTGGTTTGTATAAGGTACTGCTTGATCACACGTTCGCTGGAGTTTCTTACTGGTTGAGAAAGTCTTCCTTGTGATTATAAGTATGGGAGTAGGGAGGTACCTGATTGACCACATATTATGGGAAGATCCTATCCAAAGATATTCACTTTCACAGATAATGAGGTCAGAGTGCGGAAGTGCCTGATTCTCCATGAATATACGGATGATGCTCTCTGAATAGAAAGTCAGTTTCATGGACACTCTAACTAACTGAAAGTTTTGTTTGAGATACCTGTCTCTAACGTTCCCCACATTTAAAAAAAAATAGTTTTTTGTCAGTAAATACATGTACTTTATTCATATGTGCAGTGCTTAAAGTGTTGGAGTATTCTACACTCACGTGGTTTTTTTTTATCTATGGGAAATCTGATTTACAACTTTGGTTTAAAAACACATTCCTCCTACATACTGATCCCCTCACAATTGTATAACAATGCATTTTTTAAGTAAAATTTGTCTAAAGTACTAAATCACCATCAGGGCCGGCCTTAGGGGTGTGCGAGCTGTGCGGCCGCACAGGGCGCCATGGCAGCAGGGGGCGCCCTATGGCTGACACAGCTTGCACACCCCCTGCCCTCTACCAGGGCTTAGCAGCGAAAGAGACTGTAGGAGGCGGAGCCAAGCAGCCGATGGGGGCGGAGCCAAGTGGTCGGCGGGGGTGGAGCTAACCGAGGCCTGAATCTGCTGCCTGGTAAGTGAGACCATAGTGCCCCTGCTCCCCCTATAGTACCCCTGTTCCCCATCTATCCCTATAGTGCCCCCCTCTTCCCCTATAGTGCACCCTCTACCCCTATAGTAACCCTGTTCCCCATCTATCTCTATAGTGCCCCCCTCTACCCCTATAGTAACCCTGTTCCCAATGTATCCCTTTAGTGCCCCCCTCTTCCCCTATAGTACCCCTGTTCCCCATATATACCTATAGTGCCCCCTCTACCCCTATAGTGCCCCCATCTACACCTATAGTGCCCCTGCTCCCCTTATAGTACCCCTGTTCCCCATCTATCCCTATAATGCCTGCCTCTACCCCTATAGTGCCCCTACTCCCCTTATAGTACCCCTGTTCCCCATCTATCCCTATAGTGCCCCCATCTACACCTATAGTGCCCCTGCTCCCCTTATAGTACCCCTGTTCCCATCTATCCCTACAGTGCCCCTGCTCCCACTATAGTACCCCTGTTCCCCATCTATCCCTATAGTGCCCCCATCTACACCTATAGTACCCCTGTTCCCATCTATCCCTACAGTGCCCCTGCTCCCACTATAGTACCCCTGTTCCCCCTCTACCCCTATAGTGCCCCTGCTCCCCCTATAGTACACCTGTTCCCCATCTATCCCTATAGTGCCCCCCTCTACCCCTATAGTGCCCCCTCTACTCCTATAGTGCCCCTGCTCCCCCTATAGTACCCATGTTCCCCATCTATCTCTATAGTTCCCCCTATCTACCTCTATAGTGCCCCTGCTCCTCGATCTACCCCTATAGCACCCCTGCTCCCCATTTACCCCTATAGTGTACCTGATCCCTCCATCTACCCCTATAGTGCCCATGCTCCTTATCTATCCCTATTGTGCCCATGCTCCCCCTATATTGCCATTGTTCCCTGTCTACCCTAGTGACACTGCTCCCCTTATCTACTGCTATAGTGCATTGCTCCCACATCTACCCCAGTGCCCCTGCTCCCCCTATCTACTGCTATAGTGAACAAAAATCACACACGGTCAATACACACACATATCAGACACAGTCAATACACCCATTACAAATATGGCACACAGAGAACACATCACACAATCACGTCTGACACACACATGATAAATGTAGCTGTCTTCCGAGTTCCGGCCAATCAGAACGTTGCCGCGGATTACCACAGGAAAGCTCTGATACTGTAAGTGCCTGAGCTCAGGAGACAGTTGCTGATGGTCTGCACCCAGTGAAGGCACCGACCATATTCCCAGCAAACTGTATCACCAGAGATCAGCATGCCCTCCATCCATGCAAGGTAATGACAGGGAAGAGGTGATAAATATTTGTTAATTGTTAAATTTTCATTTAATAAATCCCCTATACACATGGATGGTGGGGGGGGGGGGGCTGTTAAGATTTTTCGCACAGGGCGCCTGAAGGCCTAAGGACGGCCCTGATCACCATGGAAACCAGTGAACAGGCACATTCCATTGGTAACTCTCGCCCTTTAACATTTTTACATTTTTGCAACACTCGCTAGAATAGAAAGCTCTTCATGTGTGGTCTTGATTGATAAACATTCATGTATTCTTTATCTTTTAAATTCACATATATTTAAATCTTTGTATTGGCTTATGGCTTATTAACTCAACCATTTTAATGCAGCTGTGGGGGGGGGGGGAGTTATAAATTCAACATTTCTAAAATATATGTAAAATTTGGAAACCTATTTTAATATTTTTGATGTCACATATTCTGAAAAATACTGTTTGCACATAAAGTAAAGTAAAACAAGGTAATTTAAAAGATAATTATCAGAGATAATCACAGATTGACCTATTGCTACACCAGAGACAATATTGTCTGGGTCTTACCAAAGGTAAGAATATCAGGAAGCACATGGTACATGTCTCCTCTGCAGACAATAAACACCTTATGCCTCTCCTCTTAGGTGACCTAATGCACTGTAAAGAATCAGTGAACTATGGTAGGCCGAATGACTCTTACTCATTTAGATAAACTAGACCACAGAGGCAGAAGAGACTGTAACCTGTGTCTGCAGAGATACAGAACAGGGGCTCTTCATTATGGGAATACAATTGATGAGCCCTTTTAATGTTTAAAACCATAGGTTGCTTAAATGAATAAATGGCTAGATGACGTATGGCTGTCTATGTCATATGGTATGTGTAAGTTCTAAAAACAGGACAGAGAGATGCAGATGACTGTGGTGAAACTTGGCAAAACTGATGTTCCAGTGACCTTATAATTAGTACTGAATCTTAATCTGTTTCATCCCGGGCATAATGTGTGATTACTGGGTTGTGCTATTATAGTAACTCTTCCCATCATTTATTGCCATACAGGATAAATGTTCTTGTTAATTTTGTTACACAATACTGTCCATGCTTACACATCTACATTTTCATTCGCAGTTGTCTACTACAGCAATTATGTTGGCACATGGCCCACAATAAAGAAATAAAACTTTTAGTTATGCTTCAGTACTCCGGTCTATAGAATGGATACATTTAGTGAGCACTACATGGTATTAACGAAAGCTATGTGCTGTGCTGAACACAGCAAGTGGCTATAAAATAACAGTGGGATTTTTTTTTGAGATTGTATTCTCCAATGTCTCTATCTACAAGTGGACTATAGAAATAAAAATAAAAATTTCTCACGTGAGACAGAGAATGTCTGAAGAAGGTCTCCAACATTTCATGCCTCTCCTTTTTTGAAAAAGATGATCTCAGGAGAGATTTTTCCTTTAATTCAGAAAAAGATGGGGTGACTCCGCTCCCATCAAGCAATTCTTTAAATTTCTGTATGAAGTTAGTTCGCTCTTCTTTGTTGTTGAAAAAGAGCACCTTAAACATGAGAAAATAGTTAAACATTAATATGGATCAAGGATTATGTTGTATGCATTGTAACAAGGTCGACTGGTTCAGTTATGATTGGCAAATCAGCACTTGGTTTTACTATTAAAACATTTGCATATTTATTTATTTACATCTTTACGGATATTTAAACAAGGAAAAAGGAAAAATTATTGCTTTTCGGCTTCCTGATTGTATGTTTTATTTGTGTACCTTCATTTATCTAGATAGGATTTTACTGTCATATTAGTTCATTGATAAGGTTATCATTGATCTTTTATATTTTATGTATTACGAAGAATTCAGCATTTTCCTATATGCTTCGTGCAAAGTACTTGTGTTATAAATATGAGGCAACCATTATAGCAATTTGGCTATACAATGAAAAAAATAAACAATGATCTTTGCAGGAAGTATCAATGCATTAACATTCCCAACAATGTATGGTTTAGAAAACAACCCTATGTGATAGTCTTGCATCAAAGTGAGCAATATATCAAGATAAAAATAATATTACCAGTGTTATAAGAATTTTTTTTTTAAAAAAAGGCTGTCTAATATCTGGCTTTTGCCCCCCTCCCCACAAAAGAGAGGAAATACGTAAATAATACCATGGTGAACTATGTGGTATCTCTAAAAAAAAACAGCATGCCAAGAGAATGATAACATTATAAAAGAAGAAAAATATGACTTAGCTGTTGGATACATTGTGATAACAACATTATATAGTTATAGAAAGAAGTGTGAATGTGATTGCTGTAGAATACAGCACAATATTGGTTTGGTACATTTAAAGGAGGAAATGTACTAGGGTTGATAAAGATATAGAATACAATAAGCTTTGATTATGCTCGGGTGTAATAAAGTAATAAGGATGTATTACTGTAAGTTGTAAGAGGAAGTGTAATAAATGGTATGCTCATAAGATGTAATTTAAAAGTAGGATGAAATATATGGTATTTCATTAATGTTTTTATGGTACTCGGATGTGTTTGCCTTCTTATTTTTTGAAAAATATTTATTTCATATTTCAAATCAGGCAAACAGGAACTTGTTCTATAAGATACTGGCTCTATCTTCAGTGTATGAATGACAAAATATTTGGTTGGAACCAATACCTAATAGTATCTGAGCTTAAAATGTGTAGTATTATGCTACTAGCCAGGCCTTAAAAATCATAGTATACCATCCAGGGGTGAATCGTATTTATAAATTGCTTTCTCATGAAATCAGATGTGGTAAAGAATAGAAAGAGATGGTATGTACATACCCTATTAAGGTAAGTTACCTTAAAGAAAATGCATTGTTTACCTTGATGACTATTTCAAAAAGTGAGTTGTGATAAATGAACACCCTCATTGTCATAGGATAGGAATATATTTTAAGACGCGGATACTTTGCAGCTCACGTAAAGAATGAATCTCTAAAATCTCAGCTCCACTTAATGTTGGATTTACCAAATGTTATGGAAAAAAACACATCCAACACATAGGAATTTCTTACCAAATCATATTCTTTTGGAATCTTGAGACAAAGAGCTTTGTTTCCATCATTGTTGGACAAGAGAACCTCCACTTTCTGCTGGCTTTGTAAGCTGATGGATCTGGCCTTAGTATGGCTGTTACCTAAAACATTAAGTTTTCGATTTGGGAGGAACTGAATCAAAACTTGTTGATTTGATTCCCCGGGGCCATACCATTCAGTGGCTATGAAAGAAGGAATATATTTTAGCAGTTTCCTATAACAAACTCTTACACAGTTCATTAGTAAACAGTTTATGTATTGTAAAAAATGCTGTATAAAACATAAAACCTTTATAACTAACATTACAGAAATGCCTACAATGAGCTTCTCTTGTGGGGTGGTGATTGAAGAAAGAGAGAAAAAATATTTTAAATAAATCAATACATTTACAGCATCTACGAAGCAGCCACAGTCATGCAGAAGATTGGGAGTAAGGTGCAGAGAATGTTTAACTGAGGTCCTCGTGGCCTACTTGACACTGTGGTAATGCTTTATTATAATAATAATATGAGCAGATAATGATAATAAACTGTCTACATTGTTTATATGTAGTGATGTCCCGAACGGTTCGCCTAACGGTTCGCGAACTGTTCGCCAGGAACGGTTCGCCACGAACGGTTCGCCACGGACTCATCATTGAGTAAACTTTGACCCTGTACCTCACAGTCAGCAGACACATTCCAGCCAATCAGCAGCAGACCCTCCCTCCCAGACCCTCTCACCTCCTGGACAGCTCACTAAGAATGCAACTTCAAAATGGATGCTGTCCACGAGGTGGCAGGGTCTGGGAGGGAGAGTCTGCTGCTGATTGGCTGGAATGTGTCTGCTGACTGTGAAGTACAGGGTCAAAGTTTACTCAATGATGAGTCCGTGGCGAACCGTTCGCGAACCGTTCGGGACTTCACTATTTATATGTATTATCTTTTCCTATTCAGTAAATCTTGATATCTGAACTGGAATACAGAGGCTGCAGCCCTGATCCTGCATTATGTCTCAAAGCCATGCCTGAATAAGTATGTTTTATGGTGCAGTGCATAAATACAGGGAGCAAGACATTGCATTATTTCTTTTAAATCACACACAACAGTTCACCTATTGGTCATATTGTCCGATTTTTCGTTTAGGACTTTTTCAGTATTCAACACTTGGTAAATGTGATAATATATATATTATAATATTAAAACCACATTATAGTCACCAAAACAAATTTAGCTTAATGAAGCATTATTTGGTGTATAGGTCAATCCCCTTAAATCTTACTGCTCTATTATCTGCCTAGGCACGCCTCTCTGCAAGTGACTAACACAGCCTTCCTAAACACTTCCTATAAAGAGTCATCTAATGTTTGCACTTCCTTTGTGGCAAATTATGTTTAATTTGTTATCTCTTGCTCTATTAATAGCTTGCTAGGCCCTGCAGGAGTCTCCTGCATGTAATTAAAGTTCAATTAAAAGAGCAGGAGATAAGAAACTTTTAAAGTAAGTTACATCTGATTGAAAGTGAAACCATTTTGTTTTCATGCAGTCTATTTCAGTCACAGCCAGAGAAGGTGTGGCTAGGGCTGAATAAACTGAAACAAATGTGATTTAACTCGTATAGGGCATAGAATTGAGCAGTGAAATGCCAGGGGCATTGTCTATACACAAAAACTGCTTAAATTGATTTAGAAATCTTTTTTTTTTTTTCTGGTTACCTACTTCAAGGGACACTTCAAAAAGTGCAGTGCAAGCAGAGCTGTAAGAAGCCTTTACAATAAATGTTTGTTCTAGTGACAACAAAAGTCATTAAAAATGAATTTAAATACCTGGAAATCCTTCTCTGCTACTTGCATTTCTGACATCTCTGCTGTTTATTTTCTTTTGAAATTTTCTGAAGGTCCTCTTCTGAGACTTTGAAATTACATAGGCAAGAAGAAAACTCACTAAAATGATAGAAGTAATATATTATTTCAGAGTATTAGCTAGCTATGAACTCTTATGAATTCAAAAGACTACATGGACACAAATAAATAAATCATTTCATTCACATTTAAAACATATTTGAAATATCCTAATATTTTTCTCCTACTATTTCCAAGTCACATACATTTGACTTGATTCATTTCAGTCAATGGTGTATGTGGCAAACCTAGCCACTTGGACAATAACTAGAGACTGTGCCTTTAAGGGTTGCCTACAGGTCTGGAGAGATATGCGTTGTATTCCTATGTATGTGCGGGATGTATTTCTGTGGGGACTGTAATTACCGGTTTCGCCGAATGCCAATGGCGGTTTGTATGGGGATTCTCGTTCGTTTCGCGAACGGCACTTTGGAGGGCCGTTCGTGAAACGAACGCGACACCCCCTAATAGCCCACACACTTAGAGGCGTGTGGCGCTAGTTAACCGATTGCAACAATGTTGCAATCGGTAATTAGAGGCTCTCCTGGGTGGCCGTCGTTTGACTACCGACCATGCGGCGGTCGGCCATCTTGGATCCTTTGTTCCTCAGCGGGTTCGTGTTGTCGAACGCATAGTATTACCAATAGCTATTCGACGGCACGAACACCGCTGAGCCTCCAGGACGTTCGGGAGTTTCAGAACCAGGTTCACTAAAAGTAATCGGTTCTTTTCGTGTGTTTGGAAAGAAATGTGTTTTCTGTGCGGCGTTCGGTTATTTTAGATGGGATCTGAGCGGCAATCTCACGAATGATGCGCCCAGACCCCAGCTAACTACCGAACGCCCATTCGTGTAAATCCACCGTGTATTTTAAAAGTTATGTATTTTTGTATGAATTGCCGGTTCTGCTGCACGAGGGGATAATCCCCTTCACGGTGCATTCTGGGAGGATGATTCCTCTCGTGCAGCAGTGCCTGATGGGAGAAATATGTTATACTGTAAGTCCCCCATGTAGTTCCCTCTGGGAATGCCCCTGGGAAGGGACTCAGGAAACCCCTTGCATGGGGACTTGTATAAATTGTCGTGCCGATTAAAGGATTGTCAGTTGACTCCCAAAACTGTGTCTCGTCCGGTTATTGGGAGGTTGGGGATATTGCCTTGGTGTTTTCAGCGCTTGACTGTGGTTTCGTTTCTGGACCAGCGGAATTCGTGGATTTAATATTGGCGTTCCGCTACAATTGGTGGCAGCGGTGGGATCCAACTCTACAGCCGAATACAGCGCATTCGAATGAAAGGAACAACCGAACGGAAAGGCAATTCGTATGAAACAAGCAGACGAAAGCGATCAGTGAATGGGTACTGATTATACGGCGTTAAAGAGACAGACGCTAAAGGAGCTGCTGGAGGCTAGAGGGAAAATCGCTAGCAACAAATCGAAGGCAGTACTGATTGCAGAGCTAATGGAGGACGACCAAGCACACAGCAGTCCACCCCCACCTGCCAGAGAGGAAACACCATACCAGAGGGAACTGAGAACCCGGCTGGAATTTGTACCACAGCCAGTAACCCTGGACATCTTAACCGTGCTAATGGCCGACGTACAGGACTACATTATGGCACAGCAACCCCAGAGGTCACCATCCAGGGCGGAATCCATCGTCAACTCATTCTGCCCTCCAACAAAGCAGAAAATACCGTACCAGGCATTTAAAGCATTCTGCGAGGAGAAAGATGAGATAGACGGATATCTGCAGGATTTCGAGAGGCTATGCGACCTGCACGATCTGGAACCGACAATGTGGGTACCCTTACTGGCAGGCAAGTTGGCGGGACGAGCAGCAGAGGCTTACCGCGCTGTGCCCAGAGAGGACAGCAAGGACTATTTTAAAGTAAAAAGAGCCATCCTAGAAAGATATGCCATAACCCCGGAGGCATACCGACGGAAAATTCGGGGATTGAAAAAGCCCGAAAGAGATTCCCACGCAGAATGGGCGCATAAGCTGGACCAAGCTTCCCAAGGGTGGATTCAGGCAAGTCAAGCCACCACTATGGAGGAACTGCGCCAACTCATCTTGCTGGAGCAATTCTTCAATGGTCTGTCACCAGAGGCACAGGAGTGGGTAAGGGACCGAAAACCTCTCACCCTCACAGCAGCCGCCCGATTGGCAGACGAACACTTTGATGCCCGGAGACACCACGGGCTCACCAACAGGGGTCCCCTAAGACCGCCAATACAACACCACCCAACCAGCTCCACACCCGCCAACTCTACCCCGTTCAGGCCACCACCAGGAAACCCCCCACCGCCAGCCCGCTACAACGGCAGGGCCAACATACAATGCCATACCTGCCGGCAGTGGGGGCATATGTCCCGGGAGTGCACCCAGAATCGTAGCAGGCAGGCGTGGAACCAGGTACGGCAGAATTCCGTTCCCAGGGCGGCGGCCCATTTCTACCACGCAGAACCTGACCATTCGGAGCTGACAAGTATACCAACCGAGGAACCATTGGGGGTTCTGTACGAGGTAATGTCTGTGCAAGCCACGGACAACCGGCAGCATCACCGCCAAGTTGTATTTGTAGGAGGGAAAGAAGTGCAGGGGCTGCGGGACTCGGGAGCCACCTTAACCTTAGTGGCCCCCCATTTAATTCCAGATACGGCCCACACTGGCGGATCAGTGGCAGTCCGGGTAGCAGGGGGAGCCATGTACCGGTTACCCACGGCCAAGGTGCATTTGAATTGGGGTGCTGGGGAGGGGGTTGTGGAAGTGGCCATAATGAAAAAACTACCGGCCGATGTTGTTTTGGGGAATGACTTGGGCCAGATGACTTCTGCTTTTCTACCCCAGGCCCCGTCACAAGAGGCGCATCCGGTAACCACCCGGCAACAGGCTCGCACCACGGCATTCCCCGCACACTCTGAGGCTCAGGTAAGAAATCATGACCCCCCCTTGACAGACATGACTTGGGACACCCCGTCCACGTTTGAAGTAGAGGTGCAGACCGACCCCACACTGCAGGTATACCGGGATAGGGTAGATACGGACCAGGTGGGGCGGGAGGGAGAACAGTACAGGTGGGAGAAGAAGTTACTATACCGGGTGGCGGAAAGGGCAATAGGCAACTCTGTGACGCTCCAAACTAAGCAGCTAGTAGTGCCCCAGAAGTATAGGCAGGAATTACTAAGAATCGCCCATGATATCCCTCTGTCCGGTCATCTAGGGATGACCCGGACCCGGTATCGGTTAACGCACGCTTTCTTTTGGCCCGGGATTTCTAAAGATGTGAGACAATATTGTACCTCCTGTGATGTGTGCCAGAGGGTAGGCAAGAGGGGGGACCGCCACAAGGCGAAACTGTGTCCCCTACCTATCATTGAGGAACCGTTCAGCCGTGTAGCAGTGGATATAGTAGGGCCACTACCAAAACCCAGCCCCGCTGGGAAACGGTATATCCTAACCGTGGTGGATTACGCCACCCGGTACCCCGAGGCGATTGCCCTAACGAATATTCACGCGGAGACCGTAGCCGAAGCCTTGATGAAGATATTCTCCCGAGTAGGGTTCCCACAGGAAATGGTCTCCGATAGGGGGACCCAATTCACGGCTGAGGTTACTCAGCAGTTATGGAAGATATGTGGCATTAAGCCGATCATTAACTCCGCATACCACCCGCAATCCAATGGATTATGTGAGAGATTCAACGGTACCCTAAAACAGATGCTCCGGACATTCGGAGAGACCCATAAGGACTGGGAACGATTTCTTCCCCATCTGTTGTTTGCCTACAGAGAGGTGCCCCAAGAGTCCACAGGTTTCTCCCCATTTGAGCTATTATTTGGGAGAAGGGTCCGGGGGCCGTTGGATCTCATTAGAGAGCATTGGGAGGGAGAGAGTAGCGCAGATGGGACCCCAATTGTACCCTACGTGCTGGCGTTCCGGGACCACCTGGAGGAATTGACCCAGGCAGTGCGCACCAACCTCCAGGCCGCCCAACAACGACAGCGTCGTTGGTATGACAGGGGGGCCAGAGACCGTAGTTTTCAAGTGGGACAGAAGGTACTAATCCTTAAACCTGTCCGCACCGATAAACTACAGGCCGTCTGGCAGGGCCCATACCAGGTGGTAGAGCAGAGATGCGATACCACCTATGTGATCGGCCCATGCTCAGGAGTAGGGAAGAGACACATGCTCCATGTGAACATGCTCAAACCCTACCACGAGCGGACGGAGGACGTGGCAGCTATTTGCACGCCCGCCTCCGAAGATCAGGAGAACCTGCCCCTTCCAGATCTGTTGGAGCAGGAGGAGCAGAAGGAACCCTCCCAGGGGGTTCAACTGGAGGAGCGGCTAAGTCCTCAAGAGCGTATCCAGGTACAAGAACTGATAGCAACCAAGGGCGCCGCCTTTTCTAACCTACCTGGGTACACTCCACTAGCCACCCACCGAGTAGAAACCCCGGGACAGCTTCCCATGCGACAGACGCCCTATCGGATTCCCGAATCCGTGCGGGAACATATGAGAAAAGAAATTGAAGAGATGTTGCAGTTGGGGGTTATTGAGCACTCAGATAGCCCCTGGGCATCGCCGGTAGTCCTGGTTCCTAAGAAAGATGGTACCACCCGGTTCTGCGTGGACTACCGGAGGTTGAACGACAAAACTGTGTCGGACGCCTACCCGATGCCTCGGATAGACGAACTGCTTGATAGGATGGCCAGGGGGCAGTATCTCACTACCATAGATTTGTGTAAGGGATACTGGCAAATTCCACTAGCCGAGGACGCCATCCCTAAGTCGGCGTTTGTCACCCCGTTTGGCTTGTACCAATTTCGAGTCATGCCATTCGGGATGAAGAACGCCCCCGCGACCTTCCAGCGGATGGTGGATCGGCTACTGGACGGGTTCCAGGACTATGCGTGTGCATATCTGGACGATATCGCCATATACAGTCCGACCTGGTCAGAGCACCTACAACACATCGGGGCTGTAATAGATCGGATCCGAGAGGCAGGGCTTACCTTGAAACCCAGCAAATGCCACATAGGGATGGCAGAGGTCCAGTACTTAGGGCACCGGGTTGGTAGCGGGCAGCAGAAGCCTGAGCCCGCAAAGATTGAAGCTGTAGCCCAGTGGCCTACCCCTAGGACCAAAACCCAAGTCCTGGCTTTCCTAGGTACCGCAGGGTACTACAGAAAATTTGTACCCAACTACAGTGCCCTGGCCAAACCCCTGACTGATTTGATGAAGAAAAACCTGCCCCGGCAGGTCGTCTGGGCCCCAGAGTGTGAACAGGCATTCCATCAGCTGAAGACGGCTCTGACCAATGCCCCTGTACTGGCTGCTCCTGATCCAACTAAACGTTTTCTTGTTCACACAGATGCCTCAATGTTTGGATTGGGAGCAGTACTGAGCCAGGTTGGAGCCGATGGCGGAGAACACCCCGTAGCATACTTGAGTCGGAAACTGTTACCCCGAGAGGTGAGCTACGCCGCCATAGAAAAGGAATGCCTGGCCGTGGTGTGGGCCCTGAAAAGGTTACAGCCGTATCTCTATGGGCAACCCTTTTCTTTGCTCACAGATCACAACCCGTTGGTGTGGCTAAACCGTGTGGCTGGAGACAATGCCAGGCTGCTGCGCTGGAGTTTGGCGCTGCAGCCCTTTGACTTTACAATTCACTACCGCCCAGGGAAACAAAACGGTAATGCCGACGGGTTGTCCAGACAAACAGACCTTGAGAAATGATCTGTGAGCACTCCTCCGGACATCCCCAAGCCGATCCGCTGGGATCAGACTGTGTATGCCGGCTTGGTTCTGGGGGAGCATTGTGGCAAACCTAGCCACTTGGACAATAACTAGAGACTGTGCCTTTAAGGGTTGCCTACAGGTCTGGAGAGATATGCGTTGTATTCCTATGTATGTGCGGGATGTATTTCTGTGGGGACTGTAATTACCGGTTTCGCCGAATGCCAATGGCGGTTTGTATGGGGATTCTCGTTCGTTTCGCGAACGGCACTTTGGAGGGCCGTTCGTGAAACGAACGCGACACCCCCTAATAGCCCACACACTTAGAGGCGTGTGGCGCTAGTTAACCGATTGCAACAATGTTGCAATCGGTAATTAGAGGCTCTCCTGGGTGGCCGTCGTTCGACTACCGACCATGCGGCGGTCGGCCATCTTGGATCCTTTGTTCCTCAGCGGGTTCGTGTTGTCGAACGCATAGTATTACCAATAGCTATTCGACGGCACGAACACCGCTGAGCCTCCAGGACGTTCGGGAGTTTCAGAACCAGGTTCACTAAAAGTAATCGGTTCTTTTCGTGTGTTTGGAAAGAAATGTGTTTTCTGTGCGGCGTTCGGTTATTTTAGATGGGATCTGAGCGGCAATCTCACGAATGATGCGCCCAGACCCCAGCTAACTACCGAACGCCCATTCGTGTAAATCCACCGTGTATTTTAAAAGTTATGTATTTTTGTATGAATTGCCGGTTCTGCTGCACGAGGGGATAATCCCCTTCACGGTGCATTCTGGGAGGATGATTCCTCTCGTGCAGCAGTGCCTGATGGGAGAAATATGTTATACTGTAAGTCCCCCATGTAGTTCCCTCTGGGAATGCCCCTGGGAAGGGACTCAGGAAACCCCTTGCATGGGGACTTGTATAAATTGTCGTGCCGATTAAAGGATTGTCAGTTGACTCCCAAAACTGTGTCTCGTCCGGTTATTGGGAGGTTGGGGATATTGCCTTGGTGTTTTCAGCGCTTGACTGTGGATTCGTTTCTGGACCAGCGGAATTCGTGGATTTAATATTGGCGTTCCGCTACAGTGTAGCTTCATATACTACGTATATAATTAAAAAAATTATAATTCAATTCTTGTACAATGTTTTGATTATAGATGTCATAAAGAGCACCAACGATCATCGATCAATCTTATGGAATATGAATGGACTCTTAAATAGAGAGATCAAATGTCTATTGCATCATGGAATATTACTTGACTCTAAAGGATACTAGTTTAGATTACTGAAATATGTTTTCTTACATAGTGGTAAACTGCAGAGAAATGCAATGGTAATCCCAAAGCCAGCACCACTTCCTTCAAAATAGTCTGCAACCACAAGAGGCACACATGGTTCTAATTCATCGGATTTTAATTGGCTCGGTTGAGGACATGGGTCACCTTTAAGCAAAGAAAAACAATTGTCCTGTTTTAGGAAACATGTTACAAATGTTAAATGTGTGTGTTATAACAAACATTACTCTGAAATACTAGACTCCAGGCTATCTCTAAAATGCTCATTTCTTGACATGATATTTATAATGTTGGAGATATAAATTGCTTATTTTCCTCATACCAATAGATGTGTCACTTTAGATAACGTTAAAAGAGATTTCTGATTTAAGAATCTGCAAGCTTACAGTTTTATTATACTTTATTAAGTGTTGTAAAACACTCTGTTAAGATAGGCTTTAAGGCAATACTTTAAAATGCTAGATTTGGTAACTGTTAAACATTATTCTTACAAATGATCTGGCATTTTTACATCTTGCAGTGATATGTAATATTTTGTAATTCGGATCTGTATTGGGTTTAAAAACAATCATTGAAGTTATGCAAGACATAGGATTTGCAATTCGAAGAATCACTAGATGTCTACTGGATCTGTCCCGGTAAGAGGAGTAACACAAAACAGATTCACCTACTTTTTCAGGCAAATTTATAAACTCTGCACCATTTTCTCAATAACAGTGCAAGAAGCCAACTGAGCAACAGGTAGACAAACCTGCATTTTTTGTGAGGACTTACTCACCGTCAGCTACCTGCGATTGTCGAAGTACAAAACCACTATATGGAGAGCAATATAACTAATGGAGCGATACTACCATCTTCGAACATTCCTAATTCTGAGCTTACGACATACTTTAGAAACACAATATTTCAGAGCTTTTTCACATTAACATCACTCTTGCCCCCGATATATATCCAAATATTAAACACATTAAAAAGTGTTTATTAGCATTGGACAAAATAAACACATTTTCTCACCTGCTTTCCACATAAAAACGTTGTCTTGGATGTCACTACTGGTTGTATTGATCACAGCAAGTAGAACATCACGGAACGTTGTTGCCCGAATAATGGCTATTTCTTCACTTGTAAATAATCTGTATACATTTAATAAATTAATAATAAAAATAAGCTACTTGGAGTAACCAAGCATGCTATAAAAAAAATCACAAATGTGCTAGAAATATTTTTTTAAATATAAAGTACACACAGACTGCAAGTAAAAACATGCAAATCTTATTTATATTTATGGCATATTTTGTCATGATGAGGTTGTACTTTGCAGCTATACTTCTATCATGGAGATATTTCAAAATATTTATTCATTTTGAGTTCAAAAACTAATGCACAAATCACTCCATTAGAGTTTTTATTATAATTCTCCCAGTTAGCTCGAAGCTGTTTTTATAGTATGGCCATTATTCAAACTAATCTTTTCTAGTCATTTAAATAACACAATACGTGAACCTATCCCTCATGGGCACCACCATCCTTTTCCACCCAGTCCTCTTCTGTTCCTGTCACGGTCACTGCTGTACTCTCATGCATGCGCGAGAATAATGCATTTTTGGTTTGGGATCTGGGGGATTTGAGCACATCAGTGTCTTAATTTTCCTGGTGTTCAATATAATACATTTGGAAATAGAGTATTTATATTTTGGAAATCCACTGTTTATTCTAGGAGCCCACTGAAAACCTCACATGACTGCTACATGTGACATACCCATTTTTTTCATTCTCAAACCAAAACCTGTCTCCATCTCTTATCCGATAGAATTGATTCAGAGTGACATTGGTTACAAGATCTCCAAGGCTGCCATTGATTTCTGACAGGACTCCAGAAATAAGTTCTAAGTTTTGTATGTTACTCATATATAATGATGAAAGCTACAAATAAGAAAAAAAATACATAAATTAAATATTGATTTCAAAATGATGAGCAATATAGCAGTAACTATCATTGATTATGGGGATGTAGTATATGCGTCTGCATCGCAATCCCACGTTAATAAACTCAACACATTGTATAACTCGTTCTGCCGATTTGTGCTACAATGTAATTACAGGACCCATCATTGTGACATGCTAAAGGAACTAAACTGGCTGTCGCTGGAATCCAGACGCACCCTTCATCTTTCCAGCCTTGCTTTTAAGAGCTTTTATGGGAAACTCACACCCTACCTGAACAAAATGCTTTCCCCAGCTGTTCCCACTTTCTATAACCTCCGATCCAGTACAAGCACTTTACTTAGTCTACCTCAATACAAAAAGAAAGCGGCCCGATCCTCCTTCTCCTACAGAGCGCCGCAATTGTGGAACGACCTCCCGCACAATTTAAAATCTTCCCTAAGCCTAAAGTCATTTAAGAGATCTCTCTCTACATACCTCAAAACAGAATGCACGTGTCATGATTGATTATATATTTCCTGCCTGTTCTATGTTAAATTTTGTATATATTGTGTATTAATATTGTTTTTGTATTTTGTTGTACCTAATGTAACAATGCAATGATTTGTGGACCCAGGACATACTTGAAAACGAGAGAAATCTCAATGTATCTTTCCTGGTAAAATATTTTATAAATAAATAAATAAATAATAACTGTAAAATATTAATACATATCAACATACAGCTATTTAGAAATACAGTGACTTAAAAAAGACAGTTGGTGTTTTATTTTTTAGAGTTTCACTAAATTAGCCTCTTAAAGTCCCAATTTCTGTGTTGTTAGTTTTTATGGATCTCGAGTAAGCAATAGAATGATGAGACCCCAGCATTACCACGTGGAAGCATGAACCCATTTACTTGGCACAGTTATATCTTTCCTTTTATGTACAATATGAAAAGCAAGTTTATGACCAAACAAGTTTACATCTTTAACCCCTTCAGGACGGAGTCAATAGTACACGTTCTGATCAAAACAAAACATAAACAAAGACTGGAATTTGCGCTATATGTCTGTTTACCCGTAATTCACCTCTGTCACATTAAGTGCACCCACACTTATTATATATCATTTTGTTCAGGAGAAACAGGGCTTTAATTTATCATTAACTATTCATATATGGAACATAATTTATTATGAATAAAAAAAATTTAAAATTGAGAAAATAATATTTTTTTAAATTTGTATTTCCGTCTGACATTTTAGCTGTTAATGTCATAATACCATTAGGTATTACTGACAAAAAATGCCCATATTTGTAATCAGCGATGTCTCACGAGTACAACAGTACCCCTCATTAACAGGTTTTATGGTGTTTTGGAAAGTTACAGGGTCAAATATAGAACGTTCCATTTTCAAATAGAAATTTGCCACATTAGTAATGTTACCTTTGAGACGGTGTGGTAGCCCAGGAATGAGAATTACCCCCATAATGGCATACCATTTGAAAAATTAGACAACCCAAGGTATTGAACGTGGGGTATGTTTAGTCTTTTTTAGTAGCCACTTAGTCACAAACACTGGCCAAAGTTAGTGTTCATATTTGTTTTTGTGTGAAAAAAGCAAAAAACTAATATTCGGCCAGTGTTTGTGACTAAGTGGCTACTAAAAATGACTGGACATACCCCATTTGCAATACCTTGGGTTGTCTTCTTTTGCAAATGTTATGGCATCATGGGGGTAATTCTTATCCCTGGGCTACCATACGTTCTCAAAGGCAACATAACCAATCTGGCAAACTTCAATGTCAAAAAAAGGAAATGCAAGCCTTATATGTGACTCTCTAACTTTCCAAAACACAATAAAACCTGTACATAGGGGGTATTGTTATTCTCAGAAGACTTCACTAAACACAAATATTAGTGTTTTAAAACAGTAAAACATATTACAACAATAATATAGTCCATAAAAGTGACGTTTGTTTGTAAAAAATGCAAAAAACTTCACTTTTATTTAAAATATCATCGTTGTAATACAATTTACGAGTTTGAAACACTAATATTTTAGTTCAGCGAAGTCTCCCAAGTAAAACAGTACCCCCTATGTACAGGTTTTATGGTGTCTTGGAGAGTTATAGGGTCAAATATAGTGCTTGCGAATTAAATTCTTTGCACTTTCTCCCTGTGTTGTCAGGCATGTCAATCAAATTTTAATTAATCAAATCACATAATTATGTTAAAAGATTACTTAAATATACACGTAGCTTTTTAATATATATGCATTTATAGGTATTTAAATTCTACGTGTATACTAATGTAATTATATGTATTTATCTATATATATATATATATATATATATATATATATATTTGCGGTTATTTGTATTTTATATATAGATAGATATATATAGAATGCCATTCTAAGTGTATTTTGTTACCAATATATATATATTAATAACAAAATACAGTTAGAATGAAATTATAATTTATATAAAATTTTGTTTCACTATTTTATTTATTTATTTTATTATTTTATTTATTTATTATTGTAATTATACGTATATATATATATAATATATGTGTATATATCTATTATATATATAATATATACATATTGTATATATGTAACGTCATTCTAAGTGTATTTTAATACTAATATATATATACTAATATTAGTATTAAAATACACCACGTATGACGTTACATATATATAATATGTATATATATTATATATATAATATAAATATATATATATATATATATATATATATATATATATATAAATACTTTTAATTGATTTTTAATTTAATTTATTTTTATTTATTTTTTTATTACTTCACACCAGCAGGGGGACTGTCTGATATTTCAGACAGCCCCACTGCTGGCAGATCCACAGCCAGCTATGGGGGGCCATGTGATCGCTCTTTGAGAGTGATCACATGGCCCCCAGGGGCCTCACTTGCCAGAGGAGGGCTGTCTGGGTGGTCAGGCAGCCCTCCAGAAGAGGATCGCAGCGGAGGTAAGTAGCTGCGATCCCCTGGGGCTGCAAGCCGTTACGTCGTTCTATGCCGCCGCAACAACTTTAAAGCCCTTTAAAGCCGCGACGGCATAGAACGCCGTAACGGCGTTAAGGGGTTAACCTAGTTAAAAACATTGAAACTGGATGTTGATAATAGATAAACTTATTCAACAATTAAAAATGTCTTGGCAGCCATCTAAAATATGAGACTATGACTATTTTATCATCATCTGTGTGATTTAATTGTGTCTTATGGAGATTCTGAATGTTAACACCTTGGAACCTCATTTCTCATATTTTCGGAGGTGTTTATTTCAGGCCACTGTAGACTATGTTGAAGAGGATGATGCATGCACCCATTACCACACTGATGACTATGTATTTAACCTGAGGTGACGAAGGGCCCACACCAAGACCGGTGGACCAACTCATCAGAGAGCTGGTCTTCACTGATGATGCTACCCTTGTTTCCCACATAGTGACATCCTTGCAGAGAATTGCATCCTGCTTTGCAGAGGCTGCGTAGCTCTTTGGATTAGAAGTCAGCCTGAAGAAGACAGAAAACCTCCACTTGCCTGCACTTCATGAAGATTACCATCATCCCCTCCACCAGCCTGCACGTCATGAAGATTGCCATCCGTTACCTTCATGAAGACAGTCCACCAGTTCATCTACCTTTGGTGCATTATCTCTTCAGACACCATGATCAACAAAGAGATGGATAGCTGACTGGCAAAGTCAAACAGAGTGTTCGGCAGACTGTATAAGAGAGTCTGTAAAAACAAGCATCTGAAGAGAGGCACAAAGATCAGTGTGTACAGAGCTGTCGTACTGACCACTCTCCTGTACAGCTCTGAATCATGGGTTACCTATCACCATCCTTTGCACAATTCTTAAAGTACATATTAGAATGACTTCCTCACCAACATCAAAGTCCTCGAATAGGCAGAGACCACCAGCATCGAGGCTATGGTTCTGAAGTCACAGCTACGCTGGGTAAGGCAAGTGTCCAGGATGTAAGATCATTGCCTACCCATTGTTGTGCTGTATTGCAAACTCTCCACTGGTCACTGTGACAGAAGAGCACCAAAGAAAAGGTTCAGGGCCTCTCTGAAGAAATCCCTTAGTGCCTGTCACATTCACCATCATCCCTGGTCTGCTCAAACCTCTGAATGCAAGACTTGGTGATACTGTCTCCTCCTTCAAGAATGCACAAGGCAGATCTTGAGAATAAATAAACAGAGGAAGGACCGTGACATCAAAGTCAGACAAGATTTTCCTTTGCAGCTGCTGTGGCCGTATCTGTTTGTCCTGCATTGGCCCAATCAGCCACCAGTGAGTCTGCAGCAGATGGGGAAAACCTGCTTCCTAAATCTTTGTTTACAAAGTCATTTCACAGCCAATTTAAAGATAGCTTTTAATTTTCTAGCCATATGTTATGTACCAACCTGGTCTCTAATTTCTGGGTTCTGTATGTCTTTCCATTGCTGGAGGGGCGGTAGGCTATAAAATTCCATCATATTATTGTAACTAGGTAGTCCAAAATCCCTTCCACTTTGGATACTAGCAGCTGATAAATCTGTACGAGAATATTGCATCTTCCCATACCAATAATCTAGAGAAAAAAAGAAGTTAGTATGAATTTTACTTTCATATCTTATCCCTATGCTTAAATTTTTAAGCATAGGAATCTTTAAGCAAGTCTACATATTTAAATCATAACAAATATACACATGGTGAAGTTCAGATGGATATCATACAATATGGCTGTAAATGATATTCTAATCCTTAAAGTGTTAGCCTATGCAAATATTAACCCTATATTTGTTTAGGCATTATGTAGAAAATTATAATAATGTGACTGTGATCAATTTAAATTCAAGCCAGTTCACTGTTTTATTGGAAGAGCCAAGGACTATGTACTGCAGCTTGACATCCTCCAGGGAAGGGAGATAGCATTCCCTTTTGTGCTTGTGGTGCCATGTATTCTCATTTAAAGCTGGCTAATGACACTACTAGAGGTGGAGTTACACTTACAGCAGCAACATGCTTTATCTCTGTATGTACAGCTTTCGAAACTGACACACTGCAGACACAGGCTCCATTCACCACAATCACTCCAAAATAAGGAAGTGGTCATGGTGCTTGGAGTAAACCTTTAAAAATGCATGCCATAAAAACACTAGTCATAAAAAGGATACTGTATATGTACATTTCTATAAACAAGACACATGGACTGCCACAGGAACATATTACCTCTTAAATCTTCCACCATTATGTTATCTTCTTTTTCAGCTATTTGTGAAGCCATGCCAAGCACCAACTCATCTATATCTGTAGCAGTTTGCAGATTGGGGTTCTGAAATAAATGAGTAAAATAAAATGAAACTACATGTTGCAAATTGCAGCATCAATATTTGCTTAATAGATTGAAATGCCTGATATTCTCCCGGATTTGAGTGAAAATAAGTGTTATCTAAAATGCACTTACTGGATAAGAATTAATCATGATTAATATCCGTAATGGTTAAAATGTATTTCTTTTGCTTTTTTATTTTTGAATACATTTCTTATATTTAAGATTTCCTAAAGCTGCTATGTCATCTAATAATAGCCAATCAAAGTCTTGAAGCAAAAGGTAGGATGATAAACATAGCATTAACTAAAATGTAATAACAAAAGAACAGAGCTGGTTAGGAAATACTTTACATAGGGCTTCTAGGGAACATATTTATCCTCACATGGAATCAGAATGACCAACAGCAGTGCGCAATGTACTCACAAGAGACCTAAACAGCACAGACCTCTCAGAAAAAATATTTTAACGTATAGGCTACTATGAATAGGAGGATGAAACCCAAGATAGAGTCAAGAACTTTTTGGAAGCCATGACCATCAGAGATGGTTTTTGAAAGAGGTCAGACGTCAGGAAGTTAAGTCAAATAGTGGGAGAACAAAGAAGCAATTGGTAACATCAATTAATTGGTACAAAGAGATGACGGACACAAATTCGGTAGAACATTTTACCACTCATTTCAGTTACATCTGGAAAGTAAGTCATACTGATGCACATTATAGAATCACATCCCACCAGGCTTAAGAGAGGAGAACAAGAGAGGAGACAGATTTTGTAGACAACAGAAATTAAAACATGATAGATTTATTTTAATAGATTTCTTCAGAAATCCTAACCTCTCTGTTCCAGTAATTGTTGCACAAACGAAGAGCAGGCCAGGTCTGATCATTCAATCCAGTCACATTGCGAAAATGGCAAGTGCTATTTCTGCATAGAAAGGGAACAGTTTGAGTAATTGTTATACAGAATTCTTACAACTAAATTAATACTCATATATATCAAATGTAGATTTGGAAATGCAAAATAAATAAAAATAAATAAATTACTCTATATCTTCTTTGAAGAGTCAGTCAATTAAAAAAATTACATATTTTATTATTAACTCACCACCAGGTTATTTATTAAGTTTGAAATATTTCTCTGAATAAATAATTCAAAACTATCTGAATTTGCTCAAAAGTATATTATACGATCATACTGAAGTCAATTTTGATGCATATCTGTGATGGATGCTACTGCCAGGCTGATTTTTCTCTCCTGTCACACCTTACCCGTCTGTCAATCCTTACACTGGCTTCCTGTACCCTACAGGTGTCAATTTAAAATACTAACCCTTACCTATAAAGCCCTGGCCAGCTCTAGCCCTTCTTAAATTTCTTTATTAATTCATAGGTATGCCCCCTCTCGGTCTCTCTGCTACACTGATGACCTTCTACTGTATGCTGTTCGCACCCTTGCTGCAAATTCACATCTGCAAGACTTCTCACGGACTGCTCCTTTCCTTTGGAACAGACTCTCCCCTAGTCTTCAATCCCTTAAGAAGTCCCTCAAATCCCATCTTTTCAGGATTGTTTACGGCCTCCGAGAATAACTTCTATCTCCCAAACCTTCCTCTTGCTCTCTCCTAAAGGGCCACACTCCACTCTCACCTCCAGTTCTGCTACTTTCCCACCATGTCTATTTGCTGTCTCCCTCAATATCCTTCATATTGTGATTTTTACCCCACTTCCTCTAGATTGTAAGCTCGTTTAAGCAGGGTCCTCTCTGTTCTTCTCAGGTTCCTGTTACATTTTGTTATTGTCTCATTTAGTAAATTCCCCTCTTATTGTAAAGTGCTGCAGAATAAGCTGGCACTATATAAATAATAACCAATAATAATAATAATAATAGTACCAAACTGTGAACATTTGGTGAGGAGCTATTCATTGTTTGCTTAAACATAAGTCTGAATGCATTAAAGTATTGAATAAAACCTTTACAAACTTCTTTAGAATTATAAAAAAAGTAGTAAATTAATTAAAAAAAGAAATAGAAAGCAGCTGAAGACAGATCAGAGATCTGCAAAGTCATACCAAGAGAAACCAGAATCATCAATTAGAAGAACTGATTTGCTGCTGATGATGGAGTGTAGAAAGTAGGTAGGCCAAAGGACAAGAATCAAAATAATGCTTTTTTTAATATTTAATTAACCATAGGAGAAAAATAAATTGTCCTTGCACTGAGAGCTATGAGTATTCTTTCCAATTTCCAAGTATAGGCCTTAGTCATAAACCACAATAAAATAATCTAATCTATTAAGTTAAAGTGGTTACCTCATATAAACTCCTGAAGGCATCATGGAATATAGAACTTGTGAAGTTAAAGCCAAAAACTCTGGAGATACACTTGGGTCTTGATGCTGTTTGTAGCCTTATTAAGAAAATGGAGAGGCATGTTATTACTATCTGAAATAAGAATGTGAATGTAGCAAAATATATAATAAAGTATATGAATGTATAAAGGATGCACACCAATACAATTAATGTAGAAACGTAGAAATGTATTCATACAATCTTCTAAAGCCACATATATACCACAGTGACATAAATGGCTAACGTTAAATAAATCAAATACATTTAGCTGTACTTTTGAGTACCATTTGTGTAACTCTCATAGAATTGTAGATACCTCTCTCATCTCCATTTTTGTTTACTTTGGAATGAAATGAAAAATAAAAACTCATTACAGTCTACCATCTTCTATACTTTAATAATGGTGTCATCATATGATAGATACATTCTAGGAGTCAAACACCTACCTACATTGACATATGATTTACACGAATCTGACTCCATCTCTGCACTAAAATTATAAAATATTGTAAAATACACCAGTGATTATTGTATGCACATGAAATGCAGGTCTAAAAAATGGATATCTGCGTAGTACATAATGAGTATGGCATTTCACCAAATGCCCAGAATGCCACACAGTGCTATGCAAATACAAACACACAGCAAGTCAGTCACTGTTTAAATTTCAATGCATAGATATGAGCTCCTTTAACCCCTTAAGGACCAAACTTCTGGAATAAAAGGGAATCATGACATGTCACACATGTCATGTGTCCTTAAGGGGTTAAACAATGGCCTGCTGCATTGTGCACAGTTTTTTATTATTTTATTATTTTTAAAATGCGTCTCTTTATGTTAATACTTTTTTATATAAATACATATAAATAAATAATATAAAGGATATACAGTATGTTATGCTGTAAATGAATGAATATAGAAAAAATGAGTAATACCTTGATACACTGACACCCCGCTTGATATAAATAATGGCAGCCATTCATAGAAGGCAATATTCTAAAAGAGAAATAAAGACACAAAATGATGCTAGCCTCTGTACAATGCTTGTCTTTTACATTCAATTCAAGTATCATAAAACAGGGTTATTCAGTAAATTCTGAATCTTTGGAAAGCTCAATATTAAATTAAAGCAAAATTCACAGGTATAGTCACAGCTTGGGATTTTTTATTTAATTTAGTGAAATTCATAGTTTAATCAATAACTCTGTGAACGTTTATGGATAATTGTGTAACTTCTGAACAGGGGAGCAATTATAGTAATGATAGGAAAAATACTGTAATCTAGGGGAAGTCTATTATATACATAATTTACAAAGGTCAAAAATATCCCTGTATAGAGTAAATTAAAAAAGTAGATAGAATGAGCACCTCAAAGAGGCATAATCAATTTGTACAAGACCTAATGAGATTTATTTTAACACACAACTACTTTATCTTTCAGGGTAAATACTATCACCAGGTGAGAGGGACGGCTATGGGGACGGCTTGTGCCCCCTCATATGCCAACCCCCACCTGGGGTGGTGGGAAAATATACCAAACATGTTAGGATTTGGAAACACTATATCGACAATATAGTGATAGTTTGGAACAGTACCACTGAACTTTTTAAGGAATTTGTCTATGTCTTGAACAATAATGACATCAACCTAAACTAACTTACAAAATGGGTGGCAGGGCCATTGACTTCTTGGATATATCTATCATGATTACTGACCATGGGAATGTGACCACAACCTTGCATAAAAAAACAACTGCAACAAACAACCTTCTGAATTGGGAGAGTTATCACCCACTTCCTCTTAAAAGAAGAATACCAGTGGGCCAATATTTATGTTTACGCCGCAATTGCTCTACGATTGAAGATTTCAAGAGTAAAGCAAAGGCTTTAAAAGAACAATTCAAAAGGAAGGGATATCCAAATAGATGTCTGAAAAATGCATACCAACGTGCCCTGATGGCAGATAGGAAAGTTATTTTGTCAGATAAACATGCAAGTGATACTACACAGACGATAAGATGTATAGGGAATTTCGATGCCGGATGGCATCCAACGCTTAAAATTCTCAATAGATTCTGGTCACTCCTACTACAGGATCATCACCTACAGAAGGCTTTAACTCCTTATGCCTCTGTTACAGCAAGGAGAGGAAGGAATATTAAAGATATGTTGGTTCCAAGTCATCTACGGACTCTTCCTAGCAAATTTACATGGCTTAAATCTTTTGTATCTGGCACATACCAATGTGGCAGATGCAAAGCATGTAAATTTATCCTTTGTCCCTCCAAGAAGATATTGGACTCTACGAATACACAGGATTTTAATATCAAAACCTTTTTTAATTGCCAATCTAGGGGTTTGGTTTATCTACTAAGCTGTTCATGTACAAAATTTACGTTGGTAAGACAATCCGTGCATTCAAATATAGGATCCGCGAACATGTCACGTCAGTTAATCCGAGGAGACTAGTTGATACCCCTATCTCTAAACATTTAAAACTCCATCATGGAGGATCTGCACAAGACATACGTTTTTGTGGCATTGAAAGAGTCGCACTTGGTCCAAGGGGAGGCGATCTTGATAAAAAAACTACTACAAAGAGAAAGCCTATGGATATATATATATATATATATATATATATATATATATATATATATAAATACAACTCTCTCACCCATGGGTCTTCATTTACACCATTCATCTCTGACTAATATATATCCTTGTTTTAACCCCTTAAGGACTGGACTGTTTTTGCGATGTTGTACATTTGCGACCAGGCATATTTTTACACTTTTGTGGTGTTTGTGTTTGGCTGGAATTTTCCGCTCTCTCATTTACTGTTCCCATACAAATTATATATTGTTTTTTTCAGGACAAAAGGGGCTTTCTTTACATACCATTATTTATATAATCTCATGTATTTTAATTTAAAAAATATAATGAAAAATTGAAAAAAATACATGTTTTTTGACTTTTACTTGAAAAATCTTTTACTCATCTACAAAAGCGAATTAAAAAAACTGCTAAATAGATTCAAAATTTTGTCCTGAATTTAAAAATACCCCGTGTTTACATGCTTTTTGCTTTTTTTTGCATGTTATAGGGCTATAGGTACAAGTAGAATATTGCGGTTTCAAAACATAAATTTTTTAAATTTATCAATAGTGACATTGTAACAATATTATCTGTCATAAATCTCTGAATAACACCCCACATGTACATATTTTTTTTAAAGTAGACAACCCAGGGTATTCAATATGGGGTATGTCCAGTCTTTTTTAGTAGCCACTTAGTCGAAAACACTGGCCAAAGTAAGCATTCATATTTGTTTGTGTGTGAAAAAAGTAAAAAAACTAAATTGAACGCTAATTTTGGCCAGTGTTTGTGACCAAGTGGTTACTAAAAAAGACTGGACATACCCCATTTGCAATACCTTGGGTTGTCTTCTTTTGCAAATGGTATGCCATCATGGGGGTAATTCTCATTCCTGGGCTACCATACGCTCTCAAAGGCAACGTAACCAACCTGGCCATTTTCAATGTAAAAATATTTGACCCATATATTTGACCTTGTAACTTTCAAAAATGCTATAAAACCTGTACATGGGGGGTACTGTTTTACTCGGGAGACATTGCTGAACACAAATATTAGTGTTTAAAAACTGGAAAACGTATCACAACAATTATATCATCAGTAAAAGTGCTGTTTGTGTGTGAAAAATGCAAAAAGTCACTTTCACTGACAATATCATCGCTGTGATATGTTTTATTGTTTTGAATCACTAATATTTGTGTTCAGCGAAGTCTCCTGAGTAAAACAGTACCCCCCATGTACAGGTTTTAGGGTGTCGTAGAACGTTACAGGGTAAAATACAGTGCTAGCAAATTCAATTCTCTGGAATTTCGGCCTGGGTTGGCAGGCAGGTCCCTCAAATTGCAATCAATAAAATTACTGAATTATGTAAAATATTACATAAATACGCACGTAGAATTTAAATATATATGCATATTTATATATGAAGTCTACGTGTATATTTATATAATTATTTATGTAATTTTGTATATGGACATATGTATATTTCTTATTATTTTTATTTATTTTTATATACATAGATATATATACAAATTCATTCTAAGTGTATTTTGATGTAAATATATATATATATATTAATTTTAAAATACTGTTAGAATAAAATTTCATATAGATATATAATTTTTTTTAATTTTTTTATTATTATTTTACATTTTTTTTATTTAATTTAAATTACTTATTATTTATATTTTATAATAATATATATATACAATATATATAGTTATTATATATATTATATATATACGTGCGTAATTTAATTATAAGTGTATTTTTATATTAATATAAGTACATATTAATATAAAAATACACTTAGTATGACATTATATATATGATAGATAGACATATTTTTTGATTTTACACTAGCAGGGAGACTGCCTGTCAGCACAGGCAGTCCCCCTGCAGGCAGCACTATGGACACCTATTGTGACCATGTGATCGCTGTGTTAAGCGATCACATGGCCACAGGGGTCCTAAATCAGTGTGGGGAGACTGTCTGGGCTGCAGGCAGTCTCCCACAACCGGAGCAACGCTGATCGCCGCCGGGGGAACGACGGCGATCAGGTAAGTACCCCCAGACCGTTAGGACGGTTCAGGACCGTCATCGGTCCTCAAGGCAAAAATGCCGATGACGGTCCTGAACCGTCCTCGGTCGCTAAGGGGTTAAACCTTTGGGGTTTCCTTTATTCATTATTTTCTTTAACTTTATTTTTGTGTTTCATGATACACCTGTATATACTGTAAATAAGTAGTTCTAGTAGTCCTTATGCAATCTTTATTATTTTTTAAATGTATTTTGTAAAAGGTTTTTCCCCGTAAGATATTGCTCAATATCAAATGTAGTTCGCTACTTTACCAATTATAATGTTCATGCCTTGTTCCGGTTTACAGGAAAAATGCTGATGAATCTTTTACTTTTAAGAGGATTTTGACTCCATATAAACTAAAATATCTGGGGTACACACAGAGAACTTTATTTTATATTTTATATTTTATATCTAATAGTCATGGTGGCATTTTTTCTATTTTTTCACAATTGTGATATATTGGATTTGATCAATAACAAGGATATCCTGTTTTGCCCAAAACATCTCTTTGAAATGGGCTCTGTACACGGATTATATAATTTTGATATTTGGTTTGTATACCAAAGAAAACGATGTAATGCCAGTTACAACGGAGAGGAGTGGGCGGAGTTTGATATAATCATTATCCTATGCCCGTCCCACTCAAACAACGTCACCAGGTTAGCCCCGCCGAACAGATGTATCCGGCGCGGGAAACGCCGGCCACGCCCCTGCCAACTACATGACGGGGATTGGAGGAAAGACTAATGAGAAACTGGCGAATAAGGTATATAAGTGACTCTTTGAGCAGTAGCTCATTTGCCTCTGACGAAGGTGCTCTTGCATAGCACCGAAACGCGCGTCAGGCATTTAGAGACTGTTATATTCATCTACCACTGTAGAGGTCTAGTAGTTACATTTAGGAAGTGAGAGATAATTTACTATTCAAACTGCTAGTTTTATATGCAGTACTTGTTACTATCTGTCCTTTTTACTTCCTCTCAGAGGACTTCCTATTAACTTCTACTCTATCCATAGATATGCCGTGAGCATTCTAATCTTCACAATGTCTATGTTTTGTACCTCCTATAATCCTTTTTTATGTATGGCCTCCTCTTACTTTTGAATGTATGCTCTCATACCCTTTTCGTAGGAGGCAGCGCTCTATCCTACTATGTGCTTATTTAAGTGATTATTGGATACACTGCCCCAATCAGCATTTTGGAGACCATATATTGTTTGGGATTATTGTACTACATTCAGTACATTTGCACATTAGAGGCTAGATTGAGGTGGTAGTTTCACTTATTCTCTTGCTCCCTCTCTGATATACTAGACATAATAGTATATTGAGCCAGATTAATTAAAGCTCACAGTAGCTTTCTGCTGTCTTTTTGATTACAATAGTGATATATGTATATCATCCAGGGTTTATGCTCTTTCTATCTACTTTTTTAATTTATTCTATACAGGGATATTTTTTACCTTTGTAAATTATGTATATAATAGACTTCTCCTAGTCTACAGTATTTTTCCAGGTATACACAGCTTTCTACATTTGTCTTTTGACATTTGTAGACAGCGTTCTGTGTTCTCTTTTTGTTTTCTCTACTTAGTGCTTTGGGGGTAAGCCCCTGGAGACTCCTGGAGTCTCCCCTTGGTACTGCGGTTTTTTTTTTCTACTGGAACACCAACTTTGTTGGTTGATGTACAGTGGAGATTAACCATCCATATATATATTTTTATATACTGTGGACTTTTTATTTCAGTGCTTTTTGATTGTTTTTATTTAGTATTGTTGGTGCTAAATGTATATTTACTGTTTCTATTCCTCGAGTCTCTTTAGGGGTTTAGAGGGAATCCCCCTGTTTCAGGTGTGCTGCCTTTTGTATCTTATATGCTTGGCTGTTCAGCGCTGCTCCACTTTTTGTGTTGTATTGAATCATAAGGTGTACTTGGTTTTTCACTCATGGTTTCTCCATTTTTGCTTTATTTTTGGATTTTTTTTTATGAACTGTACATACAATTCCGATAAATTGAAAGCAATCTTACTGGCTTAAAAAGAAACAAATTTTTTTTTAAACTGAACATGATCCTTGGTTCTATCAGTTGCTTTTAGGGTTGTAATCAGAAGCCCTCAATGTTCATATAAATGGTGGTGGTCCTAAAAGTGACTTTACATGAGAACAAGCTGGTCTTCACAGTGTCTGGAGCTGTGGACTACCTGTGGACCCACGGCAGGAGAAAGAGAGAGAGGACAGGTGTGACCTGGGCTTACTTGAAGATTGATTTTAAGATGATCTGCTATGATTCACAGAACGAAGTGGAGAGTATAATGACACAGTCATTTCTTAAAAATCTTGAAACATAATTTTGTTTAATTAAATTTCTAACATACTGTTTAATCAAAAGTAAAAAAATACAGAGTTGTTTCCAAATTATCCAAACATCAGTGTTACCTGGTAAGTAGCAATCACCCATTTCCTGGCATTTTGAAACACAACTTCGTCAGACCAATCGGGGTTGCTGTCAGAAAAGTTTTGTGCAATATAATTGTGATATCGAAACCAAATGATACTCTCAGCTTGGATAAATGGACTTTCGTTGGCCATGGCATTACCAAAACCTATTGTGCAATAACATATAAACACATATAATTATTTAAAAATATTCTCTAATATTGTGGATATATTAAAATGTACAGCAATAACCTATAATATATAAGCCTGAACATTGTACCTCATCAACTAATTCTGTGCTTTTGAGAATAATATTCATAGTACTATAGAGTGTGCAACATGTTTACATAGTTATTTGCTAAACGAGAATTCAAGGTAAATTCAAAGTGAATTTCAAATTTAAGGCCATGATAGCCAAACTGAAAGAAAAGTCGACTTCGATAATGTTTCCAGATTAACTATTTTGAACTTAAATTAGAATTTTACTCTGAATTCACCTTGAATTCTCACTTTAGTGAATGACTATGTATATATCTGAACATATCAAATATTAACATGGACTTAATAGGTTATTACAATGTTACAATTACAAATACAGAAGAGCTTATGCTATCTAGGGATTTTTATACACTTAACAGTAAATTATAGTAAACAAAATTGCAAAATGTTGATTTTCAAATTACTATAATTCAGTGTGTTTAGATAAAAAGCCCTACATAATCAGACAATTGCTACTTTATTTCATAAAATCACAATTATTACATTTGTAGTAAAATGTCATAGTAACTCTTCTGAAAAGTGCATCTACATAAACACCAAGAGAATAATTCACAAAAAGTGAGAATTCAAAGTGAAGTTGATAGTTAAGACTAGAGAAGCTCAATGGAAAGCATAGCTATTTTGACCTTGGTTTTGACCTTCAATTTGAAATTCATTCTGAACTTACCTTGAAATCTCACTTCAGTGAATATCCCCGCAAGGTTAAAAATGTGTAAATGGAAGAAATGTTTAGAGGTTTCCACATTTTTTGACTCATGTATTGTTCAGGTATAGAAAAGCTAAGAAAACTTTCTAGTAAGTGTTGCATTTATTACTGTGATACATCATAAAATATAAACTAATCTAATGGAGTTTAATTGGTTTTTCATCACATACTTTTTATAAATAAAAGAAAGCATTTGCTGTAGGTTGCCTAGAGCAGGTTGTATCTATGTACTTATTGCAACAGAGTTGCGTAAATCCCAGATGATTATGCAGGTTCCTTTTTTCTTTCTATAACTTGAAGCATTAAAGACTAAAGCTTGACACAGATTACTGTGTTAAATAAAACATTCAAACGTATTGTGTTTTCTTCTAAGCACATTAGATATTGAAATTCCTCTTCTATTCCCAAACCCATTAAAACATGGATCTAGACTGTCCTTAGGGATTGGAGCAGTCTAATATACAAATGGTATAAGTTTTTCTGTAATGACTCAAGTGAGCAAGAACTTTATTGAGATCTGAGCAAGGACTAACCGAAAGGCAGGCTACTTAGTTTATGCTTATTCTCAGTGTTCTCTCATATTTTGCTCATGGTTTTATACTTCCTTTATACTGCAATATAGTCCAGGTAAAGTTTGGACTTCCTCAAAGAAGCACTCAAGGCTGCAGTTGACTCATTCTTTTATTTCTCATCCGCATGGCACCAGTTTTAGTCTGGAAGTGGGGAGGAATGTTATCGTTTCTCACCACTATCTTGTTGGTGGCTAGTAATTTTAGGTAAATCTTAAACAAACAGAATCTATGCAGATTTGGTAGGATGGCCAGAAGCAGTGGTCATACTAATTACTATTATAAAAAAAATATAGTGCTCCTTTATTTAAGTTGAATGATTATATCTATATTAAGACATGTTAAACTAACCATATATTCCTCCATTTCCTCTTTGACCTGTAGCAGGATCTGGTATTTTCCACATCTGAAGACTGGGGTTTGCATTACTAGGAAACTGTCCATCAGGCCCTGAAGCCAACTTTCCACCAGAAAAACTTCTTAAGGCATCACTCCAAGAATGTGAACAACCATAGATGGAGCTGCCATCAATCCATGTTGTAACTGAGTTGACCTAGGAATTTAACCAAATAGAAAAAGATTGTCAATATCGAGGCTGCTGCCTTGCATCTTCATTCGTTCATGATACCCATCTTTTATATTGGAGAGACATCTTATTAAAGACTTTAATCGACCATGAATGAATGTCATTTTCTTATCTACAATTTGCAGTTACTCACTTGTGCTTCTTCTGCATAGTTTATTAAAAACATATAATGGCTGGAGCTGGTAATGTGTTAGACAACACAGTATGCATGTCAATTTGTATACGTAATATCTATATTGGCATTATCTAAGATTTTAGCAAGAAATCACAGGGTTTTTTTTTTTAGAAATCAGAATATCATACCAGTTTTACTAAAGAATAACGTATAGATTCCTAATCAAGGATACCTTCTGATAATATATCTGTTTAACATATGGTGTAAAGTTATAGTTATTTTAATATCACTAAGCATTAGGGGTTTACAATGTAAAAATGTAGATATCAAAGAAGACACTTTATATTTATATGCCAGCCTATTACAATACACACAGATGGAATCTTTTGGAGGTTGTAGCATCTATGTTAGATTGGCATGTCATCTCACTGAAAACAGTAAAAAAAAATTGGTGATGTTAAAATACTTCTCAATGTTACATGTGTGAGCATAAATTACAGTCTATATTCCATCTTTCTTCTTTTGAACTGGTATTGTTCTACCAAGGCATTTGTTTAACAGATAACTATGTCGTTAGCCCAAAAATATATAAAAGGTATTGTAAATTTCTATATGGTACAGCTTTGACTTTCTTTCATGGATCATATCTTTCTCTTGCATGCCTCTGTTTCTCTTCTCTATTTCTTCCCTTACATTTCAAGTTATGCCCCTCAATAACTCAACTAACTGCGAGCACTCTACTATCACACTCCTCTAGAGATCAGAAGTTGAGCGATTGCCATTTTGTTGACAAATCAGTACTCTAATAATGTCATGATTAAGCCAAAGACTGATTTATCACCTACATCATGGCCAAAAACCCAAACCACCTTTTATTTAAGTATTTAGAGCAATAGATTTGGATACTGGATAAAAAAATTAAAAAAAATCTGGCAAATCAAGTCTGCCAATTTGTGATCTGAAAGTGTTACCTTAATTCTTGATAATGTTTGTTGCACAGAACATAAGTTCTGCATGTGTGCTTTAACTCTTACACTACGTAAGAACTTTAAATTGTTACATATTAATCTAGAATAAGTCAGGCTCGTCTAGTTCAGCCTTTCAAACCATGGCTCTGTTTTTCATGCTGATCCAAAAGGTGTGCACCCCAAAAATCAAAGTGGAAAACATAATTGTAATTAGATCAGCCAGCTGTTTACATAACTAAAAATATAAACTGTTATATCATTCAATATTCAGTTTTTTCTTATTTTCAAAGAACAGGTATGCAGATCTAAAAAAAAAAAAACATCTACAAAAGGTGATAAACCAATGGGAGTAGAATGGTATATTTGTATTGTTTTGGCAGCAAAAAAACCTTTTCCATTGCCATATGCAAACTTATTTTTTGATACTAACCAAAAAAAGGTCATTGCATGATATTCAAGGCATCCTTCCTTTTGCTATCTACAGATTTTTTAAAATATAGGGTAGGAACCACTTATACGCATTCTATTAATTAATTTTTAAAAATGAAAAGCCTTTCCCTATTTCTATTGAGTTGCCATTATAATGTTCTATTTCCAAATATTTACAGATAGTACCAGTCACCTTGGAAGTACATATATCATAGATATAAAATAACTACTCTAAATATGTCATGGCTAATTGATTGTCAACAGCAGCGAGTGCTTGATTTGGCACAATCAGAATTGACACATATGAATACAGTATTAGAGGGTGTAGCTTTGTTCATTCTGCTTTGATGATGAGTCACTCTAATTATTTAATATGCTCAATAAATTTAATTTGTTATGGTTACCTATTTATGTATTTTTTATGACTACATCATCTAATGAAAATGGTGCCAACTAAATACATAACACGACAGTTCACCTTTCACCAATATCACTAAGGTACTAATTGCTTGGGTGTGTTGTGAGGTCTCTTTTCTAATGATTACGTTGGCACACTACATCAAAACCAGGTTAATTTCCACCTTCATGACTGGCTGTAATTGCATTCTTAGAATGTGCTGCATTTCTTTAGGATTGCACATAATTGGACAAGCTTCCATTTTTGGCAAAGTTATGATCTGAAACATCCCTCAAAGAGAAATGTCTCTAAATATCCTGTCAGTACAACTAAATAAAATATAAAAGCTTATTTTGATGATTATATTAAAAGAGAGAGAGAGAGATGAGAAAGAGAGAGAAAAGAGAGAGAGAGAGAGAGAGAAAGATAAAGAGAGAGATAGATATATATATATAGATAGATAGATAGATAGATCTAGGCATAGCTGAGCCTCACATCCAGTATGTTGCCAAATCCTGTAGATTCCATCTTAAAAACATAACCCGCATCCGCCCTTTCTTATGCAAGATGGTACCAAAGTGCTTGTCCATGCTCTAGTAATTTCCTGCATGGGGTTATTGTAACCCTCTCCTAATTGATCTTCCCAAAAGCAATATTGCCCCGCTACAGTCTGTAATGAATACTGCCGCCAGACTGGATTTCCTTTCTAGTCAGTCCTTTCACACCTCAGCCCTCTGGCAGTCATTACATTGGCTTCTTGTATTGTATAGGAGTCAATTCAAAGTGCTAACCCATACCTATAAAGCACTGCACAATTCTAGCCCCACTTAGATCTCTTCACATATCCATAGGTATTCCCCTTCTGGGTCCCTCTGCTCTGCCCGTGACCTTCTCCTGTTCACTGCTCACACCCATATGGCCAACGCTTGCAGGACTTCTCACAGGTGGCTCTCTTCCTATGGAAGACTCTCCCCTAGTCTTCAATTGTTTAAGTAGTGCCTTAACGGCCACCCAGAGTATCTGAGGGGTGTATGCCTTTGGAAACGTCCTTTTCCCTTGAGAGGAGCTGTGCTGCAGTATTCTCCAGATGTCACCTCAGCTGTACCAGTAGTTGAAGGGGTAATAGAGCTCTTTCAAGAGGTAGTGATTAGTTGTGAAGCGGGTTCCCTACAAGCATGAGGCAAGGCTACGTGTTGTGGGTTAAGCAGATCTGAAGCTTTAATGGGCCAGGCTGGCCTTTTATGCAACTTTCCCAACAAGGTTGTCACCCAGATGGAGCTTATTGGGCACAGGGAAATACAGTGAACAGCCAATGACCATACAGTCACATAATGAAACACTCCCATTCATTACACAAAATTCCTCCCCTCTGCTTGGGAGATAATTGAGTAAATTACTGTATCAACTCAATTATCTCCAAACAAAAAAATGAAAATTTTTACACATTTTCAGAAATACTCTAAAACCATATCCAAACCCCATAAAACATATATTTTCTGATGGTGCATAGTTAGGGGAACAACCTGTTAAAAAAAATCAAACGAATCAATTCAAGGGTTCAGAAAGTCCCATTTCTGCCCAGCCGCACAAGAGACTCCTGCCCAAAATAGTTCCATGCATTCAGCGGGTGCTTTCGTGCCTTAAAAATGTTGAACAATAGTTCCCATAAACGTTGGTGTGTGTGATGGTCGTGTGCCGCTTCATTCGTGTATTGTTTCTACCAAATGCCGCTTTCTTCGGATGAATTAGTACGAAGCTAAGTGGTCCTGGAAGTCTCAGCAGTGTTCAGGAGATCGAGTGTCCGAAAATAGTTCCAGACACTCGATAACCAAAACCCGCTGGATGCGTTTGACAAAACAAGATGGCCGCTACCACGTGTTCGTGCATACGAATCGACGGCCACCCAGTGAACCACTTAGAACGTTGAGGTTGCGGTTTGGCATCGAGTCAAGTGAGTCAATTGGTGTCACACGACTGGCTTGGCTGCTCTAACGTTCAACAAACTGTTCGGTAAACAAACAAATTGGGTATAGTTTGTTCATTTAAACATTCGTATGGGATATAGGTGCAGGATATTGTAACAAAGAGTGCAAAACAGTAATAACATTGTAATCCACGAACAGGGCATTTGTTACACCATCTCTTTAGGAAAGCTTACAGCCTCACAGAGTAACCTCTACCTCACATACCTGTCTCTTGCTCTCTCCTAAAGGGAAGCACTTATTCTCTCCTCCAGCTCTGCTTCACTCCCACCTTATTTCATTGCTATTTCCTGTCCTAATGTGTTTTACACCCCACCTCCTATAGATTGTAAGCTCGTTTGAGCAGGGTCCTCTTTAACCTATCGTTCCTGTAAGCTTTCTTGTAATTGTCCTATTTATATTTAAATCCCCCCTCTCATAATATTGTCAAGCGCTATGGAATCTGTTGGCGTTATATAAATGGCAAAAATAATAATAATAATAGATAGATAGATAGATAGATATAGACAGACAGAGACAGACACACAAAAGCAAAATAAAACTATATATGGTCACATCATTAGAATTTAAAACTGTGACTGCAAACAAATCCTATTGATTTAATAAAGAAAATTAGAGGTTTAATAAATATGTAATTGTTACATGAAAAATAGCACAAGATCATCTTCAACGTGCCAGAAAGAGGCTCCCCAAATAGGACAAAAAGTTCCCCGGGAACCGCCCCTAAAAATTCACGGGGGACCCCTGTGATTGTGATAGTCATTGGGGTGCTGTCCCGGTCCCCAGATGCCTAATGTACCTTGTGTGATACTGTCCTTATTAAGGAATATTATTTAATAGACGAGTACTACTTGAACCACCATCTCCATTACTGGATCATGTAAAACTGTAGCAATTGCCCAGGTGAACAGAGAACACTCAAATTATTGTCACTTACTTGTTATTGTAATTCTTGTATTGATATTATTTGCATATAAACTTGTATGATTAAATACCTTATTTTTCAAATACAACTTTTTTTTTTTTACATGAGTTCTTTAGATTTGGTTACAAATTTAAAATTAATAAAATTCTGCCTATAGAATTAGTATGTGGGCAAAGGCATTTGAGCTATTTTTTCTAAAGTGGCACAACATTGTACTATACCTGTTCTCTTGGATTATTGGGGCTTCTTCCAGTACCCGGAAACCATTTACTTCTTTGAAAAGGCAAAACTACATTGCTATTATTCGTAGGATTAAACACTGGATCTCCGGCACCTATATAAATATTCAGAAATTCAGCCGGACAGGCAGGATTTACTGTTGAAATTATTTCTGAGAGCACATGGTAACCTATGAAAAAATAAAGAAATGTATCAAAACGTTATTAGCAATCAAGCTATGCTTTAGTATAGCCTTTATTTATCAATTGCTAGCAAAGGAAATGTCACAGTCTGCTTAGCGCCCCCCCCCCCAAAAAAAAATCTCAAAACTCAACATACAAATCAATAGATTTGGAGATTTTTTCAAACTGCAATTTGTCCAAATTTGGAACAATCATTGTATGAATTCCTGATATCTGAACTGCCATATAGACAAGCATGTTCGTTTTGATTTTTGATTCTGAATTCTGCCAATGGTACCAAAAAAAACCCCCAAAATTATTGATGGTAAAAAGATGATTGATGGCTTGGGTGCGGGGCCTGTCTTCTGAACAGAGTGGACGTAGTTTGCAAATGCTCCTGTGTACAACTGCAGAATCTACTAAACCTACCCGATCCAGGGCTGATACCAGGTCCAAGAAGGCTGCTATATGCCAGGGGACCTTGCGACCTACCCGCAGACACCAAGCATGTGGATTTCCCGGACCGTGCAGCTTGACAACCTAAAGAGGCCTCGAGGCACGGGCGACACAGGGGAGATGGCCGCTCTCCCGCAGCCACGATCCTCGACAGAACTGACACAGAGTCCCCGTTCTCCCCCTTATGGACCGGTGGGGGTTATCCCGGTCCCTACTAGCCTAGCTCATGTGATACCACCGGCTCCTGAGGCTAACCACAGCCCGCATCCAGACAGTGCAGGGCCTAGTAAAACCACGCTACCTGGCTTGCACCCTATCAGCCCCTTCACAGGCGCCTGGATGACCTGCTCCGCCATTTCTAGGAGAAGCTGGAGCAACGCACTGCCCAACAAACCCCCACTCACTACAAGGTGGTGGAGCTGGCCGAAGTTGTGGGGCGGAACCGGCTGATCCAGGGCAATGCTGCCCTACACCACAGGGCTAAGTGCCCATCTAGGTCAGAGGTCACCAGGAGACTCTCTCCAGTACATCGATCACATCGCAGGAAGGTTACCCGCAACTGGCAGCGGACGACCACCAGAATCTTCCACAGCGCCCACAACGGAAAAGACCCGGCCACGAAGAGTACCCGAGTCTGTGGCCACGCGATGTCGACCCCACATAAGGCCTGGAGCTGGGGAGAAGCCTCCCGCCACACACAACCCTTCTTCACCCTTCAAAGTACATGGATGTCCGCTTCTACTATGCCCAGCAGAGTAATCAGCTGACCCAGAGACCCAAGACATTTGATCAGCAGGGATGGCATATAGACTGACCCACTAAAACTGATAAGAACTTTGTTTTTATTTAATTTTATTTCGTTACATTTATGTGAACCCTCTCATTCTCAAGCCTCACTGAAACACACTGTCACCACAACCATAACCCCATGAGTTAATCTAATTAAGCTGAACATGGCAGCAATAGGGTTCTACTATAACAGCACATGCCCACATCATACAACTTGTGGACCACGCGTGTAGCATGTAAGTGGGACTGAGGTACCCCGGAGTCAGTACCACAGGCTATAGATGCCCACATCCAATACCTTAAGGGTCACACTTCCGCATGTACCTCCTTCTTCTGTTTTAATTATAAGTTCATCCCTATTCGAGGGGTCTATGCCATTTTTTGACATGCACAAACAACAACACAGAGACCACGGTGGGGACACGCACGAGCCATATAGGTGGATGTTAGCATGTAACCCATATGGGTCTGCCTTTACACTCATTCGATATTGCCAACCGTGTTTGACCACATATTATGCTCGGCTTGCCTTTATTTGCTTGTTAGCTATGTATTAATATGTTTGCCTCCTGTTGCCTTTCTAATCTTACTTAAGAAGCTGACAGCATACCTTTAGTGTCTCACTTATAAGCATCTCCTTAGTTTAAAAGCCTGTTAGTTAAAAGCCTGCTATTTAACTCACTTATGCATGAACACCAATATGTCTAGATAGCTAACGATGATAACTCTCTACACATACTTTAGACATGTTGGATAAGCCTGTGACTATGCTATTTACTTTAAAAATGTGTGCAGCAACTATCCATGCCATATGTCAGTTAAACTATGTTCCTCACCCTTCTTGTTACTGCTGTTGCGGCATTACAAGAGTATGTACTCACTGAATGCACCATAAAAATAAAGAATTAAAAAAAAAGAAAAGATGATTGACGGCTAGGGGGCAGACACTAAATGCTGATTTTATTTACAGATCAAGTAAAAAGTGAGCAATCGAGGGGAGAAAAGGAGGGACAGTAAAAATATCAACATGTATATATTATATATTTCATAAATATATATACATATTGATTTTATTTATTTTACTGCTCCTCCATTTTACCTCTATTAGTTACTTTTTCTCAATTGATATGTGACCCAAATTGTGGGACAATGCTCATATCAGTGTACTGTAAAATATACACATAATATTTATGTTACATATATTATGCAGTATTATCTATATATTTTACAGGATACTGATTGGCCCATTTTTGCACCCTATGGTTCCTCTTTTTGTTTTCCTGAAACTTTATTTGATTAATAAAATTCAGGCATCCTGAATTTTGTTTTTGTTTTCAGACGAAATGCTTCAGCTTAAATTTTTTTTTTTTTTTGCTATGCTCAAATCTACAAATGAACCCATCAAACGTATTCTATACATCAAAAATACATTAAGTACTTTTACTTATGAAATACTTTAGTTTTTTTTAAACTTTTTAATGTACATAAAAACCACGCTACTATTAATCAGAAAGGTATTCATCAATCATGCATTCTAGGATTTGTCAGCTAATTCTTATGCAAACTCAAGTTCTTGACATAATCATTACCCTGCTAATGTTCAGTACAAAAATAAGACTGAAAATTGGCTTATCCAGAAGATAAGGTAAGCAATTAGCCTGGACTACTTGCAGACAGAGGAATGTGCATACATATACACTCATGCACGCAAATATGCTACTGTTTATAACTCATTGTACACTGATCAAGTCAATCTTAAAGTCGTTGTCTGCTTTGCCTTACCACATACTATACTTAATCTAATGAATCCTGAACAAACATAGTCAAGTCATTGCCAAGATTATCACCTACTAATTTTTAGATTTGAGACTAATTCCTTTTTCTTTGCACACAACCAGTCTTGTCATCTAGTGATATAAGTCAAGATGTAATATATTTTGCATCAATTGACAAGTCCTCCCAATCTCTGTGTCCTTAGTCAAAACTTCATATAACTATTGGTTCCATTTGAGTTGAAGTCCTTCTTTAATTTTATTCCTGTTTCAGTTCCTATATACATTTCCTTCTTCATTTAAAGTATTGTTTCACCTTACTTTAACTACTCAAGGTGTCACCAAAAACAAAGTGCTGGTAAGGGAAAAACTATGCTAACAGATGTTCCCCTGCAAACGGTTTGAGAATAAATAGCCTGTACATTGACAAGTTTATCCTAACAATACATCGATTTATTGTGGTTATTATAGTTGATATCCTTAACCGTGAAATCTTCAATTATTTCAGGGTTAAAAGCTGTCTGCAAAAATATATTCTACATTTACATAAAGAAACTAAAGAGGTCAAACTAAAAAAAATCTTCTGTGAAAAAAATGTAAATAAAATCTATTCATGCACAAAGGTTTTACTGAGCACTAGATTTGAACCAATTCAGCCTTCAGCCCTTAAGAAATCGTATCTTGACTTAGGTATAAAAATTCTCATAAAGAATGGTGTGACTCTGTAACTACGACAAAGAAGGTTATCCATTGCCTAATTGTACTCACAATGTTTGTGAAAGTAATACAAAGATGGTATATTGTCCTGAACAGACTTGCAAAAATGTCTTCAGTACACTCTTCATTGTGTTGTAGATGCGGTAGAGAGGTAGGAACTATGACAAACATTTGGTGGAGATGCCCCCAAGATTACGCAATTCTGGATAGTAGTCCATAGAATAATAAACCAATTAGCAACCACTGGTCTGGCAAGAAGGCCAGAAAAAGCCCTTGTATTTGAATAGTGAAATGACAAACTAAAAAGCCAGGATTACAATGACTCATTGTCTGATGGCTGCCAACATGGTGATTGCCAGATACTGGAAATCAAATGAATCTACGCAACACGGTAATGTTATAGCACAATCATAGCAGTTTCAAATGAAAAAGCTATTCATAATTATATAAATAAAGTGACATTTTCCATTTCTATAACAAACTATCAATAAGTTGGAAAGTATTTATTCCTGATACATGTGCATAAGAATATGGCTAACTAACAAGTCCTATGTTGTAATGTAATGAAGTTAAGAAAGGCCGTTTTGAACGTGGAAGATAAAATACAATATATAGATTTACGGTGTGATAAACTATTTGTATTTCTTTCTGTTTATGAACAAAAATCTAAACTCTGCAAACTAAATGTAATCTATATATGTAATGTATGATGTTTTGTATTGTTATATCTTCTTTGTATTTTGAAAAGAAAATCAATAAAAATTCAAATAAATAAAAGAAATCAAAGAGGCACAATTGAGAGTAATAGAGCATTAAGGATACCCCAAGCCTACTCCTATCTCTCCAAAATAACAATACACTGGACCCTGCTGCATTGTTCATAACATGCGATGTAAAAAACCTTTACACTATCATACCACATAGACCAGGTATCGAAGCTATGCTATTACATGGGCCCACCCATAGACTACACCATGGAATTACTACACCTTGTTCTAAGCATGAATTACTTCATATTTGAAAAGACATGGTACCAACAGATCTCGGGGACATCAATGGGGGTGGCCATGGCCCCCATATACACCAACGGCTTCATGTACATCTTCGAGCAGGAGAACATTTTAACCCCTTTCAAGCCAACATTGCTTTTTACAGACGATTCATCAATGATATCATCATGATATGGAATGGCACACCTGACTCTACCACACAGATGCTAGAGACTATCTGGATACCCCGGTACGACTCACCATGACAATGGATCCTAACACGGTTGACTTCCTAGACATACGTCTCTACAAAGAAAATAATACCATAGCGTATACTCTCTTCAGCAAGCCAACAGACAGAAATACCATCTTGCACGCAACTAGCCATCATCCAAGACTTCTTATCAAGTCGCTGCCCCATTCTCAGTTCTTAAAGGAACACTATAGTCACCTAAATTACTTTAACTAAATAAAGCAGTTTTAGTGTATAGATCATTCCCCTGCAATTTAACTGCTCAATTCACTGTCATTTAGGAGTTAAATCACTTTGTTTCTGTTTATCAGCCCTAGCCACACCTTCCCTGGCAATGATTGACAGAGCCTGCATGAAAGAAAAACTGGTTTCACTTTCAAACAGATGTAATTTATCTTAAATAATTGTATCTCTTTCTCTGTAAATTGAACTTTAATCACATACAGGAGGCTCTTGTAGGGTCTAGTAAGCTATTAACATAGCAGGGGATAAGAAAATCTTAATTAAACAGAACTTGCAATAACGAAAGCCTAAATAGGGCTCTCTTTATAGGAAGTGTTTATGGAAGGCTGTTCAAGTCACATGCAGGGAGGTGTGACTAGGGTTCATAAACAAAGGGATTTAACTCCTAAATGGCAGAGGATTGAGCAGTGAGGCTTCAGGGGCATGTTCTATACACTAAAACTGTTTCATTAAGCTAAAGTTGTTCAGGTGACTATAGTGTCCCTTTAAGGGTAATACGGAATAATTCCAATACCAACAATACCCAAATTCAGCTGCAACAAATGTGGGACAAATTTAAAGCCAGGGGCTATAGCAACAAGATCCTGCAGACAGCCTTAGACAAGTGCTATGCAACACCGATGGCAAAACTTTCAAACAGTGAAAGACTTGTCTTCCCATCTACGTACACCACAATTTCACATCATCTTAAGAAATCATTGATCCGTTACTGGAGAATGATGAGAAACAATGACTCTCTCCCACAAGCTTTTAAGGATCCTCCTATGATGTGTTATCGCAGAAGAAGCAACCTAAGGGACATATTGGTTAAAACAGACCCTACCCACTGCTATAATCCACAATCAAAACATCTGAACACTGGATGTTACAGATGCTTGGACTGCGTGACTTGCAGCCACATGATTCCAAGTAAGATATTCACACATCCTCATACAGGGAAGAAATTCACTATCCGCCATCGCTTGACATGCACAACTTGACATGCAGTGACTTTGTTATTTACAAATTGATGTGCCCTTGCGGCCTGTCATATATAGGGAAGACAGACCTCCCATTGCATGAAAGGATCCGCAACCACCGCTCCAGCACCCGGGTGGCCAATAGAGAAAATGGTTCAGACTTACCAGTGGCAAAACATTTCCTTGAGTATTAGCATCCATTACCGTCCATGAAATTTCTGTCAATCAACCACAAACCCTTACCCATACGTGGCGGTGACCGCAAAAAACTCTTAGTACAGAAAGGGCTCTTTATTAAGACCAACATTTACTACTTGCTCTGTACCTTTAACTTATTAATTACATAGATGGCCACAAAATTATTCCTCTTCCTTATGGTTTATTTATTATTATTATTGTATATTCTTTCTCTGCCGTTCTCTTTATTTTCTAGAGACCGGCGTTCTTACAGTGTCATTGGTGTTAGATATGCCTGTCCACCTAGCCCAGCTTTTTGTTTACCAGGGGAACTATTTCCCTTTATTTTTGCCCATGAATACAAGGGCGATATTCAGAGCTCTCCGCTAGCCGCATCCAGAGTGGGCGGAGCCTTCCCTGCAGCCGCACTAACGTGATTGGCTGCTCGCAGTTCATTGCGAACATGCCCTCGTGCGTTCCAACTGGTCGCTATGATGACCAGTGGAACGCAATCATAGCTTTCCAGTTCACCCCTGAACCAGTGATTTTCTGTATACCGGGTTAAATTTACCCACAAATTTTTCACACCAGCTTCTATCACACAAAGGTGTAATTGTAAGTACAGCTTGTATACATTGTTTTGATTATATTAATATGTATGTATGTTATTTAAGCACTGTTTTTTGTATTGCACTGTATCCTGACAAAAGTTCCATTAGAGAACTGAAACGTCGATCTACTACTGGCAGACACCTGAATAAAAGCTAAGTTTTTTTCACAATATTTTTTTGAAGTCCTTGGAGTGCTATCATTACTATATATATATATATATATATATATATATATATATATATATATATATATATATATATATATATATATAAAAGCACACACACACATATATATATATATATATATATATATATACACACACCTTTCACAATAATGCAATCAAGGTGTTCTATAATTATCATATTAAATCACAAGGGAGAATGTCTCTACAACCTCCAGCCATTATTATTTCCCCCATTTACAGGCTTCCATGTTATGTATCTTTTATGTTCCATTATATTTTTAAATTAGAGTTAATGTTAGTGTAACAGTTCAGGTGATGTAGGGATTGATGTTTAGTTACAGTGTAAGTGTAGGGCAGGGGGTTAAGGTTTCCTGATAGGTGTTAATGCTTAGTGATTGTGTAGTGTATTGGTTAATGTATAGCATAGTGAACTGGTTAATGTATAGTTTAGTATATTGGTTAATGTATGGTATAGTGTACAGGTTATTGTTTAGTATAGTGAGTTAGGGTAATGTAGGAGTTAAGGGCAGGTGTTCAGTGTATGGGCAGCATTTGGGTATACATGTCCCAGTGTTGCTTGAGATTAATTATATGCCCCAAAATCTTGACATGATTAGTTGTTTAGCCTCTTTGCAGCATATTTAATCATCAATAAGGAGGGAAAATTATCATGACAGAACAAATGGATGATTGAAAGCCGAATAAAAAAACATGCAACGCTCATCAATGCGCACGTAGCCATTGAGTCAGAAATAATAATGTAAATATTTAAAAACTGGCTTGTTTAAATACCCGGAGGACTGCTTTAAAGAAAACTTGGTTGGATTGAATTGTTTCCACTACTTATTTTTTTGTTTTTTTACTACAAAGAGAATATTAAATTATAATCTTACAAAAGCTGTCAATATATGTCTCTAGAATACAGGACTAGCAACTTTTTGCAAAATCCTACTTCTACCACCAAATTAAATTTCTCAATCTATTTCCTTTCTGGTAATTAGTTAAAGCTGCCTAAAAAGCCACACCATTTAGGGACGTTTTGGAAAAAATGCAGTGCAGACATCTCCCATGACAGCGGCAATACCACAAGGAATGTTGCCCATAAAATCGATTAAAAATGAAATTGTTTTGCTTAAAAGCACATGACCAAGTGTCTGGTGAGTGTCTGTTGACAGTTGCACTCACAGAAAAACAGACCTACTGTAAAAAAACGTGTTTGTCATAGTCATATGGCTTGTCCACCCAGGCAAAAGAAGATGTTTAAACACTCATAGGTATATGTGTGTATGTTTTCATCTAAGATTATGTATGTGTATCCCGCATCCGCCCCTTTCTTATGCAAGATGCTACCAAGGAGCTTGCCCATTCTCTAGTAATTTCTTGCATGAATTATTGTAACCCTCTCCTAACTGGTCTTCCCAAAAGCCTCTGCTACAGTCTGTAATGAATGCTGCCACCAGACTGATTTTCCTCTCTAGTCAGTCCTCTCACACCTTACCCCTCTGTCAGTCCTTACATTGGCTTCCTGTATCTTATAGAAGTCAATTCAAAGTACTAACCCATACCTATAAAGCATTGAACAATTCTACCCCCTCTTATATCTTTTCACTGATCCATAGGTACGCCCTTCTCAGTCTCTCCGCTCTGCCCATGACCTTCTCCTGTCCTCTGCTTGCACACGTATGGCCAACTCACGCTTGCAGGACTTCTCATGGACGGCTCCCTTCCTATGATATAGCCTGCCTACTGCCATCAGGCTCTCTCCTAGTCTTCAATCATTTAAGAAGTGCCTCAAAACCCATCCCTTTAGGAAAGCTTACGGCCTCCCAGAGTAGCCTCTACCTCACATACCTGTCTCTTGCTCTCTCCTAAAGGGCAGCACTCTTCTCTCTCCTCCAGCTCGGCTTCACTCCAACCTTATTTAATTGCTATTTCCTGTCATAATGAGTTTTATACCCCATCTCCTATAGACTGTAAGCTTGTTTGAGCAGGGCCTCTTCAACCTATTGTTCCTGTAAGTTTTCTTGTAATTGTCCTATTTATAGTTAAATCCTCTCTCTTATAGTATTGTAAAGTGCTAAGGAATCTGTTGGCACTATATACATGGCAATAATAATATTAACAGAAATTGTATCCAAATTTTGGTTTGATATGGCCGGTTAGTAATTTGAACTAAGTTATTGGGTAACTTTGCTATCATATCTCATTTTATCCAGACAGGAAATATATCCCTGGATACTACATATTCAATTGTTTAGGTATTAAACTTACTAAGAGAGTAAATACAGTAGTTCTGGTGATGTGGTACAGAGATAATAATGATCTTTGTAAAAAAGGAAAAAATCTTAAATATGTAGCAATTTGAGATTATTTAGTTCTTCTTATCAATCACAATGTTATCAAAGTAATACTATCAGGTGTGAATTTACTTAACATGATTATGGCCACAAGAAGTCAGTTGAGTAATCATTGTGTAACTATTTATCCTATTGAGTTTAACAATGAATATGATGTTTTATGGTCATTTTGATTCATGGACGTATATTTAAATTCCTGCTCTGTTTTCTAATAATGGGGCATGATTTATGAATTAAACTGTCTGGAACATAATTCTTAGAAATCCACAGAAAGCAGCTGTTAGATAACGTTCTGATTAAGTAAATTGTGAATACTGATTACTTATGTCATTAGTAGAAATGTGCAATGTTAGTGAGACTACTTAACCTTTGTAATGTTTGGTGTATGATTGTCTATGGTTGTACCATATGGTACAAAACATAAGGCTGGTGCTTTGTTATACCATTCTGTCTCTTTTCATCTTCAAGGTTAACCATTAAAAAATTATATTCCATAGTATTGTTATCTAAAAGTCTCCTGATATTTACCATTGTGAATAAAATATAATTGTATGCACTTTGCATCTATTTTTGAAACAGACTTTTGAACAGCACAGGGCATGCCTTAACATTAAAGTGGACTTGGTGACCGCCAAAATAGTTAGTCAGCTGCCCAGAAGGTTTTGGCTTGATGAGACAGACCTGACTTTTTAAAAAACTTAATATTAAGATGTATCATTGTGTTTCAAATTAACCTTATACTAAGAGGAAAGGGATGAGGTGGGGACTTGATGCAGCATTTTTCCAGTATTATAAGTCCTCTCTCATTCATGTACAAGTGTGACCACTTTATGGGTTTTCCATGGCTTCCATAAGATCCTATGGAAGGAGCCAAGATCATTTGGAACCCATTGAGTTAATAATATGTCCTATGGAACCTCAATTGTTTGATCAGTTTTTAGTAGCCTGAATCGAATCGATCCTAGATGAGATATGATCTACAAGTTAGAAAACTGGGACAAACCAAGTTCTAATATTAAACATACGATAAGTTTTACATTGACATTTCATTGGGTCATTGCTTACTGAGTAGAACATTCCCAACAATGCTCACCTGAACAAGATTCTAAATGATTTTACTTGCCAAAAGTAAATTATTTCATGATGGTGTCTTTATGAAACTGAATATGTCTACTATAAAATATTATCTATGACTTCATATGTAGCTAATTTATCCCATAAACAATGCATCAGAGGCGAGGTGGGAGTACGAAAAGAAGATATACGTAAGTCTTCAGAAGGGAGGATAGATAGGTGGGAGCAGCATTATGTAGAGATTTGAAAGCAAGAACCAGAATTTTAAATTGTGCCCTATATCTTACAGGAAGCCAATGTAGGGATTGATATAAGGGTGAGGCGTGGGCGGTGCGGGTGGACAGGAAGATGGGCATTCGTTATGGACTGTATCGATGCAAGTTAAGAGCACGTAAGACCACTGAGAAGCGGATTACAGTAGTCAAGGCGAGAAAGGACAGTGGAATGGACCAACACCTTAGTCGCATCTGGCGTTCAGTAGGGTTGGATGTGCGCAATGTTTTTTAGATGGAAGTGGCAGGATTTGGCGAAAGACTGAACATGAGGCATGAAGGAGAGGTAGGAGTCAAAGAGAACACCTAGGCAGCGAGCCTTCTTTGTGGAGCTGATGTTAGCACCGTTGACTTAGAGGAAGACAGACACAGGAGTAGCAACACTTGAGGGAGGAAAGACCAGTATTTCAGTTTTGGTCAAGCTAAGTTTAAGGAAGTGGGCAGCCATCCAGTTAGAAATAGCAGAGAGACAGTCAGAGACACTAGTCAAGAGGGATGGGGAGAGATCAGGAGAGGACAGATAGATTTGTGTGTCATCTGCATAGTTCAATGGAGCTAGCTAAACTCAAAAGACAAGCAACTGCTCAAAGCACCTGCCTTACATAGATCACTTAATGAGCTGCATTGGGAAGTCTGTGATTGGACCGTGTGACAGTAGCAATCGATTTACAAAGTATGCATTGTTAGTTTGATAACTCTGCAGCGCCCTATGTTGATCAAATGGAAATGTGCATGCAAATTAATTTAAAAAAATAGGCAGTTAAATACATATATATATATATATATATATATATATATATATTTTTATTTATTTTTTTATTTATTGTGTTTGAAATATTTACTTGTATTATATATTTTGATGTATGAATTATGGTCGCTCTACTAATATTCTGTATATTGGCATTGTAAATGGTTGCCACCAGATGCTTAAGGACAAGTCACCAAAGGCTTGTACTTGTCCACAAAGTAGAGTTGTATTCTAGTTCCATTGGGAACTGTGTGTCATGTCTGGCTTGTTTGGTGAATCCAGTAGCAGAGTTTCTAGACCTGCTTGCTGGCTGCATTATTCTCTGGTTCCGGCGATGTATCAAGAAAGTTATAGGCCTGAGAGCCACAAATGTCTTTGTAAAGGCAGTAATTGAAAGCAGGACAGGCAGAGGGGTTGATACATGCCTGGGAGATGCAGGACAGGCAGAGGGGTCAATAGCTGCCTGGTAGAAGAAGGATGGGTAGAGGGAGTCAGTTCCTTGCCTTGTAGAAGAAAAATGGGCAGAGGAGACGCTACCTAAATCCCCCTAAATATATAGCATGCTCCTCCAGCTGTTTGAGATTCTCACTCAATTACCTCTTCATTCCCTTTGTATTGTTCCAATAGCTGCTTCTCTGTTAACACTTAAAGTCATCACCTCCAAACTTCCCCTGCTACATCTTGTCTCAAATCTCCATTTTATCCTTTAGATTAGAAGCTCACGGGCCATCTAGCCAAGCACTTTGTATAAAAGAGATCCAATGGCTACATATCAAGTTACGGGCAGGGCCCTCTCTACCTCTTGTATTTGTCTGTGTATATTGTACGTTCTCCACTAATTGTACAGTGCTGCAGAATCTGTTGGCACTTTATAAATACCAGTAATAAAAATAATAATAATACCTGCCTGGTAGGATGGGAAGCTTCTCCCAGGCAAGTAGTGACCCCTCTGCCTGGAAAGAGAAGGCATTGGCAGATGAGTCTGCTCCTGAGATAAACTGGGAGTGATATAGCAGGACCCTGGTCTCACTAAGGATCACTGTCTCAAGTGACTGATCCATATGCATTTCATCAAATTTGCATTTCATTAAAGACAGTCACAGAAAGTCTGGGCTGGTGAAGAAGTGGAAGGCTTGCAAAGGCCGCAGACAAGAGATTGTCACCATTTCAAAGCTTCTTATGAATATACTCTCAATGAAAAATGCATAATTAAATGACATTTTTTTCATTGGAGCGCTCCTTTAAGTCAAGTTACGGAAGCAGATTAATATTTTATGCGTCACAGTTAAAAAAACAAAAAACATTTGTATCTAATTTTTCTTTACATTGAAATTTGCAGGACTCTGCTATGGGCTTATTGGTGCAAAGATGTTATCTCTCTCAATAACGTATTAAACGGTTGGTGCATGAGAATATAAATCGCATTTAATTTAGGCTAGCACATTTTACATGCTCTAATTTTCTTTTACCCTCACATAATTTTCTATATGACAATCTTTATATATTATGTTATATTTAAATCTTCACATATTGTAACTGAGTGCAGTTTGAAAAATGTCATTATGTAACATCTAATTTTATGGTCCTCTCTTCCTGGTTACAATATTACCATATTATATGTTAATTGGCAGTGATGCCAAGTCCCTTCATCAATAACTGAAGTTAAACAGTAGTTACACCCAATGAGTTATGAACAAAGGGTAAAAGTTAACTATTTTAACCTTTGACTATGCCGACGGGATGGTTAATGTGCTATCTTTTTCTGGCAGGCATATAGGTAAATCTGTTTTATTGCTCTGTTGCTTGTAAGTAAAGGATATGATCACTATGGAGTAGAAAATTTGGAACATGCCGAGCACTGTAGTGGGTATGGTGTCAATAGTGCCCTACCCCACCTGTCACGATTTGGGAACCTAACACGCTAACAGGTAACAGAGAGGAAGGATGCTATACTGGTCCTTAGAGTGGCCGGGCTAAGCGCACTAAGAATAGTCAAGAGACAAGCCAAGTAAAGGGAGCCAGAAAACGGGAGAATGAGAAACAAGCCGAGGTCAAAGGAGTGGAGAATAGAGGAAAATCAGAATAACGAGCCAAATAATCGGTAACCGGAGAGCAACACGAGAAAACTGCACCAATGGTATCACAAGACCACAGCAGGGCACTGAGAGACAGGAAAGGTAAGTATATATATCCTTTGCTTAATTCTGATTGGATAACTTCCAATTAGAATTAACCATCACACGTGGGAGATATCTATACTTCCCACTGTGATTATGGTACTGTTGCTTTAACGCCGGGTCACGTGACTGACCCCGGCATTCGCATAAATGCGCAGGCTCCCAGCTTGCAGTGTTATACATGCTGCCACTGGGAGGCGAGGAGGAGGATGAGAGCGGTGTGCAGCACAGAGGAGACGCTGCTCACCGACAGGTAGGATGAGGGGAGACCGCTCACAGCCGCCTGCGGAGCCCTGACACCACCATTGTTTTAGAATGAGTTGACTACTTACCAAGAGTTTGTCAGGTACACTCCCCTCCTCCACTTGCTCAGACAGAGAGTCACACGTTATCTGTCTCACCTAAGCTTATTGATGCTGGGCACAATTTTTTGACTTAGAGTGATCAGATAACGCTCTTAGCAAACGGCACTCTCAACAAGCATGTTGCTGATGATATGGTTGTAAGAGTGTTGTAGTGTGTACACATATTTTTAAAAATGTATTTAAAGCTGTTTAAATATAAATACAATTATTAATGTATCATATGTTTTTTATAAATATAAAGGAAAATGTTTTAATCAAAGCAGATTCACTTTTATCTTACCAAAAAACACACCAAGTACTGTGAAATTCTGGACTGAAGGAAGACCCGATTGACCTTTTGTTAATACGTTACTGACATCACGTGCATTTGGGAGCTCAGGTGGCTCTGCTACTTGGTAAACCCCATCCGAATAAGAGGCTGGGTAAAGGCGTAGGAGTTTAGAATCTGGTGATACATAAAATGAACAGTAACAAAAAAAACATAAGGAGAGGTTTGTTGTAGTTTGGAAAAGTTTAGCAAACTGGCATAACCATAAATGGTATGTACATTGTGGTTTCAATGGTTCCCTTGACTATTGTCCCAGTTTTACAACTTTTCATCACTTTTCAGATTATTCTTTGACAAGTTTGTACACAGTGTCTATGTGACAGAGGAAATACCATATTTACATATAGATGTGGAACAATTTCCAGATACATTAATTTAAATTTAAATCAAATTTATAAAGCAAAAATTTTTTTACAAAAACTGCACTATAACCACTACTAAATGCTGTGTTATGGTACTCTGGGTACTTCTTTACTTCTTTAATTGTAGATAAATGATCCATCCTGGAGATTTAGATTAACATTTTTAAGCCTTATATGAAATTACGTCTGTTTTTAAAAAAAAATTTTGTATCAACAGGAATATGGGAAAGTGTGAAATTGTTTGACTGAGTCATCCTAAATTACAGTTACTCTGAGAAATAAACACATTTCTATTATTGTAACTATGAAATAAAGTTCAAAAACAATGAGTCATATTACCAATTAACACAGATCACATTGCAAATAACAACGATAAGAGACAGCTTTGACGTCGCCTACCTGTGGCACCGGTGCTGTGATGCGCAAGGTTATTATACCACCCGTCATAACGTTGGACTTCCCAGTCAACAGTCGTGGTGTTATTACCTGTGAAAAAATCACATTAAAAGCAATATGAACACATTGCCAGTAACCAGAGCAAATATTCATCATATATTATATTCTATCACATTAATTTTATTCAGTATTCAGGAAGTGTACGTACAAATGAATAATAATAGAGCTGTATGGGAAGCAACCATTGCCATAGTGAAAAGAAAACACACCAAACCACTGTAAAAATGTCCTAACTAGACATCTAGAATGATCGATGACCTAAGGTTTAATGATTGATCAATAAATGCAATTTAATTTAGTATTTTTCCTAAATGGACTGTTTTATGATATATACTAAGAATTACCAAATAATTGATGTAATTCTTTATTGTATTGATTTAAGCACATTTATTAGTCAAATAATGATTGGTGAAATGTATTAACATAGAATTATTTCAAAATGTTTCCTAATTTTATGCTACAAGTACGCCATAATAAATCATTTTAAAATTGCATTTCATGGGCTGTATGTACCTCCCCATATATATGTATCATGGACTCTACGTCAGTGCTCCTCAAACCTCTCCTCAAGGCACACCTAACAGTCCACGATTTAGGGATCACCCGGGTGTTTCTACAGGTTTAGAAACAAACAAACAAAAACACCTTAGTGTCTAAACACCTTAAATACACCAGGGTAATCCCTAAATCCTGGACTGTTAGCTGTGCCTTGAGGAGAGGGTTGAGGAGCACTGCTCTATGTAATAGAATCATGTTGACCCCTTATTGGTGATAATTTTTTCTGATATTTCTCTCTATGAGAAACTTGCTATTATGTCACAAGATATTTGTATTTATTAGAACAGAGAATTAATAATTTACCTTTGTATACTAATTACAAAATATTTACTTTTTTCTATCAATGTATATCTATCAATGTATATCTAGATAGTTGGGTAACGGTGTTTCCTAATTATAATTCATTCAATGAAACTGTTTTATATTGTGTTACTTACCCAATATCCCCAACACCCATGTATTAAAAAGGCAGAACCAAAATACCAGTAGCCTCCAAATCATGGTTATTACCGCTGTCTTTGAAGCCTAAAGTAGATGTAAATAGACAACATAAAAGTGACAAATGAATAAGCAGCGATGCATAGAAATAAACAAACATAGCCTAAACCATTCATTTCTAAATGTTCGTTTTAGAGAAATATATTATGCATTTTTCTTTTTAGATTAGTTACATTACAAGGTTTGGTTGAAATAATAAATAACGACATACTCAAATATAGGGGTCCCAGAAAATGTTGCCAAGCTATTCTCTATTCCTATATTCAAAGTGGATGTGTGCTTATCTCTTTGAAAATGTGTCCGTTAGTTCACATTAGCTAAATTCAGTAATTTACACAATCTCAGTCAGGGAATAGACATGGTTAACCTGATTTTGCATAGACATATCATAGCTGATGGCATGTGATGTAACACTCATAAGTTTGGAGAAACACTCATCAGTTTGTATAATTTGGTAAAGAATACATTATTCTCATATCAGTGTCAGCAGTATTGCTTGCGTCGCTAGACGTTATTTGTTTTAGCTTTAATGCCCACTTGTATTTGGTGATAGATGACTGAGAAAGAGGACATCCGACTCTGCGTGATTCTAAGGAATGTGCTGACACTTTTCATATCACAGCATCTTTTGTTAATGAATCATGATTTCATAGTGAGTTATAACACCCCCTATAAAATATAATCACATTTCCTAGGAAAGTCTCGACATCACAAAACTTTGGCAACAACAATGTATATATGTTTACCAATAAGATGAAAGGTATTACCAAAGTATAAAGTACTCAGTATGTCAGTTCTTTGGACTTTGCACTAGCCTTTGTCACATTGGAAAAAATGGCGGCATATAATGGCACCCATACAGTGTCATCTAAATTATTAAAGGCACCCAGTGAAGTGGTCTGGGTGCCAGGCCATCTAGGGTTAACCCTGCAGCTGTAAACATAACAGTTTCAGAGAAACTGCTATGTTTACAATAGGGTTAATCCAGCCTCCAGTGGCTGTCTCATTGAAAGCCGGTAGAGGCACTTCTGCACTTCTCACTGTGAAAATCACAGTGAGAAGATGCTTCCGTCCAGAGGAAAGCATTGAGAAATGCTTTCCTATGGACTGATTGAATGCGCTCACGGCTCTTGCTGCGCATGCACATTCCTTGCTGACGTTAGAAGAGGGAGGAGATTTCCCAAGCGCCGAGGGAGCCCAGTGCTGGAGAAAGGTAAGTGTTTAACCCCTTAACCCCTCTTGAGCCTGGTGGGAGGGGAACCCTGAGAGTGGGGGGGGGGGAACCCAAAGACCCTATAGTGCCAGGAAAATGAGTTTTTTTTCTTGGCACTATAATGGTCCTTTAACTTTTCACCAAAATTATCCAGAAACAGCATTAGTCACTTTGAAGATGATTGGGCAAATAGTCAACAAGCTTAAAGTAGTTTGGTCAGTAGAGAACCTGCTATTCCTTTTTAATACAAGAGAATTCTCTTGAATCTGAGAAGAACACAAGTGCTGCAATCAACTCTGAATTTTAGTCCAAAGGGAATGTAGTGATTTTGTTTAACCAATAAACCCACAGGATTATTTTAATTGATATATTTTTTAAAATATATGTATAACAGTTTAAAGGCATTCACATTAGAAATAAAATTCTCACAAACTGCATTTGTTTGGGGGTTCTCTAGGTTCAGGGAAAGAGATTGTGAAGTTGTTGGCATAGAAGTTTACATCTATTTATTTATATTTTTGGTGTTGTTTAACACCATAGTTAACTAAATAAGGATATAACTAGTCAAGTTTTGTTGTTTAAATATGATTTACTATGGATTATATTTCATTGACCTATATTCCGAATCTGTAAAAGTGATTGCGTCAAAGTAAAATCTATATAATTTAGTAATAAACAAATTAATATCATATAGTGTTGGCAATATTGCTTGAGTCGCTAGCCATTATTTGTTTAGTCTTTTATGTCCACTTTTAATTGGTGATAGATTACAGAGAGGACATAAAACTCTGCGTAATTCAGAGGAAGGTGTTGATCCATTTAATATAACAGCATATTTTGTTAATGAATCATGATTTCATAGTGTGTTATAACAGCCACTACAAAAATATAATCAGAGTTCCCAGGAAGGGCTCAACATCATAACACTTGGCAACAATAATATATTTATGGTTACTAAAAAGAAGGTATTACCAAGGTAAAAATTACTCAATGACTGGAATAATATGTGAGTTCTCTTGATTTTGCACTAAACCTTGTGTCACATTTCCACAGAAAATCTGTTACAATCTCAATGTATTTCCTTATCTTATCTTATCTTGCCACGTATAATAGCTTATCAACACAAGATTCACGTATTAAAAAAAGTCATACAGTGTAATAAATATAATACAGGGTGAAGGATTTTGATGCATCCAGACAGTGCTATCAGCATTATCTTTGGTTGGACTTGATCTTCTTCATGGGTTATAAATTGCTAGTTGGAGGAATACATGATAACTTGAGTTGGGTTTTCGGAGACTTGCTGTGTGTCAGCCTGCTATATGACGATAATCTGACCTTTTATTTGTTAAGATATTCATTAATCGAAGCCAGTCTCAGGGAACCAGCAATGTGAATGAAAGAAACCCTTTTAACAAGATAAGACAAAGGTGTAACACGATACAGGGCATCAAAATTGTATTAGGCCTGGTTTCATTTCTAGTGATACTGGTAGTTTCAGAGGCTTGTCTAGTGCATAGAGAGTGGATATAGGTGTATATCTCCCATTTTGTGTTCCCTCACAGACTCCTCCACACTAGGTGATCATGAAGTCCATGCTATGATATGCTATACTGGCACTGTACCATCTTCAGGGCTTATGAGAAAGTAAGCAGTTATGACAAAATAAGTGATCGCTGAAAGAGGTGCAAATATTTACTAGATGTACAGCACAAACTGGATTAACACTTACTAAATTGTTGTGCTGCACAGACCTCCAGAGTCACCACAATAGTAATAAATTCCACAAAAAAATAAAAAATGGTGCATACAGGGTTAGTTAAAAAAAGTAAGCATTGTTGGGAGAATTCTTCCATTTCAACTACTTTGTCCATACATTTTAAATTCACTTTCAAATCACTTTCTTGTCCCAACAATTCACACTTTAGTAAATAACCCTGATTGTGTTTTATTTAATGCATAGCAGGAAGTACACAAATAGCAAAATTTTGGCTCATGGAGTAGACTTTTTCAAGCTTCCTCTGTAAGGAAACATTGAGGGGCTAGTGTGCATAAATGGCATTCACTGATCTTTGACCCAGTCAAAATTTTCTCATTGCATTGAGTCAACAAATCTATATGGCAAGTGTTTAGAAATCTCCATGCAGAATGTATAGAATCTTTACGGCAAGTGTTCGGAATCTCCATGCGGAGCATGTAGAATCTCTATAGGAAGTGTTTAGAATCTCCATGCAGAATGTGTAGAATCTCTATGGCAAGTGTTCGGAATCTCCATGCGGAGCATGTAGAATCTCTATAGGAAGTGTTTAGGATCTCCATGCAGAATGTGTAGAATCTCTATGGCAAGTGTTCGGAATCTCCATGCGGAGCATGTAGAATCGCTAGAGGAAGTGTTTAGAATCTCCATGCAGAATGTGTAGAATCTCTATGGCAAGTGTTCGGAATCTCCATGCGGAGCATGTAGAATCTCTATAGGAAGTGTTTAGAATCTCCATGCAGAATGTGTAGAATCTCTATGGCAAGTGTTCAGAATCTCCATGCGGAGCATGTAAAATCTCTATGGGAAGTGTTTAGAGTTTCCATGCAGAGATAAATGTGGGTCCTGTAATCATTGGATACCCTCTAGTGGCTGTCTGAGTGACAACCACTAGACTTGGCATTAGGCAACAGTGAAAACACTGGCTTTTCTCTGAAAAGGCAGCTTTTTATCTGCTGAGGCTGGAGGGACAGTTAATCTGGTGTCTAGTGTTCTTTTAGGTAAAATTTCATTTGTATAATGTTATGTTGATGTATATGATATTATACATGAATTATTCCTAATTAAAGTTACAATTAAACTTTCTTTCACAAACACTCATTCAGCACATTATGAGATTTGCATATACTGTCATATATTGTCCTTTTATGAAAGAAATCATCAATGCATAAACTATATAAATACTAGAAAATTAAATTTGGCATCAATTTGCAGTACTGCTAATATTTGCCTGGTGCATTTTAGTGCAACTGTAACTGGCAACTGGACCAACTCTCTGTTCTAAAACAATTTACTAACAAGTCCTTTTTGTTTTAATAAAAACAAAATTGGCAAATAATTATTTGAAACATGGAATGCATAGATAATAATTAAATGTAGACCAAAACAGCTTATAAAGAATGCCTTAAAATTACACATTTTTACACATTTTGTTTTATTATTTATTTATCATTTAAAGAAAAATGTGTGATATTAAACATTTTGAAGATGGAGTCTGAAATGTTGACATAGATGAATAAATATTTGTGTTGTGTCAAAATAATAGATAAAAATGGTCAGGTATCCTGCCTAAAGGTGCAAGAAAGCCAAAGTCAATTCTAGGAATCCCGCTTTTTGAAAATATCACGCAAATGACAAAATCATGTATGTATCTGGAGATAATAACCTAATACAGTAAGTACATTAATGCTTATATTCTATACAATGCAGAGCAGAGCTGCATATAACTAATAGAAACTGCCCAGTATACTTAAAACCATTCTTTGACTGTCAGTTGACAGCCATGAAGTCTGACCTACAAAGATGGGGTGAAAGAGGGAGCTACCATGTATGGTCCTCCTGCATAGATGCAGAAAGGATGCAAATTAGTCTTGGAGAGTTACATGTTTTTCTGTTAGGTGGCAGACAAAATTGAGAGAAAAGGTAAGTAAGTAGGGCCGTATGGTATAGATACATGGGATACATTTTGCTTGCACTGCTTTGCAATCTAAACTAAAAGTTAGCATAAGTACGCACAATGGGAGGGAAGAGGTTATCAGTAGGCAAGATAACTGATTTGCTGCATTTTGCACGCCAGTTTAACAATTAAAGTGGTTAAAATAAATAAATAAATAAACAGAACAGGTAGCAGCGGGCCCAGCTTCCTGAAACAGAATCTGATTTTAATTGTCTTCTGCTGATAAAGTATAGCTATAAATGTTGTCTGCAAAAGTTTATTTTTGTTTCCTACTTTGAGTTTTATCTTGTTGGACTGTTCATGCCCAGAAGCAATATGAATAGAGACATTTTTATTTTTTTTATTTTTTTTCTGCTATAAACCACTAAGCAATCATCATCACAATTACTACACATCTATTATGGCCTCATGTGTACAGGAAGGAGAACACAATTGAAATAATTAAATAAGCAAAATAAAAATAATTAAACAAAGCATTGAATACACAGGACATAAGTGAATAGCAATCATTCTGCTCATTTTATCTTAAACGTGTGTGTGTGTGTGTGTGTATGTGTGTGTGTATGTCTATCTATATTTCAATTCTAAATTCAGCATTTTAAATCAAACACGAAGCTGAACAACACTGCATTAATAAATGTAAAAGTTAACACAGCAACTCCTCACATAGACATAGAAAGACTCACCTATCCCAGCACAGTAAGACAGAACTGCTCAGCATTTATCTTTATTCTGATGAGTGCTTGATGCTTGTGTCTTGAGAATGTGACTATTTTAAAGGAAGTACATGAGATACAAGGTAGCACTTGGGTTGGGCTGCAATCTAATTTGAATATTTATTTTCTTTCATCACTATCCATTGAATGATTGTACTTTTTGTTTGACCAGGTGTTTTTTTTTTTTTTTTCATTTCCTGGGGGTATAAAAGGGATGGGACCAAGTCAACTACTTAAGATTCCTCTTAGACACTTGTGAACTTATTGGTCCTGACAATCATATGCAAACACTCATACAACTGTTACAGAGGTAAGGTTAACTATATTTCCTCTCCTATGCACAGCTAAAAGGTATGCAATGCTATTTTTTCTTTGTATTAAATAATACACTTATTTTAAAACAAATTTGTTTCTATATTTTGTGCAACGTTGTTTGTTAACTACAACTTACTTTTTCAGGTTTTAATAATCCCAACATGCCTTTTAATAAAATGTTATTTTCTTTATTTTTAATTTATCTTTGTTTTTCTGGGGACGAGGGGGATTGTATATTTTGGAAGGTTTTCTTACTTTTTATTCCCAAGTACCAGTACAGAAAGAAAGATTGTTGCGAGGCATAGCATTAAACGATGAGTTTTGTGGCGTGGCGTGTATCTGGAAGGTGATCCTTTTTTTAGGGAAATATATCTTTACTGCGCATTGGTATTAGCAAAGCCAGGATTAAGGGTCAAATCACAGTATAAAAAAAAACAACAACTTGAGATCGGCCTTCAGTAACTCCCTAAGAAATCTGTTTTCACAATGTATTATTTGTTTTAGAAACATTAAGGAATATCACAGTTGGTTTTCTTTTTTTCTTTTTCCAATTGGTTCAAATAAAAATTTTGTATATAGGCTTTTTTCTATATTTGCAAGAAAAATTAGGAGGGATTCTATGTATTTGATTATCATCTCAAGTATTCCTATAGTTTGATGGTTCCCAAGTTGCACCAATATTATAGATTTTGTCAGGATCTCATTTGGGGCAGAATTAAGAAATGCTACATTCTGAGTGTTTGTATGCCAAGGATTTGCTTGGGAACTCCTACTTCAAACGTATCAAGCATCTTGTGTTGAAAGCTGCAACAGGAAATATGACTGATGAACCAGGGGAAACATATCTTATGAATAACCATCAATTTGAGCTTGTGGCACATATCTTCATTAAACTCAGTTCTTAGTTATAAGAAACAACATTAGATTCCAGATAAAATCACATAAACTTTCCAAGTCATGACCATAAATTTATGCAACAATAGACACTTTCCACAAGTCTTTCTCTGTACTATAATAGCCACAGTTAATAGTCATTGTACATTCCTCAATTTTTCTGACTCGGATAATTTCTCAAGATTATATGATTTGTATCCGGAAATGGCTATTTTTAAAATAAAAGTAGAATATCTGTTGCATTCAAATCACTTTCTAAAACTAGTGATGATCTTGTATTTTGGTGCCTGTGTAGTCTATGGTTTTATCAATGTGTCTGCCACAAAACTGAGTTTCAATACAATGTCAAGTAAAATGTATGCTTAATAAAATGTGTATTTTCTTCCTTAGGTAAATATAAAGAAATACCCTGGAATAAGATGGCCTTTTACAATGGAATATACCCATTCTATCCTCAGGACAGGATGCCCTATGTCTTCAGCATGCAGTCAGTTGTTGTCATTATTGTCTTTTTGATTTTGGCCCTGGCTTTCATCCTTATTGTCCTCGGGATCCGCGGCAAAGCAGTGAGTTATTTATTAATGCACTAAGGTTTATTTGATAAAATTTGATGTTTGATATGATTTGATATTTGATATTGATATGATCATTGAAAATAAATGCATGCAATTTTTTTATAGTAGTCTCAAATCAATGTTTAAAATTCAAGATTTTGCAATCTCTAATTTGTATACATTAACCACTGCAGTTGGGTTACAAGTTCAAAATTAAAAACATCACACTCAGTGTTGCAAAGCACATAATTTTGTGACAAACAACTTTCAAATTTATAAAAAAATATATATATATATATATATATTTTTTTTTTTAAATTAAGTGATTTTGCCATACATGTTACAATTAATTTGATAATTCATTAAAATTTCTCATTTAGTTAATAAACTCCTGTATCTTAGATAAAACATTTGTGGACCAGCAGAAACCAATATTCACCATTTCACAGATAATTTATAGATATTTGCCTTTTTCCCTTCATATTGAATGCCATTTTTTTTTTTTTTTATTAATAATCCTGGCACTTTCATTTTCAAAAGCTCTGATTCTACATATAGCACAGATCCATCCAGAAGTAGAAATGCTGTTAATTTTACATTATGTCACTGTAAGTTAAAGAATAAAAGATTTCACTACTTTAGATTTTTATTGACCTGAATGTTTATTGACTGATTACAATGGTAAGGAATTCACTGTAATTTGCATAAAGCTCCACTGTGAATTAGATAAGACACAAATGTTTTATTTATATGATTGTAATTATTTTAAAGACCATATATTGCGTAGAAGCACAATAAATGAAGGGTAAGGGTAGCACTTTAACAGTACTGTAATGTTTCAGGGAAATGATTTAAAAATATATGCAATTGTTTTCTAAATTATCCCTGATCTTGAATGTAAAAAAAATCTAACGTTCCCTGGCAAAGAAGAGAAAAAATATTTTATCTTTGTTTTATATATTTTTCTTTTCTTTTCTTTTTGTTTCTGTTTTGTCTTTTGTCTCTCTCTGTGTCTTTCTGTCTTGTATGTTTTCTTTATTGCTGGGTTCCATTTATTACTTATCGATTGTGTCTTGCTTTTTAAATTGTTTTAAATTCCCATTGTTTTTCTTTTTATTTTTTTTTATTTTTATTCCCATTGGTGTTTATACAAAATGTGTACACTTGTTATGTTGAAATGTCTATTTTGCGTACTGCCTTATTGTAGGAAACCAACACTTTTTTTTCTTTTGTCTTGGATTGCTGCTTCTGTTTTTCTTAATGGTACTTGAAAAAATATTTACTGAAAAACAAAACGTGACACATAATTGATCAAAGACCAATTTATTTTAAAAATAGCACTATATTATTTAAAATGTTATCACTTTCTCCTACATGAGCTAGGGGATATTTATTTGTATCCACGTACATAGTCTCTCCTAACATACACATTGTTTATAGATGCATTTAAATATTTGAAACATTTGAATATTTAAAAAAATTTTTGCTACCTTTTTGAAAAATACAGCCTATAAAACCGACAATGTTGCCAATCTATTTGAGATATTGCACTGAAAATGAAGTCCAACTACTTTAACATGGTAGGAAAGCCCCCCCAAACTTTTTGATTTATCCTACAAGACTTTCAGAAAAGGAAAAAATAAAATAAAAATTAAGAAGAGATTATCTCGCTATGATTTATATTATATACAAACATCAAAATAGTTTCTTTCTACTTCTTATATGGGATGAAAGTAAGTAAACGAAAGTATGCAAGTCCAAGCATAAACAGAAATATTTATTAGATGCCTGAAAATGACACTCCTGTTTAGGAATTTCCATTAATTGCATATGTCAAATACACCTGTACCAATTGCGACATCACAATGAGGAAATGCTTCGATATTTGCTATTATTAGTAACTCTGCACGGTTTGCCTACATCAGTGTATTTTATTATACATCTTACCCAGCATTTTATTATATCCTCAATAACATGGGGGATATATTACAGCATTTTACATCTCTGTAAAAATTCCATATTGCATTATCTTTCTATTGTGCTTTCAATGCCATCATGCACATTTTTTTTATTTTTTTTTTGCTATGGTGACATTCTGCAGTTTTTATAACATGCTTAAACACTTATTAATGGAAAAAAAATATGTTTCTTCACAGAGAATATTCTGGACGTGCAGAATTTTAACAAGTCTGTTTATCGGAGCAGTTACTGTGGGTATGTACAGATTTTTCTCTCGTAAAAAAAAAAAAAAGAAAATTAAGAAAAAAAAGTATAAATATTTCAGTCCCAATATGTGCAATATTAATATCTGGGAGATATTATTTATTTATTTATTTATTTATTTTGGTGGGCAGAAAGGAAGCTGCTACAAAATCAACAAGTAGAATTTCCAATAACTTTGGAAAATTTGAATGGAGCTTTCTTCTCTCATTCTCTGACAGTTAACTGAAGACATAGTTTAGCTAAATGAAAGAAGCCAAATAGTGTTTCCCTATTTTTTCAAGAAACAAATTACTATCCTTTTACTGCTTTATATTGGCAGGGGGTTGGGCATTCTCATGGCATACTACTTTTTTTAAGTGGCAAAGGAGGACCTTTTATTGCCATGAACTAAGCAGTGGATGTTTTAGAGAAAGGACATGGGAATTTTAACATTTATGGAGAGCTCTACACCTATTCTTTAACCAGCTCCATCCCAAGGTCCATAACCCCTAGGTGTCATTATCAACCCGCACAAATAGGGTAATGGAATCAGGCCTCGTTGCTTGTTAATTTTCAAGAATAGGAGAAACATATTGCCTTATTCCCTGGGATTTCCTGCAAGCAATTTTATGTTGCCCAGTTATAGTTATTTTGTACTAAATATAAACATTTGTAGACTGCGTGTAGCATATAAGTCAGTATGTTGGATTCAATTTCAGTTATGACTGAATATTTAAAATTCATGTAAATAATAAATGTTAAACATTAGCATTTACTAGATTTCCCATATAGAGGCTTGGAAAGAGAAGTCGGGGGGCCTGTACTGACCAACTGCAATTGCAGTTGCTGGTTATGGGGGACCTTAACATGTATAGCTTGGAGGAAAGACGAGACAGGGGGGATATGATAGAAACATTTAAATACATAAAGCTAATCAACACAATAAAGGAGGAGACTATATTTAAAATAAGAAAAACTACCAAAACAAGAGGACATAGTCTTAAATTAGAGGGACAAAGGTTTAAAAATAACATCAGGAAGTATTACTTTACTGAGAGGGTAGTGGATGCATTGAATAGCCTTCCAGCTGAAGTGGTAGAGGTTAACACAGTGAAGGAGTTTAAGCATGCATGGGATAGGCATAAAAGGCTATGCTAACTATAAGATAAGGCCAGGGACTAATGAAAGTATTAAAAAATTGGGCAGACTAGATGGGCCAGATGGTTCTTATCTGCTGTCACATTATATGTTTCTATGTTTCTACGTGTCACTTCCTGGGAGCAGGGTAGTTGGTGACAGGTGCCCAATTTGACTACTTATCCCACCGGGGAACTCCTGGCAACATAGCCACTACATCATGCTTGGAGTGTTCCTTTAACATAAGATATACATGCATTTCAATATTTATTCAAATGTATATTTCCAACAGAAGTGACAATTCTGCTTTAATATATCACTGAATTCAAACCAAATTTGCTCTTGAACGGTAGATATGGAAAACATGATTAAACTATTTTCATTTATTTCTAAAATGCAGCTGTTAACTTCACCGCAGACTGGGAGGTGGGCGTAGTTAATGCTACAACGACATATAAGTCCTTCAGTAATGCTGTGGTGAATGCCGATATTGGAGTTTATGTTGGACTCAAAGGCATCAATGTCACTCTGAAAGGTAATAACCATTAAAGTGTGTAATATTTATAGTAATAACCAACTTTCTGTTACTTCTAGAAGAGAATGATGGTAAATCTTTGCTAATCAGATTTTGAATAACATTTCCCATCATGCTCTTCTAGTATTTAAGAACTATGGCAGTATAACATCTGTAACTATCTTCAGAGATATCTTCTGAAGTTTTGGCCCTCAGGCTTGCTGTGCATTATTGGTAATGAAGTTCAGAAGTAACCTAGGAGCTAAGGTTTGCCCTGGTTGGTTTTAAGTGTTAAATACTTTGGTGAATCATATTACAGTAATTTTTACAGAATTAGACTTTCTGGTAACATTTCTTCTTGAGTGAGTGAATTTATTCAGAATACTCAGGTGCATGATAAACATTTCAACACCATAGTATCATATTTCTCTTCTGTAAAGTGATAAATAAAATATTTGAATTTTAAAATTATTTATGTCATTTTATTTCTTTTTAAAAGTGTTCACACTCAGGTTTAATAGAATTCTTGTCTAATGGTACAGCATTTGACATTTAATGGTACAGTATTTAAAAACAACATTCTAAATAATGTAAGATTTTAATGCAATAAAAGTTATACTTCATCATTAACAATATAAAAAAGTTGTTTGATCATAATAGACATATCATATTAGACAATAGCTACTGTAATTAATCAGAATGCATGATTTGTGCTATGTTTTAAAACTATGGAGATGTTACACTCCAAATACAGCATCAACTTATACTAGTGTTCAGTAATCCATGACTTTTATTGAAGAAAGAAATTACGAGACTAAAGCAATTAACCCGTCAAATAATTTTGAGTGTGCTGACTTTATGTATACATATTCCACAAAAACCACCAGTTTTCTGAACCTAGATTAACTTTAACCACAAAGTAAACAAACCAGCCACTATATAAACCATGGCATACTGAAACTAAATAATCTTTACTGTAGCGGCTATTGTGTTCATTGATCAGGAAATGAGTGAGAACAAAATATCAGACCAGGAAATAATTTTATTTTACCTCCCTTGTGCACAAAAAATATAGGCACTTGGATTTTAAAATAGAAATCCTAACTTCTGACATAAATATTTGCCATCATTGACTCTTAGCCATGAATAGCAGTGGAGTAGGCTGGCATCAAAAGTGGAAGGGCCAACCAATGAAATGTAAAAATATAGGCCATGGAAAGTCAGGAGAGGATGCACCCAAAAAATAATTTGCACCCTACGTTAATTATACAATTATTTATGCATATTTTAATTGAATATTATTTTATGGTGGCATAAAATCAGACTGGCACATTCACAAAACTACCCCCCTTTAGCCCTTCAATGGCCAGTATAATGAGGTAGCACTTAAGCAGTAAAATAATGTATTAAAGCAGTAGGTATGTCTTCGTTTTTTAATATACTGAGCAGAATATATTTATTTGCACTTTTTTTACTCAGGTAATCCTATTCATCAAATTAATGAAACAATAAATTACAATGAACAGTTTATATGGAGTTTTGGTCAAGATTTCAATGAATATTACCAAGAAGGACTTAAAAGAGGCCTGCCGAATCCAATTTTGTACATCGCAGAAAAGTTCTCGCAATATAACCCGTGCGGTTTGTTCACACAGTATAGATTGTCTGGACATTATGCTGGAGCATGTATGTGGTAAGTAACAATGGCAAAAAAAAACCAAACAAATATCACCAAAATTACATGTGATTAAAAGACAAAATAAATTAATTATTCTCTGTCATATATTTGTATAACATTTATTAAGTTTATTAACCAAATGATTGTGTGTTATGTGTTCCAGGGTGGCATTCTGCTCATGGGTTATCTGCAATATACTTTTCTCCTTCTCGGTTTTCATATATGGAGCTTATATGATCCTTGTTACCGCATCTTTTTTTATATTCTCATTACTATCATTTTCAACGGTACAGAATGTTGGATTTTGCAACATCAAATTTGGAGCTGAGTCCCTGAAGACGTACTACGGAGGATCTTTCTGGCTTACTCTCGCAACTGGTAAGTCATAGAATGCAAATAGCAGTCTGTTGTAAAATACATTGTGAAAGTGTTTCATAAAGTCTGCTAACTATTATTTCATGATTAGCCTACATTATTACAGCTTATCAGAAACCTGATCTGTTTAATCAGGTGGCTTTTAAAGTAGTTTTATCCATTTTCACCTGCAAGCTTAACCTAGTAGAAAAGTAATTTAGGATTAATGAAGATCCATGCACATATGCTAATCCGAAATAAGGAAAAACTCCTCTTTGATTACAAATTCAGATTTATCAATTGTATTCAACTTATAATTTGCTAAAAAAACTTTGCATTTTGAGAGATCCCCAAACACAGAATACACACAATAATATCCAACTAATTTATAACAATATATAAAACTAATAAGTAATGGACATTTCACTCTCTCTTTTTTGTGTGTATTATTTTTCAAGGACATCCGTAGTCTAGATATCATTATTATCCAACTTAATTTTACTTTTTTTATTGACCTCAAAAAGAAACGTTGATGCTGAGAAATAGTGATGTAGCGAACCGTTCGCGAACTTCCCGCGAACGGCTCGCCGCGGTTGAGCTCCGGTCAGCTGACACATCCCGGCCAATCTCCAGCAGACCCTCCCTCCCAGACCCTTCCTCCACCTGGACAGCATCCATGTTGAAGCTGCCTTCAACATGGATGCTGTCCAGGAGGTGGGATGGTCTGGGAGGGAGGGTCTGCTGGAGATTGGCCGGGATGTGTCAGCTGACCGGAGCTCGCTGCGAACGGTTCGTGGCGAACCGTGGCGAGCCGTTCGCAGGAAGTTCGGGAATGGTTCGCGACATCACTACTGAGAAACAGCATCTTGATTACTTATAATTGAGTTATATTCTGGTATTAGCTGAGCTATAATGACAAACATCAGAGAATTGACATTTGGGATGGATAACTGACCAGGCAAAGTGAGCCACATCTAAATGTTAGCAGGCCACTGTTCTCTAATAATGTGAGCAACTATTTCTTAATTTGTTTCTTTATGAGAGTTCTACTAATGCTTCGTTATTTTCTTTTCAGGTCTGCTCTGTTTTGTAATTGGATTTACGCTAATTGCGATGGACAGATTTATTCCCGAGAAGCTGAAGATATTTTTTGATTCTTCTGAGGGGGAGGAAGAAGATTATGACTCAGCGGAAATATACATTAATAACAATTGTTCACATGTCCCTAACTCAAATATTGTATAACTGCCAATATGAATAGTGGACATTTCATAAATTAATTTCAAGAAGAACTGCACTTTTCAGTGAGTCAGTGGTCTACTTATTTATGAATTCTTCACCAGTGTAGATGCAAGCATACCTCATCTTCTGAAGTCCATCATATCTATCAAGCTTCTGGGAAGCTGTAGTACCAATGATTCATTTTCAAATGAAGAGTTACTAGAAGTGGTTTATGGAGACAACCCTCTCCATTTCATTATATACTTGAACAAAGTCTTCTGTGAGGACTATACAAGTTGCATATTGTATGAGTTATGCACTATTTTGTAAATGTAATATTATGATTGTTAATTAATGAACTGTATATTATTGTAAATCTAGTTATATAATAACCACAGTAGTTTAACCTCTTAAGGGCACATGACATGTGTGACATGTCATGATTCCCTTTTATTCCAGAAGTTTGGTCCTTAAGGGGTGAAAATAAAGAAAAAAGTCCATCAAGTTCATTTTTTCACATTTCTTTCTACTGTTGATATAAAAGAATTTGAAATTAATTTCAGATGTGCTGGAAAAAAATATATGAAAAAATTCAATTTTGACTCTAAAAGGGCAATCTACTTCTTAATTCAACTAGCTATTACCACTAGAATTAACCATTATTTTATGAATCTTCTGTTTAATGAAAGGCATCTAGTCCCTTTTCCAAACATGCATTTCATCTAATAAGATAAACTCTGTCTACATATCAATTGCTTTTACAGTAAATAAACTTTTACTATAAATCATCACTTTTTTTGTACAACCTTGTTAATGAACAGTTTACAGAAGCTCTTTATAAATGCCTTGTATATTTTAAATGCTATTATATAACCTGTCAGACATATTTTTTGAAAGTTAAATGGATACTCTAAGCACCAAAACATCTTTAGTTTAATGACTCTCTGCTAAATCCTCTGCCTCTCAGGAGTTAAATCACCTTGGTTTCTTTTTATGCCACCCTGGCTACACTTCCCTTTGCCTTTATTAACACAATCTCCATGAAAAAAATGGGTTCATTTTCAAGCAGATGTGACAGCACAGTGTGTTTATTTTCTTGTGCTGTTAATTAAACTTTATTCACACACAGGAAGATCCTGCAGGGTCAAGCAAATTATCAACAGAGTAGGAGATGAGGCATTCTAAATTAAATAGACTGTGCAATAAAGGGAATTTTAAACATTAGATCTCACTTTACTGGCAATGTGTAGGGAGGCTGTGTAGGTCACATGCATGGTAGGTGTGACTATGGCTGTTATTTAACTTATAAATGACAGAGAATTGAGAAATGAGACTGCGGGGGCATGATCTATACATCAAAACCACTTTATTAACCTAAAGATTTATTGTGCTTATAGTTCTTTATAATAGATACAGTTTTGATATTCTTTGTTTAGAACTAAAATGTGCCATTTCCATTATTCATTTTGTAGCTCATCTCGGCTATTTTTTGACAGTTCCATAAATTTCTTCTTTATTATTGCATCACATTTTTAAGATGAATTACAAACTGGCAGCATCATGCTATTCTTGTAGATGGCAACACTTAACTGGTGTATGCAGTTGTTGTCAGATATTACAATGTATGCCTTGTTTGATGCCTAGAATTATTCTCAAATCCTTTTAATTCACCATCATCTCTTACTGAGGAATTTTTGGGTTGTTATCTACTTGTGCGTTTCTCATCCAAAACTGCATAACTTTGTGTTTGCATGGGTGAAGGACAAAAGTTTTAGACAGAGTGATAGAGGGGGGAAAAAAAGAAACAGAAATAAGAAAGAATGTTTATATGGTACTAGTAATACTTACTTTGACTAAATTAAATACAAAATTGTGTGATTTATGTATTTATCTTTATGTTAACATATATATATATAAAACAATAAACATACATTTTGTGAAAAGTAATTAAATGTTCAGTTATTGACTAAAGCAAATTGTTTGTAATTCAAAGTAAATTCAAAATTATTTTCCAGTTCTCTTCCAGAGATATAACTCTTACCACGTTTACCCAGTGGTGTATTTTGGGTTTGTGCTGCCCTAGGCTCAACTAAATTCGGGCACCCCTGAAATCTAAATTTGCCCCTCCAATTCGTGTCAAGGCCTGACAGACACATGCCCTCATTGATACATTCACTGATATACACTCACTGACAGATACACATACATTGGCACACACATACAGTCATTGGCACACACTGTTTAACCAACACACACTTTCACTGACAGACACACACTGACAGGCACACACTCTCAGATTCACATAAAATGACATACACACACTGACGCACACTCACAGGCACACCCATTCTCACTGAAAGACACACACTTTCACTCACTCACAGACACACTCTGACAGCTACACTCACTCACTCACTCACTCACTCACAGTAAGGTGGACAGCCCCAGAACATGAGGCAAACAAGGCATTTGTCTGGGAGCTTGGGGTGGAGTTTTTTGGCGCCCCCACTGAAAGTGCCGCCCTATGAAAATGCCTTGTTTGCCTTGTGGTAAATACATCCCTGCATTTACCACTCCTCTCAAATAAAGGGTTCCCTAAAAGTTATAAGAAACAGCTCCTTCCTGCTTAATAAATCTTTCAATGATCCTCCAAACTTGAAAGGTGTGGAAAGCTTCTGGGTACCCTCAGCCTAATTAAATTAACTCATAATCTACTGTGCAGGAGCTGTAGGATCAGAAGGGAACATGTGCCTGGCTTTCCTGGTTGGTATCGTCTCAAAGGAGTTATGTTTATTTTTGCCTCTGGCACTAGCATGCTGTGTAGAACAAAATGCAAACCATGAGGTTGCCTTTTAGCTTAAAAAGAGATTTAAAAACCTCTGCATATTTATGAATTGATTTACATAGTTTACTAGTCTCGCGCATTAATTTGATTCTAATAAGTCGGTTTGTCAGTAAAATTATTTTGTTTGGCGGACCAAAATATGTACGTTTGGTATTTCAGTTAGGACATATTTCAACTGAAATCATTTTGATGAATTAATAGGGCATAAAAATGGTCCAATAAGTTTATTGCAAATAAGAAGATAATACAAATATCATGTACCCATTTTGTAGTATTTTCCCACCATTTGGTTCACATATCAAGTGAGAAGAAGTAACCAATAGTGGGAAAAAACAGAAGGATGAGTAAAAAAAACATATCTATATTAATATATTTATTGATTTCATATTTCAGAGCACTGTTCTATTTGTTTTGTGTCACATAGTACAATAAAATTGCAATTTATATATATATTTCTACTTTTTATTTGTAAAGTCTGTCAGATACAGTAGAGAACATTACACGGCAGCATAAAGATTGTCAAAACAAAGTTGATAAGGCATAGCAAGGTACATGCATGACATCGTACATGGGTGGATGATAACAATCAGGAAGTGTTACAATGAGAGTGTTACAAAAAGTAAATTTCCAACCACCTGGATCAATGCAATAAGTAGTGGTCCATGTATCCTGAAGTGCCTCATGTAAGTGATTTATCATTCGTTTCTTCTATTCACTATAGTAACGTTGTGAGCTTAACTTAATGCACCTTTAATAGTGATAACAGAAACAATAAGAAAATGGGGTTGTTCTTCCCGCTGCCCAAGGGATGAAATTGCTCCGGAAAGTGTAATATAATGAGATATATTGTGAGACAGTGTATAGTTAGGTGGTATAGAATATCTAGAAAGATAGGTCCTGCGCTCACTCCCATCACTACTGGGCGGTAGCAAAGACTACAGTACACATCAGCCCCAATATATAGTAAAAACCAAAGAAAAACAAGTTACCTGCACTCTCTCCTTAATCCCTATGTATAGAAAATCTACCTGATGAGGGTTAGCCTGATGAAGTCCAGCGATGGTGCCCAGATGGTTAAATATTGAGTATATCAGTTTGTGAAGGAATAGGAGAGTTATTCCATTAGATATATGGTTTCAACTTTTTGAATCCATTCTCCTATTGATGGAGCAGCGGGATTTTTCCAGTTAATAGGAATTAAAAGATTTACTGCTGTATTAAATGAATGAGAAGAATGCGTACAGGTTTAATGATCAGAAAGGAATAAAGAAGGAATTGGAAAGCCTCAGTTGTTCTGAGGACATTTATTCCTCTTATGAAGCGGAGATATGATTCTATTCTGTCTCAATAAGTTTTGATGGTTGGGCAGGACAACCAGATGTGGCTTGGGGATCCCTGTGTCCACACCTCCAGCAGTAATTTGAGTCACTTGGGAAGAAACAATGTATCTGAGTGGGGGTTTAATGCCGACAAGAGATCCTTTTGTAATTGCTTTTGTGTGTGCTGTTGCATTTAGAGGGCTGGAAAATGTTTGACAAAATGCGTTTCCAGTCTTCCTTAGTTTTGTCAGGGTTCCTACCCGAAGTTGGACTCTGTAGTGCGGATATGTTTGCTCACCTTTGCAGATAGACACAGTCCAATGTGACCAGGTAAGAAGCCACCTGGACTGTGAATCTGTGCACGGAGGCTGTGCAGGAAAGGTGTTCCAAAGCAGTACCGACAAGGTCACAAACAGCAGGATAGTCAAGGGATAGTCGAAATCAAAGGATGCCAGAGGTCAGGATAAACAAAGTGTAGCCAAAGTCAAGATAAATTAAGTGTAGCCGAATTCAGAAGCCAGGGTCAATATGGAGTACAAATTCAGGAGATTTGAAAACAGGAGCTGAACACATACACCAGGATCAAAGACTTGATAATGTTCTTAGGGAGGGGCAGTTTACATACCCAGCAGATGACTGATCTGTCTCAGGTCAAGCACAGGCAATGACCACAGAAGAAGTACATCCACAGGTGCTGCAGACACAGCCAGGTAGAACAGAGCTAGAACTACTTAAAAGAACAGGAACTGCTGTGCCTGAAAGGCAGTATAGCAGGCCCAGGTCCACAAAGGACACAGGTTCAAATCCCCTTTTGGGTACTTTTTGAGAGCCGTGACAAGTTTGGGAGAGATTTTTTAACTCTTCCTCCCAGAGATTTGTGGGTTGGAGGGGTAGGGGTTGGGTTGGCTCTTGTTGAATGTGTTTGCAGAAAGCGAATACATGTTTAGATTTTAATGATTAGGTTTTGCAAATTACTTTAAAGAGGAAAGATCCCTGTTTCCTCATAGTAAATTGGGGTTAGAGCAGGGCTGCCCAACAGGGAGATCCCCAGATGTTGTAGAACTACAACTCCCATGATGCTCTGCATGCCTTTAGAATGCATTTAGAATGGCAAAACATCATGGGATCTATTTGTTGGGAAGCCCTGGGGTAAAGGTAAGAAAGTGTGAGTGACCATGATTTTTGGTTGTGTGTTAGGTAGGAGTTGGTTTGATCCTCTGATCGTCTAGCAAAGCATGTGAGGTAAGGTGAGTTACAGAAACTATCAAATGATTTGATGTGAAGGCTCAAAAGGAATAATGAGTTATAGGTTATCGGGTAAAGGGGAGACGGGTTGGGAGAGATAGCTGGAAGGATTTAATTGCAAGACCACGTTCTTAGAGTCCCTCTGATGGTGGGATGGGTATTGTGGTGAAGTTTAAGATATGACTGGCACGATTTGTGCCAAGGAATGGTAAAGATAGGGGTCAAGAAGAAGGAGTTCTGTATATGGACCCTTTGCTTTTGATTATGATTATGTAGTTTGAGTCATTCATATATTCTTGTTAATGTAACTACTTTGTGATATGACACTATATTTGGCAGTCTCAGACCTCCCTGGAGTATATGGCTAGTGAGCTATTCTAGGATGTCCTTGGAACCATACAAAATTGGAAAATAGTTGTTTAATTGACAAAAGAAGTAGGTGGGGAATGTTATGTGTTGGGTCTGTAGTAGATGTAGCAATTTTGGGAGAGTATTCATATTTATTCCAAGCCTGAACGTTTTTTGAGATGGACTGTATAAGGTGTGGAAAACTGATATCATAGAGTCTATCTAGATGGTGTTGAAGAGAAATCCCCAAGTATTTGAGGGCAGTGGGTGCCCTGGAAAACACAATTTTGTTTTGTAAATCTCATTGGATTCAAGGGGTTATGTTTAGCGGTAGAATCTCCCTTTTCGTGAAATGCACTTTAAAATTAGATTGATGTAGTAAAGTGTAATTTCTGCAATATGGGGGGGCATGGATTTGATAGGGTATGTGATAGTGATCATCAACAAAAGCAAAGACTTTATACTCTATGTTGTCTATTTGCATGCCATGAATGTCGGGATTGTCCCTAACACCTTGTAAGAAATGTTCCATGATCAAAATGAAGAGGAGGGAAGATAGGGGACACCCCTGTCTCATGCCATTTTAAGGGGTGGACTGGGTTGGAAAGTTGGCCATTAATACTGATCTTAGCACTGAGGTTGGAACATATGGCTTGCATCCATTGAAGCCAGTTAGGGCCAAAGTCCATCGTTTGTAGGGTTGTGAAGATCAGGAACCAGGCCACACTATCAAACGCCTTCCTGGCATTGACTGCCAGCAGAAGGCTCTGGGCCTGGTTCGACTTGGAGAAGTGAATTAGATTTATTAATTTTGTGATGATATTTAGCCTCACATTCAGGAATGAAGCCCGCATAGTCAGGGTGAAGAAGCCCCTGTAGGAGTGGGTGAAGGCGATTAGCCACGATTTTGGTCCATATTTTCAGATCTATGTTTATCAGGGACATAGGACGGTACCATCCACATTTGGTTGGGTCTTTTCCCAGGTTTGGTATAAGCTAACCGTGCGGTCTGGGTGAGGGAATTGAATGCTGCTATAAATAGTGTCAAGTGTGCAGGTCATATTTGTCCGTGAAGCCATCTGGGCCTGGGCTTTAACCTATATGAAGATGTTTTACTGCCGGATCAAATTCTACTTTAAGGATCGGGGTATTTAGTGAATGGAGAATGTTCTAGGAGAGTGTTTGTTTTA